AAAAGACGTTGTTGACAAGATATATTAAGCCAGGCTTATTAAGTGGCTTTTATCAGCAATTACTGTTAATGGCTTGGGATGTTCCAGTTAAGATTGTGTGAAAAATGCAAAAGAAGAAATAATCAAGGATTCTTGTCAAGTGTAACGAGATGAGTTAAGGCATAAAGACATAATAATAAATAACTGACTTAAATTTTACTATCTTTTTAAACAATAAACTAGGCCTTAAACTTGAGTGGAATTTATAAATTAGGTTGAATAAACAAGTGAACACTAGCTAATGGGGTGATAAAAAAATAAAATAATGTACAAGAAACCAGTTTTACATGTTTTATATATTGATCAATGTAGATATCTTAATTGGTCAGACCTAAGCTTATTTGAGTTTGATTCAACCTTGTCTAAATTTTCAAGCTCAATTATTCATTATTTTATATTTTATTTATTTATTATTTATTTAATTATTTAATTATTTTCTGGTTTATCTTTTTATTGATTATTATTTGTTTTTTTTATTTTTTATTGATTTATCGTTAATCTTTTTGGTGTTAAGATAATAGGATAATAATAAAATAATAAAAATAAAAATAATAAATTTTTGTCATGAATTGGTGGTTGTAGAATTTATGTCGGTTTTAATTTTAAGTAAAATAAATCTTAAGGCTTTTGATAATATGAAAATCCAATCAATGGTGGACTCATGGCTAATCAGAAACTCTATTGATTATTTTCTATAAATATAGTCTTGAATCACATACGGAGAAACAGAGATCAAAGGCAGAAACAAAAACACAGAGAGAAAGTTAGAAAGATACACTAAAGTAGTCAAAAGAATTTTTCAAAATTTTTTTGGGTTAAAAAAAAGATTTTTCTGAAAATTTTTTAGAAAATTTCTGAAAAATTTTTTAAAAATTTTTTAGTTTTCGATGAATTTTTCAGTGCTAATTGATTTTTTTGGTGAATTTTTCAATGCTGGTTAAATTTTTAACAGGTTTCTCAGAATCCGATTGAAGATTCCAGCGAAGTTAAATTTTTCTACAAACTTCTGGTGAACCAACCCAAATTCTAACGAGATTTTTCAAAATGTAAAAATTCAACCAGAGTTTATCCGATTCTAGGAAGAGAGGGAGAGAAAAAGGGGGATAAGAAAGAGAAACAGAATATGAAATTTGAAGAAAAAGCTTGGAATTAGCAATTTATATCCTCACAAAAATGACGTTATTTTGGCCTTAATAAACCATCAAAATCTGTGCGTTTCCATTCAGACGACCAAACCCGTAGCACTGACTTGCTTTTGACCCACGTTTGACCCTCATTCAGCTTTTAACTCCAGCCGAGCGAAGCCATGAGCCAAGCTATAAAGTCGCATCTTTGGAGTTGTCTTTTCTGTCTCTAGCCGAACAGATTTAGTCAACAAACTGAGCTAATTTTATTTTTTATATTATATTATATTATTTTTATTTTTATTTATTTAGCTATATGTATAAGTTTTTTATTTATTATTATGTATGATTAAATTTTAGGGAAAAATAAAAAAGTATAAAACAAAAATAAAAATATATTTTTTAGGATAAATATTAATTGTCCAATGATAGAATTTTTAAAAATTTTAAAAGAAAATTTTTTATAAAATTCTTATGTGAAATTTTTTTTTAAATTTGTCTCAAATGGTGGAATAATTTAGAGAAAACTTCAATAATAATAATTAATATTTATTTTCAAACAAATAGAAAGAAATTTTTAAAAAAAAAAATTTTAATAAAAGTTTTTGAAATTAAATACTAATTACCCAAAGATGAGATTCTTATAAATTTCAAATGTTAAATTTATAAGAAATCTCTAGGTGATAAATTTTTTTAAAATTTGTCCAAAATGGTAGAATAATTTAGATAAAATTTTAATAAAAGTAATTATATTCTTTTCCAAATAAAAATTTTTGTTGAAAATATTTGACAATTATCTAAAGATGAGAATCTTAAAAATTTCAAATGATAAATTTTTAAGGTATCTCTATGTGAGAAATTTCTTTAAATTTATCCCAATTGGTGGAATAATTTAAATGAAATTTTAATAAAAAACAATTATCAAATTATTTTCTTTCCAAAGATAAAAAAATAAAAAAAAAAACAAAGAGAAATAAAAATAATTTCTAAATAGGAAAAATGGTGAAAATTTTAAAAATTAAAAGAAATAAGAAGATATTTCTAATTTGACCCAAGTTGTGAAATAATTAGATATATTTTAATAAAAAATAAAAAATCAAAATAAAAACAAAAATAATTAAATATTTTTTCGACTGAACCTCTTTAAGAAAACAAATGGGACTCTTAAATACTATTGAGGTGAGAAAATATTTTTAAAAATTTTATCAGATTGATGAAGAATCTTAAAAATTATTTCTAATATTTGAACATTAAATTTTAAAACTATTATAATCAATAACTTAAGATAAATTTAAAATAAAATTGTACCATCATTTAGATAGGTATGTGAGAGTGCTATAATATTTTTCATATGTAACCGAACTTCTGAATCTTGTTTTATTTTGTAGACTCAAACCTATTCTTTAGGGATCTTTAGTCAAGTTTATGAGCTCTTTAAAATGATAGATTCTTTAGGTAGCCAAGTCATACTTAGATAAAAAATATAGATTCCTTAAGTAGCCAAATCATACTTAGATAAAAAAAATTAATAGCTATTTCTTTTGTTAAATCTAATTATAAATTTTTGAATTTATATATTATTACAATCAACATATGAAATACATTGAGAGAGGATAAAATTTTAAAAATTATATTATTATCCAAAATTTTGGGAGGTCATAGCGCTTGCCATCGCCCTTAGCTTTGCCTTTGAATATCTAAATTTTAATTTCAAATTATAACATTTACAATTTATTTTGTTATGTTTAGAATTAAATTTCATTTATAAAAGATTTGATTCAATTAGCATGTGCCTATCACTTTTACAATGCAGTTTGTAAGGATTTGTGAATTTTTTTTAGTAAGAAAAATCGTAATATAAAGAAAGTTACATATATAGTAATGATTGAAATATAGTAAACTAGAAAAATTACGCAATCACACTTGGGTTGTAAAATTTTTTGTTTCGATGAAATTATAAAATTTTAAATTAATAATAAATAAAAAATTATTTTTTAGTATTTTGTTGGTTTTTTATTTTTAAAAATATAATATTTAAAAAAATAAAAAATAATGCTCTAATTGTATAACTTAATTACAATTGGATAGATGTTAGTTTCTATTTTAAATAAGGGAGACTACTTTAAAAATGTGTGTAAATTAAATTCAAATTTAATAATACATAAATGACAATCCAACTGATTGATATAATATTTATTTATTATAAATATTAATCAATTATCAAATTCAAACCCATTTGCCAATGAAATCAAAGGCCACTAATATCATCACCTATTTAACTTAATTTTTTTAAAGAAAAAACCAATAATTTTATTATAGAAAGAAAGACATTATAGTAATTTTGATCAATAATAAGTGAAGGGTAATTTTGTAATTATGGTTAGAGGGGCATTATAGTAACTTTGACCAATTGTGATATGAGGTATTTCAATAATTATAATAAGAGAAATATTATAATAATTATAGTTAATTATAAAAGGGGTATTGTAATAAATTTGTACACATGCATTCAATTGTCAAGAAATTAAAAATGTATTATGATAATTTTCAATGAAATTTTGGTTGATTATATAAAGAGGGGCACTACATTAAATTTTTACACGTATCAAGCAATATGCAAATACTTAGAAGGCCATAATTATAATTTCTAAATGGGTTTATTTTCATTATATAGTTATAAAATTTCAAACAAAATGACATATGTCAACTTTTTATGAACTAATTATAAGGATATATTTTATAATTATGGTAAATGATATTATAATTATTTTGATCAATTTTGATGAAATAACATTTTTGTAATTAGGATAAAAAATATTATAGTAATTTTGATCAATCATAGTAATAAATAATTTTTATAATTATAATTAAAGGGATATTATGGTAATTTTAACTTAATACGGTATGAGAGTATTTTTATAATTATGACATAATGATATTATAGTGATTTTATATTTATAAGTTTTTTTTGTCATTTAAAAATAAAAGATATTATAGTAATTTGATATTTATTAAAGAAGTTTTGTTGTCATTTAAGAAATGAGGAAATTATAATAATTTATATTCAAAAGACGGGTATTTTTATCAATTAAATAGGAGGGGAATACCATCTTTTTAAGCACATATCAAGCAATTAAGGAAAAATTAGAGAGGTAAAATTGTCATTTCCTTGATAAGATATTTTTATATATAGTTATAGATTATAGATTTTGATCGAACAAAATATATAAACAACCCTTTAAAATTTACAGGTCATAATGGAGTCAACACCTGGAAATTAGCACATGCACTTAAATGGCGCGTGAGAACAATCAGGAATTTTAGGAACCAGAATGTTTGTTATGGGATCATACATCATATGCTTATGGTTACACACTTACATGTAAAAAAAAAATTACAAACGAGATATACATTGTTAATGTTTGATTCTTGATGTGACGTGAAGTGGACATAAATCAACAGTGGGACCCTCACCCAACCTTCAACTGTAGTGCTGAAGGTGAACAAAATCTCCTCCATTCCTCCTCCTTACTTTTTTTAACTTTGACCGTTGGTGTGATTTGATCAAAGTCTTCCAAAGAATCTCGCTTTCATTGGAACCCACATTTTCCTCACCAGTCACTCTCTCCCTTTCCAAAATGATATCAAAAACAAGAAAAAATAAAGCAGTAAAATAAAAAAAAGTTTCATGCTTGGAATTGATTAGAGTAAAAAAAAAAAAACTCATCTTTCCTAATAGACTCCACTAACTCTCTCTCCAAATGATTCAACTTTCCTCACTCTTCTCTTTTTGCCTGACTTTGGAGCATAAACGGGTACTCGTGAAAATTGAAAATTTCTGTATTTAAAGAGAATTACAATCAGATTTTCATTTTTTCTTTTCTGGGTCATTTTGTTTTTCTTTTTTAAATTTTAGTAATATAATTTTCCTAGTGACTTCTGCTTTATATCTGTACACTGTCACAAAGAACTTTCTTTTTCTTAGCTGTTGTTTCTTTCTTTTGCCACCATTTCTTTTTTCATGGTCTCTCATTTTATCATTTGTTGCCTTCACCCTACATATGGAGAAAAGACTTCTCTTTTTACTGCTTTCATTCTCTCTACTTCTTCTTTTAGACTCCTCCTCTGCCCAGGTGCAAGGTATTTCCATCTTCTCTATATATATTTGTCGAAGTTGTTATAAACAACGGAGTTCTTTTTGTTCTATGTTTGTAACTTTCTTCATTTTTTATTTTGAAATTTATGCTTTTCTTGAGATATGGGGTTTAAAGGCATCAAATTTATGGCATATCTCATATACTCTTACATGTTAAGTCGTTTTTACCTTATTAATACTTTTTTTTCCTTTGGAAATATGTATCAATCTGGGGATCACTCTATTTCAGCTTTGGACTATAATATGAATGATATCTTTGTTTTCTGTTTTAATTTTTTTTTTCTAAGGTTACTATAGAGATCTACAGCTTTTGTTTTTGATAGTCTCTTAGACTTCATTTAATGTAGCTAACAACATGTCCCTCCGCAAAAATTGAGAAAGAGGAAACTATTCATTTTGGAATTATTTTAGATGCTATGTTGAGAAAATATTGCCCACTTCTACAACTTAATGATGGACAAAAGCTGAAGATCATTTTTTTAATAGAACAGAAGATCCTTTTGGTCTTGAATATGTGAAAAGCTGATGAAGAGAAGAGGATAATAGAACCAAGGCCTTGACTGCTTCCCTTGCTGATAGAATGAGAATCCTAACCTATTAACTTGCTTCCCTTACAGTTAGAGTCTTGCAGCCATAGCTGATCACCCGATTTAATAAATCAGGGTAAAAGAAACTGAAAATAGCAAAACTTAGCAACTGGTAGACCAATTTAAACAGTTCAACCAATATATAATTTGTTTGGTGACCTTCATACTTCATTTCGAAATTATGGTTTACATGTTTTCATGCCTTGTTTGCTGTCTGAGTTGTTTAAAGCATACTGCCATAAACTGGGGAGACATGCATGCAACTAAGGATAGAAAAATAGTGTGACTCAACCAGGAAAAGTTCATACAGTTTGAAAATTTCTCTTCAGGATCTTATGATATATTGTTTTCTTAAATCACATTAGCATAAACCGAGTGCATTAAGCGCGAAACATTTGTATACCACAAAGAATCCTGCATCCGTGTGAATATCTGGGTTCTGGATATGCGTGCACATTACAAAGTTTTATTGGCCTATTTATGAGTTATTACAAGTAACAAGTGGATGAGTGTTAGAAAAATATGTGATTCACTTGTAAAGTGTAATTTTAATTTTTTTAACTTGAAATCCTTTAAGGACCTTTTCTTTTTCACCATCATTTGCCTTAGCTTTTCACCATGATGCATGATGTCAAGCATTTGTTAGGCGAAGCCCAATGGAGTTTTGGTGTGATTGCTAACAAGTCTAAACACATGAAACAGGTTTTGTGAGTTTGGACTGTGGGGGTAATACAAATTTCACTGATGAACTTGGCCTCCAGTGGACTTCTGATGATTTTCTTAATTACGGAGAAACAGCTAGCATATCTGTTTCAAATGAGACAAGGAAGCAGTACACAACACTCAGGTATTTTCCTGCTGATTCCAAGAAGTACTGTTACAAGCTTAATGTTGTAAGCAGGACTCGGTACCTTGTAAGGGCAACTTTCTTGTATGGTAATTTTGACAACAACAATGTTTATCCAAAATTTGACATTTCCCTTGGGGCTACTCATTGGTCTACAATTGTTATATCGAATGCTGGTACCATAGAGAAAGCAGAGCTTATATTTCTGGCTACTAGCCCTACTATTAGTGTCTGTTTATCCAATGCTACAACTGGGCAGCCATTCATATCTACCTTAGAGCTCCGACAGTTCAACGGTTCAATTTATTACACTGCATATGAAGAAAGTTTTTATCTCAGTGTCTCTGCCAGAATCAACTTTGGTGCAGACAGTGAAGCTCCAGTTAGGTATGCCTGGGCACATTGTTAAGATTGCTATTAGATAATGACCCATCAACAATCAATATTTAAAGTAACAGAGAGAAAATTGATAACTGCAACAATAATAAAAGCGACAACAATGTAATAAATGATTGAATGGATAACAAATTAGGTTACTAATATTCTGATACCTTGAAGATGCTTTTTACATTGTGTTTCAAATTGGGGCTTTGAAAGTTTTAGGAAGTGTGCGTTGATAAGAATTATGAGAACTGTTGACGTTCCATATTGATTTTGTGCTACAGAAGATGATATAAAAGTACAATTATCTTTCAGGTATCCTGATGATCCATTTGATAGAATATGGGAATCAGATTCTGTGAAGAAAGCAAATTACCTTGTTGATGTTGCTGCTGGCACTAAGAAAGTATCAACCAACAAGTCAATTGACATTAGCAGCAATGAAAGGCCGCCTGAAAAAGTGATGCAGACTGCTGTAGTTGGTACAAATGGATCACTAACTTATCGCTTGAACTTGGATGGTTTTCCTGGTTATGGCTGGGCATTCACATACCTTGCAGAAATTGAAGATTTGGCTCCAGATGAATCCAGAAAATTTAGGCTAGTGCTACCAGGCCAGCCTGATTTGAGCAAAGCTATTGTTAATATTCAGGAAAATGCCCAAGGAAAATATCATGTTTATGAACCAGGATATCCTAACATATCCCTCCCCTTTGTATTATCATTTAGATTTGGGAGGACATCCGATTCTTCCAGGGGTCCACTTTTGAATGCTATGGAGATAAACAAGTATCTGGAGAAAAATGATGGTTCTGTGGATGGTAAGATTACACTTCCTTCAGCAAATATAGATTATTGAACTCTTTGGTCTGATTCTTGGGATTCTGACTTGAATTTTCTTGTAAATTATTGCTGCTAGGCATATGACCCAAGCTTACTCTTTGCTGTCTCATTTTGATGAGTTTTGAGAGTTATAATCACAGTGATCTGAAATTAGGGTTGCATGTGTTGCAGGAGCAGTTATTGCTAATGTGGTCACACTCTACTCATCAGCTGACTGGGCACAGGAAGGTGGTGACCCATGCTTGCCGGTTCCATGGTCATGGGTGCAGTGTAACTCTGATAGACAGCCAAAGATAGTTTCGATGTAAAGATTTATGCCACCTGAGATTCTTGTCTGCTTCTGTTAAATTGTTGATAGTAATATCTGAAACAAATTCTGCCACATTATGACTTCTTTTATTTGTGTGGTGCTTGGCAGCCTTTTATCCAGCAAGAATTTGACAGGGAATATCCCCTCAGATTTGACAAAGTTGAGTGGCTTGGTTGAGTTGTAAGCTTCAAACTGCATTCTTACCTTTGCTAGCTGTTGGCACATCTTTTCATCCTTTGTTTCTTTTTCTTGTTCTTGTTATTTTTTGTTTTTTAAACTTCAGTTAGTTGACTGTCCCGCTTTTACCCCCTTAAACAAACTAATTTCTTATCTTTTGGTTACAGATGGCTTGATGGGAATTCCCTGACTGGGCCGATACCAGATTTTACTGGATGTGTGGACCTAAAGATCATGTAAACACTGATTGTTCTTCTCTTAATTGTGATATTTTAAAAGTATTTGCTAAGTAAGATTTTTGTCTGATATAGTCATCTTGAAAACAATCACTTGACGGGTGAGCTACCTTCGTCTTTAATGAACCTACCAAACTTGAGGGAACTGTAAGTAATTCAAACTTGTCTGTTAGTTTTATTTGTCTGATTTAGAAGTGAAATTCTAAGATGTATTTTGTGCATTAGGCTGTTCTAGTTAATATTGGATGGATTCATTTTCTATTGTTCTAGTAATATGTTGGTTTTTTCATGTTACTTTCTAGGAAGAGATTTATGTAATTGATGCTCTTATGGATGCAGGTATGTGCAGAATAATATGTTATCTGGAAGAGTACCATCAGGCCTTCTGAGCAAAGACTTGGCTTTCAAGTGAGTATCATTAAAATGTATAATTGAAATGCATTAGCACTTGCTTAATAATTGGTGTAAGTATCATCTTTACATCTTAGATTTATGCAACCTACACATATTAAGTTAATGCTATGGAGCTTCTTTGTTTAATTTTGGCAAAAAGCACCTCTCTTCTCTTAAAAACAAATATACACATACAACATATATACACACACGGGAAGCAGCATTGCTAATTCTGTTGCAAGATAGATACTCTTTTGGAAATGGTGTATCATTCGAAACAGGCGTTGGAGAAGTGTGAGACATCACCAACTGGTGGTGCTTTGGAAAGTGAAAAAGGGTAGTGGACCATTATTTGAACAGATTCAGATTATCATAATAGTGTGTGAATCAACATGATTTTAAACTTCTAAATCCCAAGATAGGTATTATTATTCAAACTTCTTTATAAGCTGCCGTAGGTCTTTGCTTTTATTTTTTGGTTTTCTTCCCTTGTAATGATTATAGAAGGTCAACTAATCTTTTAATGAATAAGAAAAGTTACCTGATAATAGCCAGTCAAGGAATCTTACGCAAACTGCAAATATGTTCCATCTGCTAGTTGGTAGACATAAATATTTCTATATTTTGGCTTCCCTTTATAGCATTTTCTTCATTTTCTCCTTCCATTCTAATATATGCTCCTTTGTTAATTTTGTGCAATATACTTACAGCTGCTTAATTCCCACAGCTATGCTGGAAACATTAACCTTCACGAGGGGGGTGAAAGAGGGAGACACCTTACTATTATTATTGTTGGTTCATCAGTTGGAGCTGTTGTTCTGCTCATAGCTACAATTTTGTCTTGCCTTATTTTGCGCAAGGGGAAGAAAAAACATGAACAAGGTATGAGACTAGGTTTCTAAAGTTTGGCTAATCTATTGCATATCTCAGCTTGTTTTACATGCTTAATTTCTTTAATTTGTGTCAGAACAATTTCATCATTCTTTGCCTATTCAAAGCCAAAGAATTGCTTCTTCCTTGAGTAATGCTCCAGCTGAAGCTGCTCATTGCTTTACATTACCTGAGATTGAAGATGCTACGAAGAATTTTGAGAAGAAAATTGGTTCTGGAGGCTTTGGAGTTGTATACTATGGGAAAATGAAAGATGGGAAGGAAATTGCAGTAAAAGTTCTCACTAGTAATTCCTTCCAAGGAAAGAAGGAATTTGCAAATGAGGTAAGCGTAACCTGCTTCTGTAATCTGACACAGCATTTTTTTTTTGTTTTCAAATCCTTGTTCATAATTATGGAGTTTTGCTTCTGGCCTGCTGTGGTCATGAGTCCTTTTATTAAAGCAACTTTGCTGACAATTGTTTTATCTTTGCCTTGTGATAAAGATCAAATTCAAAATGGTGGCATGAGAGTTGTTTGACCATTGAACTTGAAGGAATAAGAGCTAAGTTTATTCATTTGGAGGTTTTTCACGTATAAGCTTCTAATTTTGGGAGTGTTAGTGTTTATTTCTCAGAAGTTATAGAGGGAATTTCATTCATTTTAAGGGCTATTAGGTAAAGACCATTGCATCAGGTTTTAGGCCTTGAAGCCTGGGCAAGTTGGTACTAACAGTCAGATTGGAAGTGATTCTATCACTAGTTTGCTAGGCTACCTTCCATGCTTCATTGGACTTTCGAAATTTATTGTTCCAGTTCATCATAAATTAGGACAAAGGGAAGAAAATCTCCTTACTGCCATGAAAATATGGCTGCTTGGAATTAAGTTAATAACTAGAGAGTTCTTGACTAAGTGCAGCACCCAAAACAGCCTAAGGACAGAACTTGTAATATTTTCTGTTCATAAATTATTTATATAAAACTCTGTGCACATCGGCAGATCCACCTTATGAGCTAGGATGTCCATGGACACCCCCAAAAATTGAAAAATAAGAAAATTTGATGGGAAATTTTTTCCCAGACACCTCCCAAATTCTCATGAACACCCAAAAGATTGAAAAATAAGAAAATTTGAAAGAAAAATTTCCTTGTACTCCTCCACAATTTCCCCATGGACACTTTTTTCCATTTGACAGTTTTTTTATATATATTATAAGTGGACACTCTCAGAAAAAATCCTGGATCCACCACTGCTTGAGCATTTCCTCGACTAAGTACTGGTTCTATATGAGCTGACTGGTTAAATTTTCAAAACAAATTATGCTTGGAATCTGTTGCTAGAATTTTACTGATAAACGATGATGGAATTGGTAGCATGCAAGTTTGCTTTCAGTTGGCATTCTTTTCTTAAAATAAAGGATTTACTTTAACTTGACCTTTTTCGTTTTAGACAGAGGGTTCTGAGGCTTTTAAGTTTTTTAGGTTGCATTGATTGTCATATTTATAATTAGCCATTTGAAGCTAAACTCATGTGAATTTTTGACTTGTGGGGTAGGTGAGTCTTCTTTCAAGGATACATCATAGGAACCTGGTACAGTTTCATGGGTATTGTCAAGAAGATGGGAGAAGTATGCTTGTTTATGAGTTCATGCACAATGGAACTCTCAGAGAACATTTGTATGGTAAGTTCAAATGTTTTTAGGTTAAAAGCAATATAAATTGAGTGCTCACCCTTGTGTGAATTATGGTAGGCCCTTTAACGCGGGAACGTGGTATCAGTTGGATAAAACGCCTTGAGATTGCTGAAGATGCGGCAAAAGGTATTTAAGCTCAGGGATAAACTTGTGATTTTTCTGTGTTGAGGTTTCTTGCTTCGTTCAAGTGACTGGAGGTTTGATTTTTGTATTCTTTTTATTCAGGGATTGAATACCTTCACACGGGCTGTGTTCCAGCCATTATCCATAGGGATTTAAAAACTAGCAATATTCTTCTTGACAAGCGCATGAGGGCAAAGGTTTCGGATTTTGGGCTTTCAAAGCTTGCAGTAGATGGAGCTTCACATGTGTCAAGCATAGTTCGGGGAACTGTGGGTTATCTGGACCCCGAGTAAGGCCTTACTTCTACTAAAACCTTTCTTCTTTGCTTAAAATCAAGTTAAATGACTCTTTGCACTGATTTTGCTATTGTTGCTGCTGCTGTGGTCCTCAAATGATTGAATTGTTTTTCGAAGACAAAATTATGTGTTTACGGACAGAGAAACAAGGAAGAAGAGGAATTTCTATTTGTGATGACTATTATTATCATGTTTAAAGATTATTCAAGTCTATCCTTGTGTATCCTTCAAATTCCTTTTGCCATAGTAATCTCTGTTTGCGGCCATCCTCTCATTCCAAATCAACTGTTATTGGGGGAAAATTAGTTTTCTGCAATGCAGTGTGAAATTCTTGATCGCTTTGAGTTTATAATTTCTTTTCTTTTGGTGTACAGGTATTATATCTCCCAGCAATTAACAGATAAAAGTGATGTCTATAGCTTTGGTGTTATTCTTCTAGAACTGATGTCTGGTCAGGAAGCCATATCTAATGAAAGCTTTGGTGTTAATTGCCGTAACATAGTGCAATGGGTAAGTTCATGTGGTTACACAAAAAGGCAGGAGGAAACTTTTCTTTCAAATACATATGAATATAAAGTTCTAAATAACTTGTTCTGCTCAACTAATTCAAATTTAAACAGTTATTAATATTAGTAAATAATAACAATGAAATTGTCCAAAATGTTACTTTTATTTCGTTCTGCCTCACCTGCTAGATTTCTCAATGTACTTTCCTGCTGCTCATTGTTTGGAAAATAAATTGAGATAATCGGCAAGGACCTTAGTTGCAAACTCTGGTATGGTAGCAAATGATTTTGCACTTGCTATTTGCTAAATGCTTTCATTTGTTGATTTCTTCGATAAATATATTGTAGGCAAAGATGCATATTGAGAGTGGGGATATTCAAGGAATCATTGATCCTTCCCTATGCAATGATTATGACATACAATCAATGTGGAAGATAGCAGAGAAAGCTTTGAATTGTGTGCAACCCCATGGACATATGAGGCCATCGATATCGGAAGTTCTCAAGGAGATCCAAGATGCTATCTTAATCGAAAAGGAAGGGATGGTAGTGAGAGAAGGTAACTCTGATGATATGTCTAGGAACTCTGCCAATTCTTCCTTTACCCCTGTTTCCTTGGATTTGGCTGGAACTGATAATTACCTGTCCTTAGATGACTCCATTGCACGGCCAGCAGCACGATAGTCTTTTGTTTATTCATGTACAAAGAGACAATCCCTTCTGTCCCCATCTGTTTTCCTATTCTTTGTTAAATTGCTGGAATCTTCAACCATGCTTTAGGTTTCAGGAAACTACTCCGGCAACCCACCCCGAAATGGAGGAAAGATAAAAAGAACAGATGATCTCAAAGACAGAATAGGGCCAAGTTTTTCAGCTTGTAAATTTTGAGGTTGTTTCATAGTACAACTTCATTTTGCATGATGAAATCTATGTTCTTTACAAGGGAAAAAAACCATTCTAAATGATATCAAATCGATTAAATTGAAGTATCCAACAACTTCATGTGGAAGAGATGGTTTTTCATCTATTACTGGATTGATTTTAGGTTTGATAGATCACTATCCATGCAATTTTGACATGGTTTTCTCCATGCTTAGCTTGCATGGGACATGTATGATTTCTTTTCATATTGCATGGTGAAATGTACAATTGAGGATTTGGTAAGCAAGTTGCATCTGATTTGATTGAAACATTGGGGATGAAGGGGGCCAAGCCACCCATAAAATGGTGGCAAATTTGTGATTATAAGTGTGGACTAGCTCGGAAGTAGCTATCTCTTGTTGGAAAGGCAAAGACATGTTGAAACTTGCAACTGGTATGAAACAAAGAAAGATACTTCCTTACCAAAAAAAAAAAAAAAATGAAAGATACTTCGGTTAAGAAGTTTACCATGTGTTTGACGGCCCACCATGTTTGGTACACCATCACATCACCGTACGCCATGATTAGTAACCATTTCCTACCTTCTATTTCAATCGGTTAATGGAACTTGGGAGGGTAAAATTAATTTGAATATGGAAAATTCATTTAGGTTTCGTTTCGGAAAAAATAATTTTGTATTTTTAAATATTTATTTTATAGAAAATTGGTTGAATAATAAAAATAATTTATTAGTCAATAAAAAATAAGATTATTCTTTTAAAAATTATCTTACGAATTTAAAAATAAAAAAATATTTTTTTAGAAAAGAGATGTTTATGAATAGAATTGGTTATTAATATTTTTAAATATAATTTTACTTATAAATAATATTATATTAATAAATAATATTATAATCTATTAATAAATAATATAAATAATAATAAATAGTTTATTTTAAATTTTTTATATTAACATAATATTTTTAATATTAAATATTATTAATAAAATATAATTATTTTTAAATATTACTAATAAATATTTAATAATAAATAAATTTTAATATTTTAATAGTAATATTAATATTATTTGCATAAAACAATCAAACAACAAAAAATATTTTTCATTAAATAAAAAATCTTTTTCAATTCAAAAATTATTTTTTCAAAATCATTTTTAATGAAACAAACGTAGTCTTAATTTGTTGGAATATGAATTTGGTTCACTTCAATTTGATTAAAAAATTAATAATTTAAAATTGAAATAATTAATAACAATTATGTGATTGATTAATAAAATATTAAAATTTTAGTTTTAATGATTATAATATAACTTTTGATAACTTTAAATATAAAAAAAATTGACCCATGTAATTATCACTTTTGTGAAACTTATATTATATTTTTAAATAAGTGTTCAATTATTTCAATAAAAGAGATAATGTATAACAAATTACTCAATGAGGTGCTTTTGAGATTATTAAAATTTTATTTGATTCAATCAAATTATTCGGTTACAGTTTCTCTAATCATATAATATTGATAATCATTACCTCGAAGTCGAATAATCTATCAATGTGACTAAAATGATAGATAGAAGAAGATGTAGTATGTGTTTTTATTAAAATAAATAAAAAACATAATACCCGTAATTTTATTTTAGTTTTTGTGTCAGTATTTTATTTCTACTTTGCTGTATATAAAATTAAAATCTGTGAAAAGAAAACCCGAAACGACGGCGTTGGTTTTGAGCCATTTGACGGAGTGCAAAATCACCGAACAGCTGGTCAAATGGGAGATCGCGAACTCTTCCAGAAACAGAAACCGCGGAAAATCCCGAAATATAAAAATTAAACCCCACCCCCAACCCAAAAAAAAAAAAAAAAAAGAAGCTAAAGGAACCATAATAAATATATTAAAAATAAATAAATAAAATGGAAAACCTAACCAACGGTGTTGATAAACCGCATTCTCGCATCTGAGTGTCTCCTTTTTCCTTTCTTCTCCAGCGTCCGATCCCCTCTCTTTCTTCCTCTCGTAATCCAATCTCCCTCTCTCCCGCCTTTTTCTTTTTCTTTTTCTTTTTATCATTTCATTTTTCCCACCGAGGTAAGTTTCCCCTTTCCTTCCCTCTTTCTCTCCTATTTTCCTCTTCTTAGGGTTACTGTTTAGAAATAAGAGATTTAATTATTTATTATGATTTTCGGTAATTTGTTGGAGCTAGGGTTTTCGCTATGGCGGAGGCACCGGCTCCTGCGAGTCCCGGCGGCGGAAGTCACGAGAGCGGCGAGCAGAGCCCGAGGTCCAATGTGCGAGAACAGGACAGGTATCTTCCTATCGCTAACATTAGCCGTATCATGAAGAAGGCTCTTCCTGCCAACGGCAAGATCGCTAAAGATGCTAAAGAGACCGTACAAGAGTGCCTCTCGGAGTTCATCAGCTTCATCACTAGCGAGTACGATTCTCTACTTTTTTAAAAAAAATTTTCGGTTAATTTAGTCTTTTAGTAATTATTTTAGCTGAGTTTATTAGTTTAATCATAAGAAATTTATTTGTAATTGGAAAATTGGTTATGAATTGATGTACAGAGCCAGCGACAAGTGCCAGAAGGAGAAGAGGAAGACAATTAACGGGGATGATCTGCTCTGGGCTATGGCAACTTTAGGGTTTGAAGATTACATCGATCCACTAAAGACTTACCTTACCAGATATAGGGAGGTGGTTATCTCAAAACTGTTATTGGTTAATTCATTCGTTTTTCTTCCGTATAGTTATTTTGGATCTTAAATTTTGTGACCCTTTCATCTAAAGAAAATGAAACTGATTATTATCCTATATGTTGGAGGCAGAGTTCAATAACTTCACAAATGGGTTTGCCACTTGCCTATTTAACTAATTGTGTTAAATGAATAATTTAATACTGATTTCCTTGTATGTAGTTTAATGAGCATGTGACAATCATATACATATTACATCTTGTCATTGAGTTTCTTTCAAGACTTAAATGCTGGTGTATATGATAATAGTCCATCTGAAAATACTGGGAAAGAAATTTGGCTTATGGATGGTGAAATATGTGGGATTTCTAAGTTTTGTTCCTTTTTCTTGTGATTGCTCTGATTTTAAATAATTGTTTATTCTCTGACTTCTATCATCTGCTTTAATCACTAACTTCTTTGTAAGTTGTAGCGAACTGATTTTTTTTCCTGGTTGTTTTCATGGTCAATTGGATCATTACAGATGGAGGTGAGTTAATACTTTCTTCTTCAAATGGTGTTGCTACTTTATTAAATATTTTATTGCCTTACACCTCTCTCCTCCAAGCTACCTCTCTGATGTGGCTGTGGCTTTCCAACTATGTTGTTTGATAGGGTGATACCAAGGGCTTAGCTAAAGGAGGAGATATATCTGCTAGGAAAGATGTCCAACCAAGCCCAAATGCCCAGGTGAAGCATGAGTTTTTTATTACTGCTACATTCATTTTAGTTTTGTTCCTCATGAATTGCACTTTTTTTGTGCCTTTTTGTTCTTAAACAAAGTTCTGCCTACACCAACTATGCCGTCTTATTCATCTTTCTGGTAAATAATTCTTGCAGCTTGCTCATCAGGGGTCATTCTCACGAGGTGTTAATTATGGGAATTCTCAAGTAATCTCTCTCTTCCTCTGGTGGTGTGTGTGTCATGGAACATATCAACACATAAGCACACTAATGAATCCTTACATATATTTATGTCTTCGTAAGGTGCTTTAATTGTGGTTATCCTGCATCTTTTTGTTTGCTTTAGTATCTTATATGGCTGCTTATGGTTGTCAACAATCATAACTTAGCCTTTCAAGGTACAACTGGAAAACATTTTTTATTTGTAAATGATTGTCGCATATCCTGACAATAAATGACACAACAAAATGAGTTTATCCATTGATGCTTCAAAACATTGATGTGAAGGATCTGTCTAGATGCTGTTAAGTATATTTAAAGGAACAAGTATTCTAAACACTGCTAGTGATATTGTGTATTTACCTATTGGAATAAGTACTGGTCTAAATTATGCTAAATCTTTTAATTGGCAGCATAATCTGGCAGTAGTTGCTTCCTTGACTATAACATATCAAATCGTATGAACACTTAGGTGCTTAGTAAGATCATCTTATATGAAAGGTGTGTTGCATGTGTAGAGATAATGAAGGACTTACATAGTATGTAATCTGAATGTCCAGAGTATATAAGTTAATACCTACTAAGAGAAATGAGTTTAGTGCTACATGATATAGGATAGAAACCCAGGGTTTCAAATAGTGCCAGCATTATGGTGTAGCGGCCGCTATTTAGTGGTGGTGGAGGGTAGCGGCACCCACCACCATTGCTATTTACCCGCAATGGGGTTGTGAACAGCAATCACACTCACAGCGGGGCTTTGCAGCTGCAAATAGCGGCATAATGGGATGTTAAAGCCGCTTTTCATATTTTCCAAATCAAATCACACAATAAACAAAATCAAACTAGAGAAGAAAACCCACCCTAGCTTCAAACAATTAAGTTGAAATCCAACAAATTTAAGCCTCAATCAAACTAAAAAAAAGAAATTAATTTATGGTAAAAAAAACAAATACCCATTTTTTAAAATTTGAGTTGCGGATGGTTTGAAGAAAGAGCTCTCAGATAGCCTTCATACCCGTCGACTTTAGGCTGTGCTTTGTGTTATCTTCTCCAAATTTGACTGTTGAGAGGGATAGATAAATGAGACATGGCAGTTTAAAATCTCTTGAAGAAGAGGCAGTGAGGATCTGAGCAAGACATGAGGGTGGTTGGTTGTGTTTGGTGACTCTGTTGCAAGATGGGGAAGAAAAATATAGACAGAGGAGGAATGAGAAACAGAGGAAAATGGGATGGGGATTTGCATGGGCTAAAGACCTTGCTCTACTATTGGTGAGAAGAGAAGAAAATGGGTTTGGAATTTACTGAGAATTTGGTTTACAAATGAATATTTTTTGTAAGTTTATTTAAAATGTTACACTTGTGTATTTGATTTAATGGTAAAATACAAATACCAATGTTCAAGAAATTATATTTTAATCCCTTACCCCAATAATCATATCTTATAAAAGAAAATTTTAATGTTCATCATCATTCTTGCTAATAAGATTAAATATGTATTTATAACATTCATGTCCATAAAATTCATGAATATATTAACAAACATGTTAGATATACTTATTAATTTATGAGTTGTAACTAAAAATTTTATTTTAACATATAAATGAAAGAATTAAAATGTGACAAATTACTTTAAGTATAATATATAAATGTTATTATGATTATAATAATTATTTAGTTCATTTTATGATAAGTTGTGTAAAATAGAAAAAAATTAACGACTGCAATGAGCACAATTACTATTATTTTATTCGTTACGTTTGCAACCGCAATAAACGCAATGTGTTTGAAAGTGTGACCGCGTTCGCAGTATAAATCCCTGTAGAAACCTAATCTTAAGAAATGGATAAAATAGCTGCTTTATAAGATCATCCTATATGAAAGGTGTATCACCTGTGTAGATAATGAAGGACTTACATAGTATGTTATCTGAATGTCCACAGATTATAAAAGTTAATATCTACTAAGACAAAGGAGTTTAGTGCTAGAGGATATAGGATAGAAACCTAATCTTAAGAAAGGGATAAAACCCATCACTGAACCATCATAGGAATAGTAGAAATAGGCTCATACTTAACCCATGGAGTTTGTGAATGAAGCCACACAAAGGATCTTCACAGATAGTTTACTAGCTATGTGACTATCTGTACTGCATTTCTTTATTGGTTATATTTGCCTAACTCATGTCATTTATTTATTTTTATGGAACCTAAGTCATCTTAAAGAAGTGATAGAACCATCATAATGCCCCATTTCAATTTTTTAAAAATTTATTTATGGATTAGTTGCTTTAATAATTACTTTGTAACATGTCAATATGATAGCATACCTTAAAAGTTCACATTTTATACAGAGCTTAAGCTGATACCTTCACATATTTGGCATTTGAGTCTTGCAAATGTTCTCAATTGCTTCTTGTATACATCTATGGATTTCATTGTTGCTGTTGGCTCTTCTGGAGTATTACTTGTACTCTCTCACAGTGAAGCAATTAGCAAATGTAGTTTTATCCTGCACTATTATTGCTTAAGTCCTAGTGATCAAATTGTGTATGTGGTGTGATTTACATTGGTTTTAGTCTAAGGTCTTGGTTGGTTTACTGAATAACATCTTGAGTGGAAGATACTTATCAATATCAATCTTTGAAGCACCATATGTATTAAGTCCTTCGTACAGTGAGATATGTGCACCATCCATGACAGTGTTATTGCTATTTGATTGGTTGAATGTGACATGAATACATAAGTGCTTTGTATTCCCCTCAATACTGCATGACGTGCCATTGATATTATCCCAATTCTCTATACTTTTTTGTCACTATCACCATGCTGTTACCACCAATTCTTTTACTTCTAGATGGGATCATTGTGCTTAATCCTGTTGCCATTGCTTATACCAAGCCATTTGTCCATTGCTATCTTATGGTGCCACTGCTGTTGCCGGCATCTTTAGTATGGTGCTCTTTTTAACTCTGGCTAAGTTCATATCAACAGGACCATACTATCTTTTTTATCGTTAATTCTAATCTCAGGATTAGTGATCTATCCAAACAGGATAAAGAAGAAAATATGTCCTGTCTTTTTTTTTTTAACGCTTAAGAGTTGCTTGGATAGTTATGGTTAAACATTACTTGTACTTGAAAGGTAACTCTGGTTCTTTAGTGATAGTCACCTTGAAAAGAAAGTTAGTAGGAAATCTGGCTTGTTACTTGGGAAGCACGTACTGGCCTATCATACCTCAAAGGAAATGAAGTGAGGATGTGAGCTGGTTAATCTACCTTGTGATACATGGAATTTTTTTTTTTTTTGCTACTAATTAGTTACAATGCCAAGCATTTTAAAACTCTAAGAAATTCATTTCTCTTTTTTTTTTCCTTAAAAAAATGAATAATTTGTTTCATCCTTACGAATTTTTTGGTATGTGGCGTCATTGATACACATGCTTATGCATAGACTTGTAAGGCTTTCGCTAATATTTGGTTCTTTGTTTGTCTTTTTCTCCATTTTCCTTCTTTTTTTTTTTTTCCCTAACTACCGGTGAAGATTCAATGTTGCGATGATGCATATTTCTTCAATCGTTACATTTCTGCCTTAATGCTGTTGCTTGATGATCTTTTAATTAGAAGAAAAAAGATTTGTTTGGTTGGTTCTAATATATTTGAACTTATGTAGTCACAGGCCCATCCGATGGTTCCGATGCAAGGCACCGAGTAAGAGATTCATCCTTCTTCAGCCAATTCCATCATCCAAATCCCATTAAATATCATGGTTCAATGCTGCAACAAATAGTAACAAAATGACGGTGACATTTGGGATGGTTGGCATCCTCTTATCCTGTAAGCTGTTATTTTCTAGTAATGTTTGTATGTCAGTTGTTCTTTGAAATAGATTCACTTTTCAAAGAATTGTGTAAATCTTGGGAGGATTGTAAATTTGAGCTCTTGGGGAGGACAACATAATATTCTGGTATGACATTGTTTAGGAAACTTCATATGCTTCTGATCATCCTATTTTTATGTGACTCTGAACAATGTAAGGTCCAATGGACAAGATTATTTATTTGATTGTTGATTTCAACTGTCAGTTAATTTTATTCTTATTCTTATTATTATTTTTTTATTGGTTTGATGATTGACCCGCTCTTAGGTAATTGCATGTTATGGGAATGTTTGATTTCCAGTTTCCTCAGTCACCTTTGAATTGAAGGGATAGAAAAGTCAGAGTAAATTCTACCAAAAAAAGAAAAAAGAAAAAAAGCCAATACAGTGTAATCATGTGACAAATGACATGTACATTTCATGCTTTGCTTGATATGGTTGGGGTTCTACTTTTTCCATTTAAGAAGTTTATTACTATTAATAGGGTGGAGTCTGATATGGGGAATTCAAAAGAGTAGGGTTAATAGGACGGAGAAGATCGTTGTATCTAATTGTTGCCTTGGCAAGAAGCTTTCCTGGCTTGCCAAGGCACCAATGTTGTCGGCTTTTGCGTGTCCCAACCAATGTGCTTTGCTTTTCTTGGCCTCCGGTGCATTCAAAAACCGAGAGTATCATTCTTTTTTTATTCTTTCTTAAGCGAATCAATCATCCAAAGTTATAAAAAAAATGCAAATACCCCGTCGTCTCCCTTTTCTTTTAATTTCCTTTTTGTAATTAATTCTTGAATTGATGCTTTTATTTTTAACAAATATATCTAGAGACCCATTTAGAATTGGGCCGAGCTAAGAATCCATGATTTTTTAATTAAGAGGCGGTGTTGACTTCAAAGACTGTACAAAGGCAAAATCTAATTATCGTAGGCCGAAACTTTCGTATCTGTCACAAAGTCACAACCAACGATCATAATCAGTACAGCTAGAACTTTTGAAGGTGTACGATTTTTAATACGGCTCAGTCTCACAAGATATTGACCAGAGCCAGTAGAATTGTAATACAGGCTTATTTACAATATCAATTGGATTCAATTCCCCCCTGTCTCTCTCTCTTTTAAGTGCTTCCATAAATTACAGAAAATGCCCCCGATTTCCATCCTCATCACAATCGCATAAAAACTCTTTCTTTATTTAATCTACAGAAGGAAAATATAGGATCAGCAACAAGAAGAAAAAAGAAAGAAAATAAAAGAAAAAGAAGGAAGAAAAGGTCGTCTTCCTTCTATAAGTAAATCCGTTAGTTTCGAAAATTCTGTAGGTCTTCGATTCTCTTGAAAGACCGATTGATCAAAAATTCTTCTCTTTAGGTACATTAATTGAAGAAAAAAACATGGAAAATTTTTTTAATGTGATTTGTTTTATTTTCCTTTGATACTTTCAGCTTATTGCTTTTTGTTTTTCCTCTTTTTTTTTTTCTTTAATTTCCATTTTGTTTTCTATTTCTTTTTTTTTTTTTAACATTTTTGCTAGCTGTTTTAAGGAGTGATGATCATTTGGTTTAGATGATTGATGAATCGGTTATTTCTTAAACCAACCCTAAATTTTTTTGCTTGTTTTAATTTTTCTCTGTCTTTTAAACACTGTGTTTTTTATTTTTATTTTTTTAAAAAAATTCCTTTTTAATTTCAATAAACTGAACTTTTTGATTATTAAATTTTGATGATGATTATTAAGTTTTGTTCTTTATTTGTGCTCATGTTTTTTTATTTTTTCATAAACATTTTTATTACTGTACAACATTAATTTTCTACGGCACTTCGCATATGTTCTTCGGTATGAATTTACACTCTGTTTAATGCGATTAATTTATTGTTTTTATTTTTAATATCACAGGTTTGAGTGAAATATTTATTGAAAAATTCTTCAGTTAAAGGCCAAAGAAAGAAAAAAAAAAATCAAATGGAAAATCGAGGACAGAAACGAACGGAAACGGCCGACGAATTACCAGCAGATAAGCGAGCTTGTAGTTCATTAGAGTTTCGACCAAGTTCCTCCAACTCTTCCTCAATCCAAACTCACCTCAATTCACCTAATTCCACTCCCGGTGCTGACATAGGCACTTCCTCCTCCGCCTCGGCCTCGAGCCGATCAGACGGTGAACACGAGAAGGAAGAAGATTCAGCATACGGATCATGCGATTCCGAGGAGGCCGACCAACAACCACGGCATCACATTTTAAGAGATTATCAGAGAAGAAGATCATCGAGTGATCATGGAAAATTGAATAATATCTTGTCAAATTTGAACGAAGAAGGAGATGGAGGTTCTGGTCAATTGGCTGCGTTGACAGAACTTTGTGAAGTGTTATCCTTTTGTAACGAGGATTCTCTCTCGAGTTTGATGGCGGATTCTTTATCACCAATACTTGTAAAGCTTGCCAAGAATGAGAGTAATGCTAATATAATGCTGTTGGCAATTAGGGGCATAACTTATTTATGTGATGTGTTTCCTAGATCATCTGGTTTCCTTGTTAGGCACGATGCGGTTCCTGCTCTTTGTGAAAGATTGTTGGCTATTGAATATGTGGATGTAGCCGAGCAGGTAAAGTTTTTAAGTTTGTTTGTTAGATTATAGTGTGATTGAAGTAACTGAATTCATTATGCTAAGAAATGTTTGTTTTTTGTTATGCAGTGTTTGCAAGCATTGGAGAAAATATCTCGTGATCAACCGCTTGCTTGTCTACAGGCTGGTGCAATTATGGCTGTTCTGAATTTTGTTGACTTTTTCTCAGTTAGCGTGCAGGTAATTCAATGTGCATTGAGTTCTTACTTTGAGAATTAGGATATATGTTGTTTTGTTGAATTTTGATTCTAAGTTTGCCAATTAGAGAGTTGCACTTTCCACTGTGGTGAACATTTGTAAGAAACTTCCATCGGAGTGCCCTGCACCTTTTGTTGAAGCTGTTCCCAAATTATGTGATTTACTTCAGCATGAGGATCAACAGGTTTTTAACCGTTTGTAGTTTTCCTCGTTTGGATGACTCCTTCAATATGTTTATTTCTCATATATTTTGTTGACATAAGAATTTCTACGTTGTTCAAAATTTCCAGCTTGTTGAAAGTGTGGCTACTTGCTTGATCAAAATATCTGAGAGAATGTGTCAGTCTTCTGAACTGCTAGAGGAACTTTGTAAGCATGAGCTGATTAATCAAGTCACACGCCTTGTGAACTTGAATAGCCGAACTACTGTATCCCAGCCAATTTACAATGTATGCAAATTTCCTTGATCATGGTTCAGACGTTAGATATATTCATCATTCTTCACTTCTCGTTATATGGTAATTTGATCATTCCATGTTGGTTGGCAGGGCTTGATAGGATTACTTGTCAAACTTTCTTCTGGTTCATTTGTAGCTTTTAGGAGTCTGTATGAGCTAAATATAACCAGCACGCTGAAGGATGTGTTATCTACTTATGACCTCTCGCATCGAATGTCTTCTCCACACTTGGTTGATGGAAATTGCAATCAGGTTTGCATCTTAGACTGGACAATTTCTCTGAAGGCTGTTCCATTTTAGTTGGTAATGGCTTGAGCGTTTATTCTGACCCTATCCTTGTAGTGGATAATGGTAACTACCATGGATGGGCACCAAGTTCATCTCCAACCATAATACTGTTATTATTGGTTGTCTAGCTCTCAAGTTATACGTTCAAGTTTTAATGACTCTATTTAAGTCAACAGCAGGTGTTCTTTTATCAGAAGAAAAGGCACTGATCACTATTGCTATTGTCTCTGGCAGGTACATGAAGTTCTGAAGCTGCTCAATGAGCTGCTTCCCACCTCAGCTGGAGATCAAGTTAATCAGGTAGTGTTGGATAAGCAATCATTTTTAGCTGATCACCCTGATCTTCTGCAAAAATTTGGAATGGATATACTTCCCACGCTGGTCCAGGTTAGCTCCCTGATATGTACAGTTGAAATCACTGTATTTTGTCCTTTCAATAGCGTTATAATACATGCTTTACCAATCGCACAGGTGGTTAATTCTGGTGCAAACATATGTGTTTGCTATGGCTGCCTATCTGTTATTAGCAAGTTAGTTTTTCTGAGCAAATCTGACATACTTGTTGAATTGTTTAAGACTGCCAACATTCCAAGGTGAATAGGGATCTTTTTTTCTTGTTCTTTTCTTTTAAATACATAAAAGATAAGCTGACAGATCTTGAATATATTTTCATGGAATCTATATATGGCAGTTTCCTGGCTGGAGTGTTTACTCGAAAGGATCACCATTTGCTGATGTTAGCCCTACAGATTGCTGAGATGATCCTCCAAAAGCTTGCTGAAGTTTATTTGAACTCATTCATAAAGGAGGGTGTTTTTTTTGCCATCGATGCATTGCTAATGCCCGAAAAATGCTCGCAAGCTATGCTTCCAGTGTTCAGTGGCATCCAACCGTCATTTGATTCAAGCCGAAAATCTTCCGCAAGGGAGGTCCAGCGATGCTTGTGTTATGCATTTGATACAATGTCATCTTCCTCAGTTCCACCTTGCAAGCTTGACAAGGATACTGTTTGCAATCTTGCAAAATATATTAAAAGCAATTACTTTGCTGCAGAATTACTTGAATCTGAGAAAGGAATGACTGATATTCTTCAAAATCTCAGAACCTTCTCTGCTGCTTTGAGTAATTTGATAAACATGCCTGTTGTTGATGATACTCCTGTTCAACATGAAGAGAAGTTCTACAGTATATTGAATCAAATTATGCTGAAGCTTAATGGTAGAGAGCCTGTTTCCACTTTTGAATTTATTGAAAGTGGAATCGTAAAATCACTTATGCATTACCTATCTAATGGTCTGTACTTGAGAGATAATGTGGAATTTAATGGTATATATGATCATTTGCTTGTTCTGGGAAAGAGATGTGAGGTGTTTGCAAAGTTGTTTTTGTCTTATTCAGATATCCCTGTTGAGGACTTGCCTCTGTCAGTATTAATACAAAAATTACAAAGTGCATTGTCATCCTTGGAAAATTTCCCTGTTATTCCAAGCTATGGATTCAAGCAGAGAAATTCATTTGCTACTGTCCCAAATGGACGTTGCGTTATGTATCCATGTTTTAGGGTTCGTTTTGTGAGAGGGGAGGGGGAGACCTGCCTTTCTGATTTCCCTGAAGATGTTTTGACTGTTGACCCATTTTCTTCGTCAGATGCCATTGAAGGATATCTTTGGCCCAAAATTTTCACTAAAAGAACAGAAAATGGGGAATCAGATGCTGAAGCATTGGAACAGATGGAAAGTCCACCTATTCTTTTACCACCAAATGCAAACTCTAGTCAAGGCGAGAGTTCAGGTTTTATAGACAGCATGTCCACTGATTTGCCAGGGACGCAGGTGACTCCTGTGGTTTGTTGACCTTAATGAGATGAATTCTTTAGTAGCATGATTTTTTTTCTTGCATTTCTTTATTTATTATGTTATATTTGATGAGTTCTGAGCTTTACTCAATACTTGCAGCTATGCTTTCCTGCAGGAAGATGAGGCTAACTTGTCACAGTTTGCCTCTGAACAAGTGCATTTCAGAGAAGCAAATTCTGGTGAAACAATGTCATTGGATGAAATTGATATTGTATGTATTATTAGTTTATTTTTGGTTTATGTCTTGTATGTATCATATAAGCCTGCTTAAACTACTGTTTCAGTTGTCTATATCCAGTGTTTTTTTTCCCTTATTGTAAGGGTTGCTTTGATTTAAAATAGGTACTTTATTCTGACTGACTGCAAATTGCATTATTTTACAGGGCTCTGCTGTGCAGGAACGACAGTTTCCTACTGGGTCAACTACAGAAATGAAAACTCTCTGTTCGGCATCTAGTAACAATGACATTGAAGATTCCTCACCTAGACTATTGCTTTATCTAGAAGGACATCAACTACGCCGAACTTTGACTCTATATCAAGTAATTCTTCAACAGCTATTAAATTCAGAGAATGAATTTATTCAATGGGCAAAATTATGGAGTCAAGTATACACAATAACATACAAAAAGGCTGTGGAATCTAAGCAAGACGATCTTCAAGAGCATACATATCTAGAATGGAAGTCCTCAATATTACATAAAATTATTGCCTATAAGCAGTATATGGCATTTTTTTCCAGCATGTTCGCTTGCAAACTTGCTTCTGATTTAGACAAGTCAAGTCCCACTTACGATATACTGTTTCTGCTCAAAAGTTTGGAAGCCATCAACAAATGTTCATTTCATCTAATGTCTTGTGAGCGGACACGTGCATTTGCTGAAGGTAGGATTGATAACTTGGATAATTTGAAGGTAACGGTTCATTCAGTTCCTCAAAATGAGTTTGTAAGCAGTAGGTTGACTGAAAAGCTAGAACAGCAGATGCGGGATACTTTTACTTTGTACACCGGTGGTATGCCTTCATGGTGTAATGAGTTAATTGCTTCATGTCCCTTTTTGTTTAGCTTTGACGCAAGATGTAAGTACTTCCGATTGGCAGCTTTTGGTCCACGAAGAGCTCAACTTCCTGCCATGTCACGTAATTCAGGTGCTTCAAATGACAGGCAGCCTATTGCAGGTGGTTTGCCTCGTAAGAAATTTTTAGTTTGGCGTGATCGAGTTCTGGATTCTGCTACCAGAATGATGGACCTACATGCTCGTCATAAGGGGCTTCTTGAAGTGGAATATAATGAAGAAGTTGGCACTGGTCTTGGTCCAACTTTAGAATTCTATACTCTTGTTAGTCATGAATTTCAGAAATCTGGCCTTGGCATGTGGAGAGAGGACCATAGTTTATTTATCACTTCAAAAACCTTGCCTGTTGCAGATTCTGGAATTCTAAGAAATCCTTTCGGGCTTTTCCCTCGTCCACTGTCACCTACATCAGATTCATATAATGGGGTACAGTTCTCTGAAGTATTAAAAAAGTTTGTTCTTTTGGGTCAAATTGTTGCAAGGGCTATTCAAGATGGAAGAGTCCTAGATATTCCCTTCTCCAAAGCCTTCTACAAATTAATTTTGGGGCAGGTATTCTTCTGACCTGTAAATTGTAATCATGATTTAACATTACACTCTAGAAATTAAGATATGCATCCTTTTGGTTTTGTAGGACCTTAGTTTGTATGACATCCTATCATTCGACCCTGAGCTTGGTAGGACACTACTGGAGTTTCAGGCTATTGTTAATCGGAAAATTCATCTGGAATCCACTTGTGTTGAAAACCCAACATTGAAACTGGATTTGTGCTTTCGAAATACCATGATTGAGGACCTTTTTCTGGACTTTACCCTTCCTGGTTATCCTGATTATGTTATTTCTTCTGACTGTAATCACAAAATGGTGAGAATTTCTCAAGTACGATTACATTCATTTTTCCTGAGAGCCATTGATTGAATTAATTCAAACTTGATTCATGTTATTTATGCATTGTTCCCAGGTAAATTTGGCTAATTTGGAGGATTATATTGAGCATGTTGTGGATGCTACCATACATAGTGGAATTGTCAGACAAGTTGAAGCTTTCAAGTCTGGATTTAACCAGGTATGTACCATCATACACTGCATGATTTTTTAAAAAGAAGTTAGCAAAATGGTGATGTCTTCAATCCTAGTGTGTTCTACTTGACTAAAACTGACCATGTAGACATTCAATTTGTTCTACTTGATGTGTTGTAAACTTGAAGGAAATAATGTTTGAACGAGTTGTGTAGCCAGTCCTGTTATTTTTAATTCAGAAAGGATTATATTACTCTTTAGTGTGATCTTTATTTGCTATGAGAGATTCTTACACAAGTTGGTTAGGTTAATGCTTTGCCAGGGGCAAGTTGTTTCTGTGATATATGATATTTTTCTCTTCATCTATATGTTCACTAGTCTGAAGTCTCTCTGCTGGGTGAATAGATTTTACTTTAACCATTTGATTAAAAAGTTTTTCATCTTCATTCCTTTCCATCCTACCGAGCAAAGCCTAAATGTTGCCCCTCTTGGCATAGTTATCTGGGAGCCAGATAAGCCAACTGAGATTTAGATAAGCTGTTTTCAATATATTAATAATAAATTAGTAATTACTCGACTTTTAAGACTGATGTTAACTAGAAATATGGTTTTCGTGGCTGTTATAGAAATGACTCTTTTAATTTGATGCCCCCTATTAAATAACTGATTTATGCTTCCTTTGCACGTAGAGTTTAATGAAGCAATTTGCTTTCCCACAGACCCAAATGACTCACATCGCAAGAAAATTTTAGAAACACAATTATAATTCACCATATTAGTGCATTGTGGTTGCTTCTTTCCGCTGTATTCCAGATGATATAAAAAAGTTTTAACTGCTTAGCTTTTATGGATATGTTGATAGTTGATGTGATAGGGGAAGAGATAGAAAGGGCTATGAGATTGAGTAGCTTCTATAGTTGATTGTGTCTTATCAGTCTAATTTTAACCATAGGTCTGTCAATCTGTCACTTCAATTTTCCCTGCATAGGTCCTATTTGGATATCTTTTTTTTTCAAAAAAAAAAAATGAAATACTTAGGGCAATGGTTTCCTTCTTAACATGTCTGATTCTTGCTTTTGTTGCAGGTTTTTGCAATTAAGCATCTTTGTATTTTTACTGAGGAGGAATTAGAGCGTTTACTCTGTGGAGAATGTGATTTCTGGGCTGTATGTATATCTACCACTTGATTAATGAGTCTATTTGGGGGAGAGATGGATTACCTTTACTGAGTTTTAATGTTGTTTTTTCTAACAGTTCAACGAAGTTCTGGAACATATCAAGTTTGATCATGGATATACAGCTAGCAGTCCACCCATCATTAATGTTAGTATTACTTGCATTTTCTTTTCTTTGCCACTTCCCTCTTTTTCTTATGCTATCAGCTTTTCTCATCTGCTAAATCTTTTCACTGAGTCACTCGGAATTTCAGCTACTGGAAATTATACAAGAGTTTGATTATGCACAACGGCGAGCATTTCTGCAATTTGTGACTGGCGCACCCCGGCTACCTCCAGGAGGTTTGGCATCTCTAAATCCAAAATTGACAATTGTTCGCAAGGTCTGTATGATCCATACGCCTTGGTTTACCCGTTTGCATTTCTTTTGTCTTATCATGTATTTATTTCTTTAAATTTTAATGTTTCCTTCAGCATAGTAGCAATTGTGCTGATACAGAGCTGCCCAGTGTTATGACTTGTGCCAATTACCTGAAGCTACCGCCATATTCTTCAAAAGTAATCCTTCAAGAAGCTTCATATAATATTATCTTATAGTATTATATTCCTTAAAAAAAAAAAGATAAATTGAAAGAAATATCGGGTGGTAATTTTTTTGCAGGAGAGGATGAAAGAGAAGCTGTTGTATGCGATAACAGAAGGGCAAGGCTCATTCCACCTTTCATAGCTTTTCTGCAGGTATATAATATCTGTGAATTTGTAATTATTAGGTAGGTGCATGGTGTACATGAATTGGCTGGTGAATAGTGATGGTAGTGGGGTTTTGATGATTTAAAGAAGAGCTGATAGTTGCTGGAACAAAAGGAGGCTCTAGGAGTAGCTGACAAATTCGTAAATAAGAAAGGAAATGTGGCTTGTAAAAATAGTAGTTTTAGTTCAAGTTGGGAGCTGTACAGGGAGAGATGGGAGGTTTACTAAGGTTTCCATGGGTGGCTGTTTCTTTCTTCATTTATACTGCACAAAAGTGCCTACAGGATTTGTTTCTTTCTTATTCTTTTAGCCATAAAACTAGCTTTTTTATTCAATCAACGAATACTGTTTTCCCTTCTATTTGTATTACTTCAACTTCACCATTTTATGGAGTTATTATGTGATCAAATTCTCCACGGGAAGAAAAGAATGATTGATTAAATCACGAATTTGGTATGATGCTTAACCTGAACATAATTTGGGGTCATAGTTGGCTGGTGATTTGAGAAGGAAATTTCAGTGCTTGTGTTAGTTTCATGGAATTTAAAAAGAAAATATAATTAATAAGCTGTAAAGCTTACTCGGGAAACAAATGAATTCTTGATTACTATTATTAATACGTAATTGTCAACAGCTAATGAGCGAACCTCCATTTTTAAATAAAAAAGAAAGTGAGAGCCAACAGAAAACTACTTTTAACTATCCATTAATAAAAATGGGATAACGACCAGTGAATGTTACGGCCTGTGGTGGTAAACAAGTGAACATAATCCAGTCGACGTGGTACCCCCGCTTCTCCCTTCAACCACAACGTCAAATCTTTCCTCTTCCTTTCTACGCCTCCATAGAATTCAAATTCAGAAGCTATGAATATTCGTGTGTCTTCTTCTTCTTCTTCTTCCTCGTTTCCCACCACTGTCCACTGGCTCTCTCCTCTTCTTCTACCTCTACCTCCTTCAACCACCACCTCAGCAACCTCTTCTAAGCCCACGCGTCCATTTCGCGTGCAATTCACAGCCCACCAGCAAACTCAACCCACCGCCACTGATTTATCTCTCCCCACTAATAAAAAGAGTAACGATGAACAGACCCTTCTTTCACTCCTCCGCCAAAGAAAGACCGATCAAGCCTGGGCCCATTACTCCCAATCCCCTCACCTCCCAACCCCTACTTGCCTAAGCCGCTTAGTCGCTCAACTCTCTTACCAAACCACTCCACAATCCCTCACACGCGCTCGTTCCATCATCACGCGCCTCCGCAATGAACGCCAGCTGCACCGTCTCGATGCCAACTCCGTTGGCCTACTGGCCTCTGCTTCCGCAAAATCCGGGCATACCCTTTACGCCTCTTCCCTCATCAAGTCCATGCTTCGCTCCGGTTACCTTCCCCACGTTATAGCATGGAGCGCTGTCGTTTCGCGGCTCTCTACTGAGTCACCCTCAGAGTCGATAAACCTTTTTGACTCTGTAACTCGCCGAGTCAGACGTTTCGCGGATCCCTCAATTGTTGCTGACTCCAAACCTGATTCGGCTGCCTATAATGCTGTGCTTAACGCTTGTGCTAATTTGGGGGACAAAAGTAAATTTTTGAAACTGTTTGATGAAATGTCTGAATGGGGTTGCGAATCTGATGTTTTGACTTATAATGTTATGATAAAGTTGTGTGCTAGAGCTGATAGGAAAGATTTGCTTGTGTTTGTGTTGGAGAGGATTATTGAGAAAGGAATACGGTTTTGTATGACTACTTTGCATTCCCTCGTTGCCGCTTATGTCGGATTTCATGACCTTAAAACGGCTGAGAAAATTGTTCAAGCTATGAGGGAAAGAAGGAATGATCTTTGTAAGATTCTCCGGGATGCGAATTTGGAAGATTTAAACCAAGCCGAGGAAGAGGAGGATGAAGAGGATGAGGAGGAGGAGGATAGGAAAGATTTGAGTCAAAATGAGAGACATGATATCGTATTTGAGAAGTTACTTCCTAATTCAATTGAGCCAAATAGTGAACCACCGTTATTGCCAAAAGTGTATGCACCTAACTCGAGGATTTATACGACTTTAATGAAAGGTTATATGAACGCAGGTAGGGTTACTGAGACAGTGAGGACGCTAGAGGCAATGAGGCATCAAGATGATAAGGCTAGTCATCCTGACCATGTTGCATACACAACAGTTGTTTCTGCTTTTGTGAAGGCAGGATTGATGGATAGAGCACGAGAAGTGCTAGCTGAAATGACAAGAGTTGGTGTGCCTGCTAATCAGATTACTTATAATATTCTTCTTAAGGGTTATTGCAAGCAGTTGCAAATAGATAAGGCGAAGGAATTACTAAGGGAGATGGCCGATGATGCAGGGATTAAGCCTGATGTGGTTTCATACAACATATTGATTGATGGATGCATATTGATCGATGACAGTGCAGGGGCTCTTGCATTCTTCAATGAGATGCGGGAGAGAGGAATTGCCCCTACCAAGATCAGTTACACTACTTTGATGAAAGCTTTTGCTTTGTCAGGTCAACCAAACTTAGCTAACAAGGTTTTTGATGAGATGCTTAGAGATCCACGGGTGAAAGTTGACTTAGTTGCTTGGAATATGTTGGTTGAGGGATATTGTAGACTGGGACTGGTTGAAGAAGCGAAGAAAATAATCCAGAGAATGAAAGAAGATGGGTTTTACCCCAATGTTGCCACTTATGGTAGTCTAGCAAGTGGGATTTCATTGGCTAGAAAACCAGGAGAAGCACTTTTGCTTTGGAAAGAGATAAAGGAAAGGTTCGAGATGAAAAAGGAGGGCGAGAATCCACATTCTGGTTCTCCATCTCCTCCGCCATTGAAACCAGATGAAGGGCTGTTAGATACTTTGGCTGATATATGCGTGAGGGCTGCTTTCTTCAGGAAGGCTTTGGAAATTGTAGCTTGCATGGAAGAGAACGGTATACCACCAAATAAGACCAAGTACAAGAAAATCTATGTGGAGATGCATTCAAGGATGTTTACTAGCAAGCATGCCTCACAGGCAAGGCAGGATAGGAGAAGAGAAAGGAAGAGAGCGGCTGAGGCATTCAAGTTTTGGTTGGGTTTGCCTAATTCTTATTATGCGAGTGAGTGGCACTTTGAACCTATAGACAGATGATTATCCCTCTGAGTTTGTAAAACCACGTAAACATTACTGTATACTTACTATTTTTAATTCAATGAATGTAATTTCTGATGCAAAACAATCGGTCAAGTGGTGTTTCATGTAAGTAATGAATTAAACAAATTTGTGATTGGAGTCTACCTGTTTTAATATGATGGTATTTAGCATCTCGATCTTGATAGGCTGGTACTGGTCTGTCTTGAGCTTCAGAGTTCATACCTGATATGTCTTTGCCTCCTTAAATGGTTACTTACACTACTGAAATTATCTACAAATGTATCTATATAAGGAATTCTAAAAGTTCGAGTGCTCACAATTCATTTTAATCAAATTAATTTAATTAATTTACTCTTATCGAATTAATTTTGTTTGATAATCAAAATAATTTAATTAATTGATTAGTTATCGAATTAATTTTTATCTTTAATAAAAACTAAATTTTTAAAAAATAAATTAATCAAAAAAATTTCAACACAAAATCAAATAAAAGAAGGTTACGGACAAAAATGTTTTTGAGACATTGAGGCCAAGTACGTTGCCACGCTCTAACTTCGTAATTAAGTGACACGTGGAAAACATTAAATCAGCCATAACGCTTGTGATCTCCGCCACGTGTCATCCAGATCGTCATACTTTCAAAAGGGCCCCCAGTCGCAAAAACCATTTCCGGTATAACGCCAGACACGACCCTCCGTCCCTCTATTTCTCTCTCTCTCCCAAAAACCCTTCCCCAAATATCTCAGGAATTAGGGCAACCTCATTTCTGTACCGCACCAAAATCAAGTAAACGAAGGTATGCAGCTTTTTTCTTTATTAATTTCGTTTGATTGTTAATCTCTTTGCAAATTGTTTTTTTTTTTTTAATTAGTATTTCTTTTGAACTGTTAATGGTTTACTAGGGTTTTTTGGTTAATTAGAGTTTTTGATGTTTTCATTTATTTTAGTTTTAGGTTGCTTTAATGTCGAAAAAAGTTCCTGAAGAAATCGACTTGAACTGTGATGCTGTTCCGGTTGACCGAGAAAACGAGGATAATGATATAAATGTTGGGGATCCTTCCTCTAGGGCGGGCACTTGTTTAACTCAAACTGTAACTGAACGAATAGTTGATGAAGGGGTTAGGGACTTTGGGGAGGATAATGAGCCGGAGGGTGGGGTTGAGGAGGTAGGGAAAGAAAGCAAAATTAGGAGTGTAAAAAATCAAGGGATTGATTTGGAAGCTGATATTGGGTCTTTAGGTGAAGAGGTGGATGATAAAGTGAGCATCAGGTTCAGCTCGAGTGGGGTTTCTATGATTGAGGTTGATGGAGGACCAAGAGGAAGTGGAGATGGAGAGAGTGTTTCTATCGAAGACAAGAAACCATTGGAGACTGAACAAATGTCTTTGAGATCTTCTGGTGGGGTAGCAGAGGACCTTAATGTTAATGTGTGTCATAATGAGCACTCATTGATAGAGGGGACTAGTGTTCTGTTGAGCTCAATTGCTGATAATGCTATTAATTCTGGTGATGAGAAGCTGTCTTCTTTAGTGTTAGGTCATGAAAACTCTTTACCTTGTGGGGACCAGAACCTGAGTTCAAAGGAAGGATCTTCTGGTGAATTAGGTAGTTTTGATATGGAAATTGACACACCAGACTATACTGAAAAAAATCAAACCACTGCCATCCAAGGTGAATTGGTTTTTCAGAATGTAGAAAATAGGTCTAACATGCTAAATGATGTGGTAGACTTGAATCAATGTACAAGCACAGATGAGGATTTATCACTTGATGTCAATGCAAAACCAGAAGAACCAGAATTTTGTGTCACTGATTTAGTGTGGGGTAAAGTAAGGAGTCATCCGTGGTGGCCAGGTCAGATATTTGATCATTCAGCTGCCACATCAAAGGCGAACAAGTATTTTAAAAAGAACTGTTATTTGATTGCATATTATGGTGATCAGACATTTGCTTGGAATGAAGCATCACGAGTCAAGCCCTTTAGGCGTCATTTCTCACATATGGAAAAGCAGAACAATATGGAAGAGTTTCACCATGCTGTGGATTGTGCGTTGGATGAGGTTTCTAGACGGGTAGAGTTCGGTCTGGCCTGTTCTTGCATTTCTGAGGAAGCATATGCCCAGGTTAAAACTCAGATAATTGTTAATGCTGGGATCCGGGAAGAATCTAGCAGAAGAGATGGTGGCGACAGGTTTTCAAGTGCTGCTTCCTTTGACCCTTTTGAACTTGTTGAAACTATAAAAGCATTGGCCTTATTACCTTCTTATGGTGAGGTTGATAGACTGCAATTCACAACCTCACAGGCACAATTGTTGGCATTCCATCGTTGGAAGGGTTACTCTCAGCTGCCTGAGTTTCAAAATCTTGGCGAATTGTTGGAGACTGATGCAGAAATCTCTCTCTCTGAGGAAGTGAAGAAATGTGGCAAACTGATTGGAAATGATGTTCCTAGGGTCAAAGTTGACAAACAGGTGCCCTTTGAAAAAGAGAAGCCAGAGAGTCAAGATGGCTCTTCTTGTAAACAAAAGAAAATCCCTATAGTTTCCAGCAAAAAGGAGAAAAGCTTGTCCGATTTTTTAGCTGAAAGGCGCTTGAGTTTGCAAAATTGTAAAAGGAAATTGAATAACAAAGCTGGTGACAAGTTAATTACTTCGTCCCCTGCTAAAAAACTAAAGGTTATTGACTCTGTGCGTAATGACTCAGTGAAACATAACAAAAGTAATGTGTCAACAGGGTCCGTTGATAAGTCTCTGCTGTCTAAGCAAACTTTCGGAGTTGGAGCTAGCATACTTAGAGTTGCAAGCCAACTGAATGGTTCAACAGTTTCAACGCCAGTATTTAAGCATGGTGATGGAACATCTCAAAGGTCTGCAGTTAATAATAAAAGTAAAGGAAAATCTTCGTCTGGTAAACCTCCAGGGAAGAAGGCTTTTCAAACAGATATCTCTTCCCCTGATGAGATGCTCTCACAGCTTTGCTTGGCTGCCACTGATCCCTTGAAAGGGTATAATTTCTTGGCCTCTATAGTTTTTTTCTTTACAGAGCTGAGGAATTCAATTGCTATGGATCTTAACAGCGCTGAAATGTCGGAACAATCTTTGGAACAAGCAACTGATGTTATAATAGGGGAGAAATCAACCGGTTTCAAAATTACTGGAAAGTCTGAGTTGACCTCAATCAAAGACTCGTGTTGTTCTGACAGGATAATCCAATGCCTTCCTGAAGAGCAATTAGCAGTTGACAAGCACAACCTAGCCATAGAGTTTTCTCCTAACACTCTTAGTGAAAAGGGTTTTTCCGTTGTTGAATCGCTATCGACTGTTCAAGCAAGTTCCAGTATGGATTCTGAGCAGAAACATACAGTGACAGATGAGAATCCTGGAATGGAAGCAGAGAAGTGGATAGCGTACTCAGATGAAAGTTGTACGAAGGACCTATCTCCAACTGCTCTGATTCTGAATTTTTCAGACATAGATTCGGTTCCTTCAGTGGAAGACCTGAACAAGATATTTAGCCGTTATGGGCCTTTGGTTGTGCCGGGGGCAAAAGTGTTCAAAAAGAGTATCCAGGCCAAAGTGGTTTTTAAAAGACGTGCAGATGCGGAAACAGCTTTCAGCAGTTCTGGAAAATACAGCATTTTTGGACCCTCACTTGTTAGTTACCGCCTCAAGCGACTGGCTTCTGCACCAACTAAAGCTTCCCCAGTTGCAAGGAAGCGAAGCAGAATGGATGAAACATGTGGAGATGAAAATGCTACTTGAGGCCTTATATTCTAGTCAAGTTGATGTGGAAGAGAGGTCAAGCATTCGCAGCTCACGGTTTGAACTTCTAAATGCTTTTGTTTATGAGATTATATACAGTTATCGTGGTAGGTTGTATTAGTTGAAAATGGTAGGGGATCGAGCAGTTGACGTAGCTATCAAATTCTTACTGCAAGCGGGTTAATTTATACGATAACCATCTCGCACATTTTGATTTGCTGCAGTGAACTTTTTTACATTCAGTTAATTTAGTTTTTGTGCAATTTTCTCTATCTGGGTTTTAAGTATAAAGTGGTTGTATAGAAAATTTTTATCCTGAAAAGCTTCTAACTGCAACAGCTCAGATGGAGGATGATCTTGGCTCCTCAAGTTTCTTGATTCCCATCATGATCTGCATCTACCCAGCATCTGGATTCATCGGCAATGCCTACTTTGAAACCTCATTGGCTTTGTAATCGATGCTTCGTTTTCATTCCCTCTAGTCTCTGGCCCCCAACAAGTACTCTAGTAGATCAGGTGAACCCATAAACAAATGAGTCTTCGTAACATCAGGGGAAACCATAAAACCTCAAAATATGGGTTTTTTAGCTACACTTCCTCTAGGTAAAACAAAAACTGATTGAGACGCCTAAAACAAAGGATCTGTGCCATCCATTTCATTCTTTCACATCAATATCAAAATCTTGACAACCGTTGGATGACCCCCGAAAACTGATTAGACCGTGTAACGAATTGTAAATAATATTTCCAAAAAAAAAAGGGAAAATCCAACGTCCAGATCACCTGATCACCGCACACATCTATACCGGTCCCACAACGTCTCAACGAATTCGTACCTGTACCTCGGTGTAAGTACTATATACATCAAACGCTCCCTAACTTTCTTTGTTTTAAATTTTCCCTTTCTTCGCTTTATTTAATTAATTTAATTTCGAACCACCTCTTCTCCCAAATTCAAAAAAAAAAAAAAAACCCACTTTTCCTCTCTATTTGCTTTCTTTCCCTCCCACACGTCTCGCCTTCAATTCTCGATCTCTATTCCATTAATAAAGTAATTAAATTTTTAATCAGCCTCATTTTTACTCGATCTGATACCATTTCCGAAAATGGTTGATTCTGAGAAGCAAAACAATTTCGCTATCAAAGGGCTAAGCCTCATCGACGTTTCGTCCGAAGACGATTGCCTCATCAATTCTCCTCTCTGCGATCCTATAAACCCTCAGTCCTCAGGTTTCCCTTTATTTTTATATCATTTCCCCTTGATTTTGCATGGATTATAATAAAATTTTCTAATATTTTTGGTTTTTCAAAAATTGGATTTACTTTATTTCAATATCTTCTAATTTGAAGCTGTTTGAGTTTTGTTCATCGGGATTGGCCAAAAAAAAGTTTTGTTTATCGGAAAAGTACTTTATTTTATTTTTCCATTAATCTTAATTCATGTTTTAAGATTATGGTTAAATGTTTTTGGCCGATTTATTAATGGAATTAAATCATAGATGTTAAGCTAATTTTTCACGTTTCATTGATTAATAATGGGTTTCTTTCGGTTTTTCGAAAGCAATTTCTCATTAACATTTGATAGTTCGGGGCTGCTTTTTGACAAATGAAAAATGATGATCCTCATTTCTTAATATTATTTCATGTTAAATTTGAAACTTAATATTATTTTTTTGTTGCAAAACTTTTCTTTTTTTTTTCTCCCTGAGAAATTGGATTTTGTATTGTACAGAGAAGGGAAGTCAAACCAAAACTGTTAGGTTCGCCATGGATCCCGACAACGTAGAAATCTCATTAGGCTCCCTTGAAGAAGCTGGAAAGGTAAAGGAACGTCCGGGTTCTTCAGAACAAGACAAGAGAAAAGATGGAAAGTATAATTTACGCAAAAGTTTAGCATGGGATAGTGCCTTTTTTACTAGTGCAGGTGCAAATTCTTTCATTTTTCTTCACTCGACGAGTTATGTTTCTAAATTTCTGGTTTTGACATGTTCTATGTTCTTTTTTTTTTTTTTAAGGTTTTCTCGAGCCGGAGGAGTTGTCTAGTATGTTGGGAGGCAATAAGAAAGGTCAAGTTCATACATTGCCTGGGATTCAAGAGGATGTAAACAAATCTTACGATTCATTAACAACGTTGGATAGTGAAACTCTGACATTGGAAAGTCTTGAGGCTGATTTATTTGAGGATATAAGAGCTTCAATCCAGAAATCTAACAAAGCGTCCAACACTGCAAATTCTAGTGGCAAAAAGGAGTTGAAAACAACAGATACTCAAACTGTGTCATGTAAGTATAGTTTGTTTTCCTTTGTCTCTTCATTGTTTTATGCTGGTGCACCCAATGATTTTTGTTTGAATTTGTTTGATGTCACAAATACAACTTCAAGGGTTTCCTTTGAGGGAAATATGATCATTAGGTCAGCAGAACTTATACTCTACTTATCCCTAGGCGAGAAGATGTATGATACTTAAAACAAATGCGCTTAGGCGAAAATGAATATTCATGCGTTTACATTAGTTCTTATTCGTGGTCCAGACCACATTTCTTTTAATTGCCCAATTGCCTAAAATCCCTATTCTGGAGTCCTTTTCATATGCAGAGGCTTTTTCTGTTTTTTTTTTTTTTTAAATAATATTACATCAGATCTAGGGCTCAAGTAAGCATACTAGGCATGCGTGCTCATTGCACAAATATTCTCAAACTGACAGTGACTGTTCTCTTTCTATTCCCAGCTTTAAAGGTAGAATTTACTGCTCAAGATAAGGTACATTCAAGAAATGCCCGCTGCTGTAAATTTTCATTACTTATTACTTTGTTGTATTTCTCCAATAACAATTTTTCTTTTTTAATTTCAGATGAGGCAGAAAGCTGCTCCAAAGAAGCCTAACATTGGTGTGAAAGACTCTGGGAGAACATTGAAGCAGGTTCCTGTCCGTCCACAAATTTCACAGGCATGTATTGTGCTATTTCAAGCAAATGAACTGCAAGTTGTATCACCTTTTCTAGTTGAGATAGAGAGAATATTATTTTACTTACAATCTAGGGTGTTCTGAGTTTTAAACTTCCAAATCTAAACCTTTAGCTTAAATTACCTGGCTTGAGTGTTAGACAGATTCATAGAAAATATGCTATAACCATGTAAAAATGCAATTATTGCAACTGCTAAATAATCAACCATATTTACTATCACTACAAACTCTGATTTTTTTTTTGGTTATATAAACACCAGACTGTACAGTCTGTTGCTAGAAGTGGAGAATCAACTTCATCTCTTCATAAGCCAGCGAAGGTATTAAGCAGGGTTGGGCCCATCTCAACAACACCAACCAAAAGGGTTTCCTTGGGTGCTAAGAATGTTAAAATGGAAAAGGATGCAAAAAGTGTGACTGGTAATTCCAACTACTATTTGTATAGAGTAGCTTCATCAATATAGAGGAAGTTTTCTTGCTCATGTTTTCTGTTTAATTCACTCTCCATTTAATTTAATGGTTGTAGATAGAGGGACTACAGTATTGAAGACTCCTGCTTTGGGTGGTCCAAGAAATATTGTTCCTAGGCCTAAACTATCTTCCAAATCTTCTTCCTGCTCCCCAGCCTCTGGCAAAACGGAGCTGACAACTTCTTGTTCCTCACTTGAAAGTTGTGCCAGTGTTTCATATGACAGAAATAATAAATCTTCCTTGAATTTGATTAAAGGAAAAAATGACTCCAGAATGGTTAAACCTTCTTCCTCTGGTTACACTATCAGCAGCAGACCCAAAATTTGCACCGAAAGGTAAAAATCTAGCAGGAAGTTCAGAGCTCTCAACTTTTTTGAAGTCTTCTACCAAGCCATCATCATCAATCTCTGCTGCTAATCAAAGGTCTAATGTTTTAAGAGCTAGCCTTGGCACTGGCTCCCGCAAGGGACTTACTACAAATTGTGATGGCCACCAAGTTTTGGACTCTCAGAATCATCCTACTGGTCAGTGCACGCAGGAAGATGGTGCTGAAGTTACTGGCTCGCTCTATGAAAGTGAAAACAAGGTTTCAGCTGCAACTAGGGGGCTTCTTCATCCTGCTTCGGTGAAACCCTCTGGCCTTCGAATGCCATCACCAAAAATTGGCTTCTTTGATGGGGTTAGTTCTTATTTCTTAAAATTGCTCTGTACCAGATGGGAAGTGGTTTTTGCTTAAACTGTTTTCAAGAATGAGCAGAGAGAAATTTTACATCAGAATCTTGATCTTCTGCTGAAAAGAGTGTATAACATGTTTATGTCTATTCTATTATGAAATCTAAATGAACAAGACCATCTCCTTGTATTCTTTTTAGGTTTAGTTCGCTTTGTTGGTCAGGTAGTATAACCTGTGTGAAATTGTGATGAATGCAGGTACGATCATCAGGACGCACTCCAAATGGGAGTATGCTGTATCATCCTGGTGTACCTAGTGGCTTGCCTAAAATTGGAGCAAAAAGCACTAGTCCAAGTGGAATCTCAAACAAGGTAAAGAATGGAAAGCTTGAACCTGTTAGAACTCTTACTGCAATCCAGAGCCCCGAGGTTGATGTTAAGAAAACTTCCTCTGCTGTAAAATCTAGATCTTCCTTAACTATTAAAAAATCTCCAAATGCTGCAATAAAGGTACCAAGTGCTTCAAGACACCGCAAAAGCAATCCTGGCATATCTCCAAAACTTCAGAATAAATCCTCTCCTAGAACTGGTAGAGAAAGTTACTCAAGGGCTCAGGGCATTGGTTCTGCAGGAAAAATTGTAGGCCCTGGTTTTCCAGAGCAAGTAGTGCGCCTGGGAGGCATGGATGTTGCTCGCATAAAGGATACCAAGATCGTTCCTCTTGATGGAGTACCTGAAACTACGGCTAATTTAGCTTCCAAGTCTGATGTTCAAAACACAAATGCATCAAAAGAAGCAGCTGAAAATGAGACATACAGCAGCAACTAGAAGTAAGAAGCTCCTGTTGAAGACCAAATTGCTGGTTTAGTCAGAAACAGTGGCGCTGTGAAGTGGATATGAATTCAGACACTCGGAAAGAACCCATTACTGATTCTCATCTTGGTCATGGCCACGAGGAGTTTGAGAACAGTTTGTCAGTCAAATCCCACTGGCACCTCTCCATCCCTAATGGCTTCTGAAGTTACTTGTGGCTCAAGATACGTTTCTCAGTCAAGGATTCTTTTTACTACATGAATGCACCGCTTGAGGTTTTATCAGGTCTAGCAGTGGCGTTAGACAAAACAACCATGGTACCGATTCCAGAGAGCACCTTACCAGAGAACAGCTAAGTGCAACAGTGTAGTTTCAGATTTTTTAAGGTACTTGTTATGTCCCTCTCCCAATTATTCTTATTTGGAATTTTAGATACAACAGCGTTGTAGATTCTTTAATGCACTCTTGTAGCTCAACAGAATTTGTACTCTTTTCCATCAACGAGGGTCCTGGATTAGAATCCCACCAACTTCTAATATGATATTTTTTTTCATGTAGGTAGTGCCTTATGGAACGCTTCTCATAGATTTCCAGGGCTGAACTTTAAGTCTTAGATTGGATTTGCCTCAGCTCATAATACCTTTTGTGTCCAAACAAGTTTATCAGAGCAAGCTTTACAAGAAAAAGTTTTGGTCTAACGAATATAGATGGTGCCACCATCACGAAAATGTACTACAAACAAATCTGTATTCATAATACAATTTTATGCCCAGTCTGCATTTATGATTATATATTTTGTGCCCAACAAATCTGCATTCATGAATCGTGTATGCAATTTTTTACCAAGCTTGTAATGGAAATTCTTGTACTTGTTCTTGGAATCTTTGCAAAATTACTTGTTTTTAGTTCACCCAATGAAAACTGTATATTACCAACAAGAAAATATTTTCATAGATCCCGTTGATTGTCATTGGACAAATGCAAATCAGAGCAAATTCTCAGCACAGGTTAAGACCACCACGCATATCTCAATTCCCATAATACATTTTATTTTTTCCATGCATTTGATAGATAAAACTAAATTTAATAATTCTAAATACGATAAGATGACATGAAAATAATAAAAAAAAAATTTTAATTTGCTGAAACCTTAAAAAATGCAACAATTTTCATATTTTAGACATATTTTACATGGAATAAACACGACACATTAAAATAAAACCATATCATCATTGTATATTGACAATTTTACTGGGCATTAACCGATTCTTTTAGGATGTTATGACAAGAAATCCGTGACCGGTTCTAAAAGGTAAGTGCATCAAAAGCCATAGCATGAGGAAGAGATAACAGTTTGGAACAGCAATAAAGAACCAAAATCCTTTTGATCAAGATGACACCACAAATTCAATACAATTACCAGAAGATAAAAAGTTGTCCACAAAAGCTACCCAGTAATATAATGCTCTCAGTTCTAAGTAGAACTATAAAAAGATCATAGCAACAAACTCCACGTTGCAAACTTAAGATCTAGGCTTCTCCTTCTTCTCTTTGAAGAGTGCCAAGAGAGAAACACCAGAGACCTTCACAACCTTGAATCTAACACCAGGAATATCACCAACAGCATGACCCTTACGTCCAAATCCAGCAATCAACACCTCATCCTACAGCAATATATTATCATCAGAAGATGAGTAACAAAGAGATACTTAATATGCTTAAACAATTAATATTATAAGATTTCAATTGTTTACTACTCACATTCTCTTCAATGTAGTTTAAGCAACCATCATTGGGAACGAATGCAGCAATCTTCTTTCCATTCTTGATCAATTGAACTCTAGCACACTTTCTGATAGCAGAGTTTGGCTGCTTAGCCTCAATACCTCTGCATGATCCAAAGCCATCATGATGTAAACATATTCAATTAGAGTTAATGAAAGAAAGAGCACAAAAATAAAAAGGTGGATCTAGTCTTACATCTTCTCAAGCACAATGCCTTTGGCATGGGAAGAACCAGCAAACGGCTTCTTCCATTCATTTCCAAGGTTGGACTTTTTGTATGCCTTATCAGCCCACCTCTGCCTCCTGCGGTGGGTCCTCAGCTTGCGTCCAGCTCCCATACCACGTGTCTTCCTGAAAGAAATACCCTTAATGTCATAAATTAACTCCTCAAAGATAATACAATTCTACACCTGAAACAATAATTTTTCTATAGTCTAATAAATTATTGAAGATGGAGACAATATCACTTGTGCTGAAAGCAATATTATACAGTAATTTCAAACAAGCATCGTTAAAGTATAATTCTTTACAATCACAAGCGGAATCCAAATAAACCCAAATCATATTTCAGTTCAATACTTAAAACTTAAAGCTACAAAAGCCTGAAACAGAAAAAAAATTCAAAAAAAAGGGAAAAACTTTCACAATACATAGAATCAAAAGCGGCAGCAATACACTTAAAGCTATAAAAATTTCTCTTTTTCCCATCTTACTCATCACTCTAAACAATGAACATAATCAACAAAAAACTTCACGATCCAAACCCCACATTTAAAAACCAATACTTTTCAAGAAAAACCGTTGCTTTCATTGAATTAGCAAGAGCAACTTAAACGCTTAACAGAAAAGCTCTAGATTTGAGTTAGAACTGAAAACAACATAACACACCCCATGTTGGCTGAGAGAGATTGTTTCGACTGGAAGAAGGGTTCTGAGAGATTCGAGGCGAAAACAAGAAGCGACAGCCGCTGAGTTTAAACCCTGAAGGCTCTAACCCTAGAAATGATGGGACATATATACAGGACAACATTACATTAACTTCTTAAGTGGGCTGGGGTTTGGCCCAATAATAAAGTTTTGAACAGGGTCTTGAGGCTTCTTGTCATAGGTCCAAAAACTATGGGTGAACTCTTCGAGATACAGTCCTAAAATCGGGCCTAATGCAACCCGCTAATTATGGGCCATTACCATTAATACCAGTGCAACCAAAAAAAAGAAAGACTGCTGGATTGTTTATTTGTTGTAAAGAAAATAAAATATGTAACAAGAACTGAGATAAAAAGGGTAATAAAAATTTTATACAGGCAGAGCTTGTAAGAACTGTTATGAAATCTTCACATGATATCACTGCAATCACACCATCACAGATTTTGAATTTTGAGTATGATAGATGATCACTTCGGGTTCATTTAAAATTCCAGCCATAAAACGCACTTTAAATCCGATGAAGTCCTCGAAATCGAGCCATAAAATGCATCCTCATGAAACATTTGAAATTGAACTCTCAAATGAACTGTGTTGGTAAATTATAATCAATCAAGGTGAAATTACTATCCTAACATATTATGAGTAATAATTTGTGATTGTAAATAATGCAAATCTGTTTACGGATAATCTGCCACATTCATAAACTTGTTACTGTTTTAAACGCATATTCTTCTTAAGTGGGGTTTCCTTTTAACAGTTTTAACACTGAAACTCAATTGGAATCACCCCTAAACAGACATGGTAAGAGCAAAATTAAAGAGAAATTTTCCATAAACTGACAATATCCAAACCATCAAATATTAGGAGCCGGAATATATGCAACCTGCCATGTATTTGATCTACTTCTGGCCTTTCTTCCATAACACACCTATCTTTTTCAACATGTTGCCATTCTTCTTCTTGGGTGAATCATCATCCATGTCTTCCGAGTTGGGCGAACCCATTATGGGGTTATAGTTGCTGTCAAGAGATACAGTCCTTTCCTCATGTTTCCCATTGTTCCCTGTAGAAAGCATAGCAGCAGCTGCCTCAGCTGCCTTTCTCCATTGATCTGACTGCACCTTTAGTCTCCTCAACTCAGCCTCCATTTCAGTATTTGCTGCTTGAGCTGCATCAAGCTCTTGAGTCACACGTGCTGCTCTTCTGCTACTCTTATCTGCTTCCTCAGTTAAATAGCCGAGTTTCATCAGAGCCTCTCGCTCTGCAGCCCTTGCTGCTTCTAACAATGCAACAGATTCATCACTAACTTTATTACTCTCCATTTCTCTCTTCTTAATTTCCCTATTGAGCATTTCATTTTGCTCGGTTACACTTTGCAGTTCTGTTTCCTTCGCTGTCAAATTTGCTTTCAATTCTGTCAAATCTGCCTCTAACTTCTTCGATTCTACTGCAAGTTCAGATTCTCTTTCATTGGACTGGTTTTTCTCGATATTCAAAATGAGCCCCTCATTTTCCTCCGAAATACTCTGCAGTTCAGTCTCCTTATCCATTAAGTCTGCTCTCAATTCTTCAACACCAGCTTTGGTTCTCTTTAATTCTGCCTCGAGTTCCACCTCCCTCTGGCATGACTGAGTTCTTATGCATTCCACTTGTTCATATGCACTTCTAATTTGCAATGTGCTTTGAATATATTCTTCTTGGTACCTGACCTCAGCTGCTTCCAATGCTGATCTCAACTGACCCACTTCAAGTTTTGCAAAATTAAGCTCCGATTTGAGCTGCTGTATGTCCTCATTGTCTCCATTCTGCTGTGGTGGTTTATCGTCCTTGGGATCCTTAACTATTTTGCTGCTATGACCAACCAGTTCTACCTGGAGCTTGCTCACAAGTCCCTCCAGTGACTTAACTCTAGCTTTTGACTGCTCCAACTCCAATGATAATGTGTTGTAAGCTTCTGTTTCTTTGGTTGCATCAGAACGCAGCATTTCAATGGTTTTATTTGCTGCTTCCAGTTGCATTTGGGTTTTGCTAACAACTTCAAGAGCCTGGGCTTCAGATTCTCGGCAATCGTTGAGTTCAGACTTAAGTTTTTCAACTAAGGAGAGAGTTTCAGTCAGTTCAATTCTCAAGTTCTGAATCTCAGCATGTGCAGATTCAGCATGCTTAATTTGAACGACTTCAGATTCATAAGCCTTTTCGAGCTGAACTTTAAGCTTTTGAATTTCGTTCATGGCAGAAGCCAAGGCAGCAGAATCCATTGAATGCTGTTTCTGGACAGCCTCAAGTTCAGACTGCCATGCTCTATCTCTATCTTGCGAGATTTTGCGGAGTTCTTGCACCCGTTCATCCTCAGTGGCAGAAATTTCCAGCAACTGCTGTTCAGATTCTTCAAGCTTGGCTGACATTGTTGATAGCTGTTTCTTGGCCTCCTCAGCCTCTTGCATGGCCCGCCTCTTCCATGACTCAGATGCAGTCAGTTGGTCCTTTGTCTTTTTCAGATCATCTTGGAGTTGAGTGAGCTGTGCTTCCAGTTCAGTCACTCTGCTCGGGCGCTTCTTCTAGAGCTCACATGACAAGAGTGGGCATTATATAAGTGGGATTAACTAAGTAGATACGTAAACAGAAAAATATCCGGTGATAATGGAATGAAACAGTGAGCGGAATGAAACAGTGAGCAGAATGTTTTCATTGCAGTTGCATCATCCTAAACCTTTCACATTTAAATACACTGTTCAGCACACAAAAAAAAAACTTGTTGTTTTGGTACAAGTGATGAAGAATACCTCAGATGCTGGGCTTCTCAGTGCTTTAGGCTCAGTAACCTTCGGACTTCTGTCTTTGGGTGTCTTACTTGCAGGATTTGGAGAGGAAACTGTATCTGAATCAGATCCTGGTATCTTCAGTTGGCGAGCAGTTCGAGGTGTTACAAGAGATTTTCTCTGAGGCACTTCTACGGAGCTTGTTCTATTGTCAAAGTTAATGGAATGAAAAATAATAAAAATAAATATCATGAAATCAATGAAGCTTCTAGTTGATGACTAATAGCTATGGCCCAACGTAATGGTGCATCATATAATAGATTCTTTCAAGAGGATGTAACTACTTTTACTACTTGCCATAGTTAAATCATAATGCAACTGGTGGGTCAACCCCTGATAGAATAGCAACAATTTCAACATTAAGCAGCCACCCACCAGCTAGAAGCTGATGTTGCACCATTTTTTCAAGCACAAGTAGAACAACTGTGAACCACCTTGTTTAGGATCATTCTAATCTCCCTCCCAACTTTCCAGCATATTTGTTTCTTGAGAGGGGATAAATTTAACAAGAAACTGCGACAATGATAGTTCAGCTTCTGTTTGAGAATAATGTACATAAAAATACACCAATAGTATATAAAAAAAGGTAAACAAAGAAAAAACTCATCAGATCTCTATTGGCATGGACTTTGATAATGGAGTTCACATGAAAAATTTCACACATTTTGTGAAGCACAGTCTTATGCAAGACGACATATAAATTTTTAACATCTATCAAAAGTAGGAGACAATCATTGATTGGTAACTAAAATCAACTCATCAAGCCTAGTTTCCCTGAACTTTACCATGTCCAATCCACAAACTCGGCCAAACACTTGAAACTACGAATGATTAAGTAGACTTTGAAATTTGAAGGAAAAATTAAGAAGCAAGAAAGAGAGGGGACGGGGCAGCAGTGGCAGCAAGAGGAGGCTGCCTGAAACAAGACTGATAAAGGCTTCAAAGACATCAACTACAATTGTGAATAGTCTACTTTGGAGATTAGCAAAGCATCAGCATTAGGAAAACATAACTAGCAGAAATTTTAAGGGGGAAAAGAATGATTAGAAGAATGCTATAAACGATCTTACCTTGCTTTTGGCGTCTGCATGATTTTTCCTTTTTTTCTTTTTATAATATTCCCTCGAGTTGAAGTGGTAAAAGGGAAGGATATATGTCCTCTACTTCAAAAAACCCCGCTTGACCCACACAACCTGCAAATAGTTGAGAGAAATCGTGGACTGATAAGCAACATGAGAGAGAATCCATTATATAAAAGCAGAGAAAGAAGAAGCAAATGGTTCATGAAAGGAGCATCATCTCTTAGCATTACATACTAGACCTAACAAACAAACAATAAAATTCCTTCAAAGAAACTCCACAGAAACTACTTCCACTACCACCTACCAGAACCAAATAACAAAATTTAAAAAGAAAGAAAAGAAGAGAAAAAAAAATAGGTTGCCATCAAATGAATACAATAAATATTATTACAAAAAAAAAAAACCATCTTTCACCTTTTCCTTTCTTTTTTTTTTTCCATTTTTCTCTCTAATTTTGTGGCCCCTTCCTTTTTCGCTTCTGTACTGAAAATATGCTACAAAACCACATTATTGAGACCAATGACCCAAAAAGAAATAACAGACATTATGAAAACCACAAGGGAGCAGCAAGAAATGAATGAAGTTAATAACCCATGAAGGGCAGCTTGTGCTTGGTTTGAAATTATGATTCAAAATTGTTGATTGGACCAAAAACTAAATCATTTAATTTAACTAAAAAAAAAAAAGAAATTATGCGCCACTGCGCGTGCAATAGTGTACTCAGTCAATCCAATAAAAGAAACTACTTTTCCTATATTTCCATATTCTACTGCAAATTTAAGGCTAAAGCTCTTTAACCCCATCAAAAATCTTGTTCTTCTTCAAATATTGCTTGTTAACTTAGTAAAACATGGAAGACAGACTTAAATGAACAATGCCAAATGTAGGAATATGGGAAGTAGAGTCAAATGAACTTGAAGAAAACAAGGTTTCAAGGAATGATCACACTCAAGCAGAAAAGATTTATCTTTTTCACAGAAAACTACACTCTGGGTAAACATTGTTCAATCTTCCGTGACCTAAGCTGAGATCCGTGAGAGCTGTTCGAATAAAGAGCAAGTTATGAATGAAAAGTAAGCTTAAAACACAGAGTTGAAAACAGAGTTCCGAGTTAAGTTCTAAGTACTTGTGCAGCTAAAAATTTGGGAAAGAACGGATGAAAACATGACTCTTCTTCTTTTTTGTTAAAGGGAAAAGGAAGTGAAAGCTACCTTTAAACAAGCTTTGAGTCCAAAAAAGTGAAGCCACATTTTCTTTTCCGATAAGAAAATCAACAAAGAAAATGGGATTTTCTTGAAAAATGAAACACAAAAGGAGACGTCATTGCTAACATAAAGTAAGCAAAACACAGAAAGAAATTGACGACTCCTCACTCACTGTTATGTCTTAAACGCATTAAAAAAACTCAAACTTCATTTCAAAGAACCATTTTTTTAAGAAAAAACTAAAAGAGCATCAACACTACAAGAAAACTACATTGCTAAAAAAATGAAACGTAACCTGAAACACAAATGTCAAACAGAACGGAGAAAGAAAAAAAAAAAAAGAGTTCGGTTTTACCTGAGGAGGCTTTGGTTAATACTTTTAGAGGTTAAATAAAAAAAAAAGGGTTGGAAACAAAGAACCCTAGAGAAAACCCAAGCTTGGAAACACCAAATGGGGTTAAGTTAGAGCTTCTGTTTGAGCTTCTGTCTCTGTCTCAATGCTTAGCTCCCTAAAGCCAAGAGCTGCTCTTTCTTTTATGTATTTTTCTTTCACTGTTTTTGTTAAATGTCAGTGGAGAGGGTAAGCAAAGGTTTGGCTTATTGGGACGTTTTTCTATACAGGAGATGTGATTGATTAAAGAACCACAAACCTTTCTCACGCGCTCTTTCACGCTCCTCACTCACCTGCTGTGATTGGTTGCTGAGGCTCTCTCCCAAGTCCCAAGGGTATAGTTTTGTCTCGGTCTGAATCTGCCTTCTGCCCCTACCTCTTGCTTTTTGCCTTTTGCCTTTTTTTTTTTCTTTTTAAGTCTTATAAATTATAATCAAAGCATTTAATGAGAGAGGAAGCTGTTTATTTCAGACGTAAGAAACGACGTCTTTACCCTAATATTCTGTCTTTTCCCCTAATATTGCCAACATAAAACAACAAACAGAACATCTCCAAAGAATCTATAAATGTGAATCAAATACAAGTATTAGTTATGACTTGACTTGATGCATTCAATTCTTATAAAGATTTGAAGTATGATATGTTAAACCAAATCATCCTTCCAATCGCACCAAATGTACCTCTTTCACGTACAAGTGTACATTTTCTTTTCTTATATAGATTTTAACTGTCTGCTCTTTGTATAAGATTCTGGATCATAATAATTTACTTATCCCTTCACCTGGAAAATCCCAAAATTTCCTTTGGAACTTTCCTTTGCATTGACAGTGGTGAGAATGAGCCAATGCAACTGATATATACAGTAAAACATGGAATTAATTAAAAGTGTGGGTCTTGGTTCCTGCTTTCAATTTTCAACCATACATTCACATGTGCAAGGCCTTGTTATTTAGGGCATTTTGTTTGATGGGGTCCCTAGATATAACACCACTTGGGGGACCATTTTCCCAAGACATTGCTTATTTCATTTGGCTATTCCCTGTCAAAAGTGAAATGAAACTGCCCACCAACATTTTATTAGTTGGCACATGAGCAATAAATCAAGTTGGTTTGCCGAAGGATTTTAAAAGCCATAGCCAATATCTTACTCTTGATTATAGGTCCCCTAAATACTGTCTCCAGGCTTTGAGGACAACTTAAAGATCACAAGTGCTCCATCAATGACTTGGATGTGTGCCTAATTCCCTTGCGGCCGCATTAAAATGGACAATAATATTCTTTGTGGGGTTCCAATTCTTTCTTTCTTCTGTTCGAGGATATATACAGGGATAAGACTGCAAATGAAAAGGTAGAAAGTTGTGTTCGTATGTTTAGGCCTTTGCTTTGTTTGCAATGAAAGCAACAACTAATGAACTATTGGTTGTGATCTTGATCATTCCCTTTGGACAACAAAGGAACTAACAAAAACAACATGACAACTCAATTTTAGTAGGTTTTTTTTTTTTTTCATTAAAAAAGGGAAAAAATGACAAGAGGAAGCAATCAGTCACGCCCCATTGCCAACCTTCCTTGAAAAGTGTTTGAAAAGAACTTTTCATTGTAAAATCAACAAAATAACGGTGTAATCCGCAAGGGTAAATATTTCTAATCCAATGGATGATGAAAAAATGAAATAGTAACAAGCAAAGTGGGTAAAAAATGCATTACCTTTTCAGCCAGACTTACTTTTAACTCTTCCTTGTTTCAAAGAACCAATGTCACTTTGAAGTTAACTTTTAAGTGACTATTAACATATAGAAGAAAACACTATATTTTAAGAGATTTGCCTTCAAATTCTATATGATTGAATTGATTTTATTTGGAACTTTTAACTGTTTTGATCACAATCACTAATCACATTTTATTTGCTTGGATTTGAATTTGACATTTTGGTTTACAGAGTGGTGGCAGAATATCAACAATTATAGTAAAACCTTCCAATAAGCATATGGCAACACATGCTTTCTCTTTGTCCACAACACCGAAAGACATTAAAAATGTTGGCTTATCTTTCCATAGAAGTTAAGTTGTGGCCTTGGGCCCTTCAAGCTCATTATGTGTAGTGCTTTTTCTCTCATTTTGTTAGTGCCAATATAATGATGTAGTAGTGTTTTCTTTCCTCTTAAATCAACAATTCATATATGGTTGATATTTTCAGAGGGAAAGCTGCTAGAGAAGGCAATTGCTCTAGAATATTATGTATATGATAATCAGTAGTGTTTATAAGGCATGCGTAGGGTCTATTGCAATAACTACCTCCCAAAATCTTCATCGTTCATGCAAGTAATTGCTCACTTGCTAACCACAAAATGGGTCCAAAAAATATAATAAAAGGTGAGAAATTTAATAATTTTTTTATATTTAAAACTATTAAAATTTGAATTTTGATTATTGAAATTAAGAATTTAATGCTCTACCAATAAATCACATATTTATTAAAAATTTGTTAATTTGATTCTATTTCTAGTATTAATTAGAGGAGAAAATTGGAGGGGGGGGATACCATGTATGTAGTTTTTTTTTTTTTTTTAATATTATGTATAGTCTAATTGTAAAGGAATGCTAAAATATAGGCCAGCCGGCTGTTACAGATGGGTTTTCAATCTAAAAATTGCCTCAACTTGATAATTCTAGAGGTTTTAAGATATGATTTCATTGCTTAGAAGCAAAAAAATGATAGAAAAAGGAGGAATAGTAGGTTTACCTCAATGGGAAAACATTAATCAAACATGGCCCACAGTATAGTGCCATGATTCTTCTGAAACACATCGCTATCACATAAATGACATAGAACCCAAAGGAATTTCCCATTTTCCAAACACAAATTTGGTATGCAAAATTCCTGGCAGATAATCCAGGAGCCTGTCAGTCCAAAACTCTACCAGCAAAATTCAAACATTTCAAACATTCAAACTTGCCCATACTATATGTAAATCATTCATTCAATATTGTGAAAGCAACATTATTCTCTCTTTTTAATCTGTTGTATAGCATGATAATTACTTAAGTTTGAAAATTTTTAAATTGGACCGTTCATTAATATGATAAAAGATTGGTACATTAAATGACATTAATTTTTATAACTTTGAGACTTGAGAATGATAATTTATATTTTTTGTATTTTTTTTCATTAAAAATTTTTTTTGTAGCCTAAAAACAAAGAAGTTTTTTACTTCTCATAGCTAGAAATATCGAGTTTATATTCGGAATAGCCAGTATCCAGGTAGTTGAAAAGTGAAGACTTTTCCGATGTAGCAAGGCAACTAAAGACTTTGGAGAGTTTATCACTTTGGGGGAGTTTGTTTTTTGATAGAGTTAAGGCTGAAACATTCTTGGTGTTTTTTATTTTGGGGATATCAGATATGGTAAAACTATAACTGCCAAGCGAAATTTGAGCGATTTTATCTCGTTAAGGAATTTGACATAAGTTTGCATTTTGCATTGAATGCATTAAAGTTTTGGCATATTTTTTGGGTGCAAAAAAAAAAAAAAAAGATACAAAATCAAAGAGTAAAAAGTAGTAAGAGAAATGGTGTTCTTAGAAGGGAAAAAGGATATGGTTGAAAGATGCCTAATGGCAGCTTCTTTGGCTGCTCTGGTGTGTCATCCCAATGCTACCTTTAAGTGTTTTAGACCCAAATCAAAGACTACTACTTCATCAGAAAGAGAAAAACCTCCTCGTGAAAAGAAACAACCATCAAAATCCACCAACAAAAATGAGTTTCGAGCTAATTCTTCTCTTTCCAGAGGTTCAGTTTCTTTCAACATGAACATAACATCCCCTCCTCCTAATTTTCCCACTTCAAGAAGTGGCAAAGATCCTTATCTGGTCTCAAACCTTGTCGAAGAAGAGCCATCATTTGGTGTTGTGGAAACCATTTTCAGGTCAGGCTGGGACAATAAAATAGGCCTCCAAATTGAGAAAATACTGAAGATCAATCATAATGCAGATGTTCTTAACAAGTTTGAAGAATATAGGGAGACGGTGAAATCAAAGTCTACAAACATTTCTGCTTGTGAGACTGAGAGGATTGAGAGATTGGCTGTCGATGGCAATGAACTCCTAAGGTTCCATGGTGCCGTTGTCACTTGCCCTTTAGGAAATGATGAGTTCTTAAACATTTGCCATAGCGAATGCTGTGGAATTTGCAGAATGGTCGGGTCTAGTTTATTAGAAGGTGAAGAATCCGTCAAGTTAAGCAACAACAGCCGACAAGCACATAGAAAAGTTGTATGTGTTGTTGATAAGATTTGTGCAAGGAAAGCCATTGTAGTTTGCAGAGTGATTGCAGGAAGGGTAGCTCGATGTCGTGGACAAGGACTCGTGGATGGAGAAGAGGGTGGCTTTGATTCTGTTGTAAGTTTGTCTACGGATCAATTCGAACGATCGGAAGAACTCATTGTTTTGAATGCTAGAGCTGTTCTTCCATGCTTTATAATTGTTTATAATGTCAAAGACTCAAATGTATCAAAATGTAGCAAGTCTTAATGCTAAATCACTGTTTTTTTGCTTTAAAAAAACCCGATTTTGGACTTCTTTTTTTATTAAATTCAAAGGTCAGAATAATTGGGATTATTCTTAAATTCTGATCAATTTCTCATTACTGTAAGTTGCCTGTATTTATACACATGCTTGTGTACATTTCCATGGTTGCAGTGTCACTTAAGGTAACAGGATGAAACATGAATAGAACCAATTTAAAGATGCAAATGGGTTTTGAATATGGCCTTTCAGCATTTTTTTTTTGGAAGGCGCTTGAAAGTTAAAACTTATTGCCCAAAAGCTAGAGTCTGAACCAGTCCCTCTTTCCATTCGCCCTTTACTTAGCATGTCAGCTTTTCAACTCAAAACCTTCCATTCATGCACACTGACACACTAAACACAAACACGAGAGAAAAGGAAAAATCAATTATCCTATAGAAAAATGGAGAAAGGATGCGGTACTAGTGTACAGTTGCCTGGAAATTACTTAAGCATAAGTTTTCGATTTTCCTAGCTTCAAAAGATCTAAATCCAGAAGCAATAAGTAATATGAAAATTTATCACATTTGATGCAACAAAAGAATAATACAAAATTTCCCTTTTTTACTGTACAGCTTCAAACTTTTTCCATAACCATAAAATCCTAGAAGCTTCATCAGGTTAAAAAACAATGAAAGTATGGCTTTAACCATATTCATAGGAAAACCTGTCTGTAAGGAACACCAATTCTCTTCTTTTGATAAATTCTCTTTTAAGATAAAAATGCTACAAAATTTCTGATATTCTCCTATCTAACTTGAATGAAAAGAAACACCTCAAATGGGATGTTTAACATAAATATCATAAGACCAAGTTTCTTGAAGTGAGTTTGTCCCCTTGTAATGTAATTTTCCAGCAATCAACTTGGAATATGAAGACAGATAACTTTTTGGGCACAACTGCAAAGCATAAAATTGAATGGCTAAATCATGATCATTTTCATTGTAAACTATAGGGACAAGTGTAGAGAGACAAGAAATTGGGAATCATAAATCCACTAAACAAAATTAATATATCAATTTTAAAAGTGGCTTCAACCCTAGAAAGTTGCTGCGAGCATTAAAAAAAACACAAAATATTGAGACTCCAAATGTTCCCTGTGTTTCCTTTATCTAAACTAAGATTTTTATGTGAAAAAGAAACTAGAAGTTCAGTGGTGAGCCTTTCAGCAAAACACATTTTAAGAATCATTTACTTCTGTACATATTAACCCTGTCAAAATCTCTCTCTCTCTCTCTCGCTCTCTCTTCATATACTATATATATATAATATATAGTAGAGATCTACTTACATTAGTGCAAGTTTTACACTTTTTTTTACCCTTGGATCAAAATTAAATCCATAACCAATTTTGGTCAAATTAATATTTTTAATCTTAGCTATTTTGGTCCAAGGATAAAAAAAATTCCAAAACTTACACTAGCGTAGGTGAATACACACACACACACACATATATATGAAAAACAGGCAACAAATGAGAAACATATGTACTTGTTACAAGGACATTTATTTTCTAAGCTGCAAAGCTTCGTATATATATGAAAAACGGGCAACAAATGAGAAACATATGTACTTGTTACAAGGACATTTATTTTCTAAGCTGTAAAGCTTCGTAGTTTTGCATTTCTTTACAGAAAGAAATACTACCATACACCATATATAAGACTATATGCATGTGAGTGTGAGTGCAACAAAACAATCAGTAATCAACAAAAGGAAGATATAATTAGCAACATCAGAAATAGTACAGCTTCTAAAATGATGGCTGAATTACCTCGAAATTTATTGTCTTGGGTAATTATACCAAATGTTTCTGCAGTCTCACGAATCATAATACCACTCACTCCAGTGAAACTAGTTACCTTACACTTGGCCACTATCAGACAATAGAGAGGAAGATTACAATAAATACCAACTAAATAAATAAATTAAACAAAGTTGAAGACAATGATCATACTGTTTTTAGATAAAATCAATTAGTTCTAATTAGTAATTACTGCATCATTTAAAGCCTATGTGTGCTCATGGTCCAAACAATAATAGCATATAAATAGCTTTCTTTGGTAACCCATTTCAGGGCAAAGCTTTCAACAAACAGAAGGGGGGAAAATGCTAAAACATCTGCCTGAAGGCTCAAAAAAACAAAGACTCAATGACTATGCAATTTCCCTTTAGCGTTGATTTGGACAAGTTGTATTAAAGAATTGATAAAGGATATTTATAAAAAAACTTACATGGCTCCTATGGGTTTGCTCGACAAAAATTAGCTTTGTATTCCCCAGAATCATTCTACTTCCAACGAGAAATGTTCTATAAGTTCTTTCATAACAATATAAAAAATGTAGATCCCTCAAAAGAAACTTTATTATTCATTCAAATACCCTACTTTTCCCATCAAATTGCCATATATCTTGGTAGATTTTACATAGTTGTAGGTTGCATCATCACAAACAGATAAAGGTGCACTAATAATATGAATTATTGCTCTGGAAGTAAGAATAACCTAACCTAGAATGAGAGCACCATGTAGATCTGCATCAAAAAGACATTGAGCCAACTGATTTTTCCTGCAATTGAGGAAAGGATTTAGCATTGGAAAAAGAAAAATTTAAGAAGCATATATTCAGAAAAAAACTACCCTCCACCTCCACATGACCGAAGAACTAGCATAAGTAAAATAAGAGAGTATCTCACCCAGTAATTTTAAGAAGTTGATTCATGTAGCCTTTCCACATTTCATGCATTGGTTTAAATGCATCAAACCTGTAGATCAAAAACAGACCATATACTTTAAAATAAATGGAAGAATTGAACAACACCACTACACCACACTCATGAAGGAGACAGAACATATACCATTCATAAAGAACTACAAACTAAGATTCTTTCGTTGCAATCTCATTTTCTTTCTATTTTAAAGTTCAACAGTAGATATGCTATTCTATCTCTATTCTTCTCTATATTCTGGAACAAAAGTTACAAACCATTCATTGCTAAACAATGTCACTAATAATCTATTTTCACACACACACACACACACACACACACACACACACACATATATATATAAACAGTTCCCAATATCCCCATTCTTTTTAGAAAATGACTAGCTAGTCTAAAAATATTAATTCAACAAAAAGGATGTGTAAATGGAAAGACACATCCTGAGTTACACACTTAAACCTCATAGCAAAGAACAATGCAACACAAAAGCATATAATAATCCTACAACCAAAAAAAAAAGCATCAACCATATACCTGTTAGAATACTCACTTTTGAATAGCTTGAGGCAACTTAAATACTCCAGATTTCTTAAGCTGTTTCATTGACATGTGCCTTTTAGAGCGCTTAGAGTGGTTCTTCAAAGCCCTGATGTGAGAGCCTGTAGACATAACTTGCCCTTGTACGAAATTATCAAGAAGGATCCAATTGTCAATTTTGATACTTCTAGTTCCTTGCATATATTTCTGAGCCGAATCCCCACTTTGAAGAAGCTCATGCAGTATCTTATCAGCCATGCTTCCTTTTTTGTTAGATAACTACAACAAAAGATGTCAAGATTACATCCATTCTATGAAGTCTTAAGCACAATCGTTTAAATAGCAAAATGTTACCTTGGAATTAGCTGGCACCAAATTCTCATGTATAGGTTCCGAGAGCTGGGAATACGCGTGACCATTTTCTTCAACATCTATACATGAAATTATAATTCATCTCATATCAAAACCAAGATATATAACACAATGAAATGTTCACAATCAACAATATTAATAACAACCTTGCGAAGTGGAGGGACCCGAGAAGGAGAAATTTCCTAAATGCAAGACATAAAGGAAACATAAATTAGTCAAACAAACGTGAAAAAAGAAAAGGCTAGGAAGATAAGTGAAATTTTTTAGAACCTTTCTTTGTTGAGGAATTGGAGGAGGAAGCAATGGATGCATTGAGACGAGAAGGATCACTGCCAAGAGTTTCTTTTCCAACTTCCTCAACGCATGTCCTTTTGTTCTTCTTCTGTTGTTGAAGAAGCTCGGCTTTAGCGACGGCAAACCTTCGCTCCAATGCTTCTAGAGTGCGTTTTCTTTGATCTTGAGAACCTGAGGCCGTAGCCATTGAAACTAAACTGGTCGAAGCCAATTTAGAAGAAGGGATTGAATTAGTGAAAAATCAAGTAAAAACAACTAAACTGGTTAAAGTAATATTCCAAAAACTTACTTCCAAGCAAAATTAGTTTTCCATAAAAAGAAAAGAAAGAAAACCAAAAGCTTGGTAATCAGTTCTGGCCTCTGGGGCAATTAATCGAACATCTAACCCACAATTTATAAGAGGAACACTCACATGTCACTTGTGAGATTATGGGGAAAAATAGACTAATAAAACGAACCTGATAGCGATTTTTGGGTATTTGAAGGGAAGAGTGGAAAAAAGGAAAAGGCTCAGCCGCTCAGGCAAAAGACTTAAGACCTTTTGACAAATTATTGCCGGCTGTCACTGAAGGCGGTGAGATATGGCGGGGCGGGAGAAAACTTGACTTGAGCAACTTTTCTCCGATCGAATGGACAGATGAAGTGAAGGCCTCTGTTTATTGGGCTTGAAGTTTGGGCTGATCTGTTCTTTGAAAAAGGAGCTTCGTTTAAGATTGAGTTTTGCAGTTCACCAAAAAAAAAAAATAAACTTTGGGATAAAACTTTTTTAAATCATTAAATTGTTGGACACAAAATTACAATAATTAATGTTATCTATATGTTTTCATTCTTTAAAATTGATATAATAATTTTAAATATAATACGATATTATGATAAAAATTTAACACAAAATAAAATATAAAAGTAATTTGATTTAAATTTTAATAAATACTAGTAAAAACAAAAAAAATATATGTTTTATATGTAGAGTACCGACACAAATTTAATAATATAATTTTTTTATACATGTATTTAACATGATACAAATGTAAAATAGATACATAAATTTTCAAATATAAGAATGGCATAGAGCTAATATATGTTATTTTTTAGATATTTGTATTTGTAGGGACAAATCCTCAAATTTTAAAAAATAAAAAATTTTGAAGAAAAAATTTTCTCGAAACACCTCAAAATTTTCTCATAAACACCTTCACAATTTGAATATTAAGAAAATTTAAACAAAAAATTTCATTCAACATATTAAAATATTTTCATAAATATCCTTTTTATCTATAAAATTAATAAATTTGTTAGTAAATTTTTATATGTATTATAAGTGAATACCTTCAAAAAAATTTTGGATTTGTCGATGAGTATCTTAATTTGTTTAATTTTTGTGATATCTAAATTTATTTAACAATTCATTAAATTTTTCTGATATTATTTTTTTAATATTTAAATTTATTAAAATATTTAATTACTTAAAATCTTTTATCAAAATATAAAATAAATAAGAATTCAATTCAATATATATGTTCATTTTTAATTAATAATAAATAAAAATTGCTTGCTAAGTTCGTATCATTTCACAAACATAAAATTTTATATGTTTTGCATATGTAAATGGATAATTGATTTTGATATATGATACTATCTATTAAAAAAATTTAAATAAATTCAAATATCTAATAACCAAAGGTACTATCTTAAATTTATCTAAATTTGTCGTTGGTAATAAATCTAATATTCAAATATAATATAATTAAAATTAAATATATAAATAATATATCAATATTCATAATTATTCGAAATCAACTCGAATAAATTTTAAATTCAATTCGATTATTATCGAGTTAAACTCAAACAACTTGACTTATTGAATAAACATAATTCTAAGTATACTACTATCATACTTAACTAACTTGCAAGTCTAATTGAAATTTAATGTTGTAATATATATTTTATTATTTAATTAAAAAATTATGATTTTAACTTTATATATCAATTTGAGTTTGAATACAAATAATTAAATTTAAAATCGAGTATAAAAATTAAATTTTTTTTAATTTTATAAATAAATATAATTAAATGAATTTGAATAATTACATTTTTATTTTTAATTAAATTCGAAATTAAAAATTAAAATTAAATCAAATTAAATTTTTAAAAACAAATATCAAATCAAATTAAAACTTAAACTTTTCATTATATCAACTCACTTTAATTTAATTATATCTTTTATTAAAATAAATAATACCAAATATTCATTAATTTACTATAAATTATGAACCGTATTCAAATATCCTATCAAGATTAAACTAACAAACTAAAGCAGCATCAGAAACCGTGAATAGAAGGACCACTAAAAGAAAGTTAAAAAAAAAAAGGTGAAAAGTGCAAATTATGAGTTATCAAGGAATTTGGAATTTTACGGTCTTGTATGTTATTTGCATTAATATTATAAATAATCATTAAATTGTAAAATATTAAATATATATTTAAATTTAAAATTTTTTAATATAATATTTAAATTAAGATATATTAATTAATATAATATTTATATAAATTAATTATTTATAATTTAAAATTAAATAAATTAAAATTAAATATTAATTAAATTTATAAATTTATAATTTAAATATCACGTTAAAATTTTTTAAAATCTTATTAAATATTTTGTTACAACTTATAAATAATTCATAACATTAATACTGTTGAATTTCGTCAACTACCACCAAGTTTGTCTCCGTCATCGTTACTCTCACCTTCACTTTTCACTGTTCAGTGGACAATCATGACCATCACCCCAACGAAATCCATCATCCTCTCAGCAACATTTCCATCTTTCCCATCACCATCAAAGCAGATTCAACAAATTTCATCATTAAATTAAATCCATATCAACGGTCAAGATTCGTTGAAGAACAACTCGTTATCACAACCTCAATTATCTATAATTATTAAGAAGAACCCCACTGAAAGAAAAAGTTGAAACTAGAAACGAACATTAGCAGGTCACATGCACCGACCTCCACGTCACTCCCGTACACTGGAACCTGCAATTGCAGGTGCAAAATAGCGGATATAGCCGCACGACACGCACCGTTCCCACCGGGCCGTTAAGCTCACGGCACAGCCCTAGCCAACGTGGACTCAACCTCACCATCAATTCCTAATCAAACGGTCTGTATTCAATTTTCAAAATATCTCTTGTGGATTTAGTTAACGAGTTAAATTCATTAAAAAATTTGCAGAAATCAGGTCAGATAATAATCAGAGACAACGGAAAGTGAAAGATTGATACTCTCCAGTCTCCAAAGAGTGAGTAAAGGCTTTTTGAACGTTCTACTTTGTTCTTTAAGGGGATTATGATTCTGTTTTAATGGTGGTCGGTTTGGTTAGGGTTTTATTTTTTTTTCTTTCCAATTTTTGTTTAATTAAAGAAATGAAAAGCTTCATTGTCACGCTTGTAAAGCTTCTGTTTCAGTTCTGTTTTTACCTTTGATTATGACATTATTTATTGGATTCTAAAACTTTATTATAAAAAGGTTTCATGATTACTTGAGAGGCTTCTGGTTAAAGCAAAGCGGCTCTCTCGCTTTGATGATTGATTGAGAGAAAGAGAGATGGCGGAAGTGAGACAAGCAAACACGTGGCGGGAGGAACTGTCGAGTTTAGTCGAAGATACGGGGATAACGATCGGTGTTTCGTCGTTACCGCCCTTCAATGAGTCGAAATCGACGATGGCGGGGGCGTCGGTTCTCAAGAGTGATCATGAAACGGAACCTCCGGAGAGTTTGAAGGAACAGGTGACGGGATTTTTGAAATCGTGGTGCGAGATGCTTCTAGAACTTGGAAGAGGATGCAGAGATATTTTGCAGCAAACGGTAGTTACTGAAGATTCGTTTATAGTTCAGAAGCTTGGTGGACCCGTGGCTAAGGTGTCCGGTCGATTGAGATTCTTGAATGAGTTCTTGCCTGAGGATCGTGATCCAATTCATGCTTGGCCTATTATCTTCTTCGTTTTCATTCTTGCACTTTCAGGTACTAAATCGTTTATTATTATTTTATTATTATTATTATTATTATTATTATTATTATTATTATTATTATTATTATTATTTGAGTTGGATTTGTTGTGGTTGGTTATTGATAATCTGGAGCATTAGATTCAAACAATTTTATGATGTTATGGATAAAATTCAAATAATTGATTGAAAATTCGAATAATTTAGAAGATATTTTGGTTAATATGTGTTGTTCAAAATTTTGCAGCTCTGAATTTAAATGCACATGATAGATTGGTACCGCCAGTGAAGAAAGTGCGTGCTCATCCTCCTAGTGCGAGTCGAATCCAGCTTCCAGATGGCAGACACTTGGCTTATCGCGATGTCGGAGTTGCAGCTGATAAAGCTAGATTTTCTTTCATTGCTCCACATTCTTTTCTTTCATCCCGACTTGCAGGTACAAATATTGAAAGTTGTATATGGGTGTTCTTGATCAAAATTGGTGGACTTGGCACTGATTTTTATTGAACAGGTATTCCGGGTGTTCAGGCATCATTGCTTGAAGAGTTTGGTGTTCGCTTGGTAACATATGATCTTCCTGGTTTTGGAGAGAGTGATCCTCATCCCAGTAGAAATCTCAACTCATCCGCATTTGATATGCTACATCTAGCTGATGCTGTTGGCATCAATGATAAGTTCTGGGTGTTGGGCTACTCAAGTGGAAGCATGCATGCTTGGGCTGCACTCAGATATGTTCCTCACAAAATTGCAGGTGTGAACTGGTTTCTCAGTAAATTCATTATTTTGATACTTGACATAACAGAGCATAATGTTACTTAGAAGCCCTGGAAAGCAATTGGTTTCATAACAGATTCTTGAATGTATCAAGAATCTATCCATACCCTCCCAATATGATGGTCAAGGGAATTTTCTTAGTAAAGGCAATTATAAATACTGCAAGACCTTATGTTGCATTGTGATGCATCTTGACTAAATCTGCAGGTGCTGCAATGGTTGCTCCAATGATCAATCCATATGAATCTAGCATGACTAAGGAAGAAATGAGAAGTATTTGGGGTGAGTGGTTACCAAAAAGGAAGTTAATGTATTATTTAGCTCGAAGATTGCCAAAACTGCTGTCCCTTTTTTACCACCAGAGTTTCCTATCTGGCAAACATGGCCGAATTGATAAGCAGATGTCTCTGTCACTTGGAAGGAAGGTGAGTCTACTCTCATCTTTAATTATTTCTCAAATCTTGTCTGTTTCCATGGCTTACTTTTCATTTTAGACTTTTTTGAGCAAAGGCAGTTTAAAGGGCTTTTTGGTGTTTAAAAGAGCACATTTGCACCTTTATTGGGGTTTCATGACATCAATAGTCTCTTCTGGTTGCAAATATATTGAAGTGCTTGTGGTCATTTACTAAGAAATAGAACAGGGATTAATGCATGAAATGATGCCCCCTATTGTTTGAACTTTTTTACCCTGTGGAGTTTGTTCCTGGTTTGGAAGCACCATGTGATTAAAATCTACTGTTATGTTAATGCGTAGTGTTGAAAACCAGTCTTTGATATGTTTTAAGGATTTGCATATCATAATTTTGATGTCTGCAGGATGAGATTCTGACTGAAGGACGAACATTTGAAGACTTCTGGCATAGAGATGTGGAGGAGTCAATCCGTCAGGGAAATACAAAACCATTTATCGAGGAAGCTGTCCTACATGTTTCAAGCTGGGGTTTTTGTTTGGCAGATCTTCAGGTGCAGAGGAAGTGCTACACAAGTGGAATTTTCCCTTGGCTGAGGTCCCTATACAGTCAGGCAGAATGTGAATTGGCAGGATTTCTGGGACCCATACATATATGGCAGGTTTGCATACTTTTTCCTTTTTGGTTTCCTTGCATAGAATAAATCTGAGACTCTATTCCCATATAACTAGGAAGGTCTTTTCCATCTATCACCTCAATTTGGCCTGCTTTTTAATCTAATAAAGCATCTGTTGACATTATCATATAGGCATTTAAGTACGAGGATATGTTCCTCTTTTGTTGTGGACTGAAGAGATTGTAGTGCAAAACTGCAAATTGACATATATCATGATCCTTAGGTATTTTGCTGGTCAGCTTTGGATATGTGACTTATCCAATATTAATGCTTTGCTCCATAGGATGGGAGGCAAAAATTGTTAATCCAATGGTCATGCTATAAAGTGGAAAAGTACTTATGAAAGCTCATCATTAGATTAATAAATTTTAGTCCTTAACCCATTCCATAACAAGCAAAGCCTAAGAGTCTCTCCAAATGTTTCTATGTCAATTGGTCACTAATTTTTAGACTGACCCTGCCAGTGACTTATGCACGTATTTCAAGGTTGAACTATATTATCAAAAGTGTTACTGATATTTAGACTGCTGAGGCAACAAGAGACAAACTTAATATAAGTTCTTATTGGTTTTATATCTGTTTATTGATCAATTTCTGTACAGGGGATGGATGACCAAGCTGTTCCTTCGGCAATGATGGATCATATAAGCAGGGTTCTACCAGGGGCCATTATTCATAAGCTCCCAAATGAAGGTCATTTTTCGTATTTCTTTTTCTGTGATGAATGCCATCGGCAGATATTCTCTACTCTGTTTGGAAGCCCTCAAGGTCCTCTTGACCAAGGAATGGATAAAGGTGAAATCCCCTCTGAAGTGGATATGGAAGAGCAATCATTAGCTACTGATTCTACCAAAAATTGATACACCACCATATATTTACACTTTTTCCTGCTATTATCCCAATTTTTGTGTAAATACCACAGTCTGCCCCTTCTATCTCATAGGAGCACTTAGGGTGTCTCAAAATTTTCTGGTACAAGTACTTTAGAGGTAAGGCTAGAAGAAACGTGTTGTAAAGGTGAGATATTACAAGGCAAGGTGGCACTGAGCTTATTGATTTACCTTACAAACTAGAATCTATCAGTATTAACCATAAACAATTCTTTTGGCATTTCTCAAATTTTTATGCTTTAAGAGTTGGTAATCAATGTCCGGACAGCTTTTTCTTACCAGAAAATTTGGTTATGCTCTGCTAAAACTTCGCTTAAAAGCAGGGTTCTTGGTCTTATTACTTCTAAGCTAAGGCCAAAAGAAATTTTATGGTAAACCGGGGTGACAAAGGTTTTCTTCTTGTACTGGCATGTTTCAGAACAATCCCTAGAGACAGGGCTTCCTGTGTTGGCAGGTGTCTGCGCGTGCACAACCGTGGTTCAACTGGCATGCTCACCTGACTTTGGCCTATGCTTGAATGTTCAACGGAGTGTCAAGTTTGGTGGTTTGAATTGCATGTGCTGTGCATCAGATCTGTCATTTCCTCCAAGGGGGCGACGCCAGTTGAAACTGATGAAATTTAAACTAAATAGAAGGCCAGCTTTGGCAGTTCAAAAGAACTAACAAGAAAGAGTGATATCCGTTTGGACTCATCAAACCTAGATTGAGAGCTTTTTCTCCTGCTGGTAGTTCTATCGGTTTGCTCCCTCATCAAACATGATCTTGACCTTATCTTACGATAATCTTACCAATCGCTGGCAAAAATGAAATTAAAGCAAGGTATAAAAAAAGATTGGCATCCTTTGACATGCTATATAAGTAGATAATTTGACGATACATTTAGTTGCCTTTCAAATGGAAATAGGGTTCGCGGCCTTGGGCAAACTTTTCACATTAAGAAATTAAGTGTGTCTTATTTATACGAGATTTTATGTTAAATTAAATTTGAGTTAATGAAACATCTTGTTTCTGAAAAAAAAATTAGGATAATTTTATTTCACATTTAAAAAGTTGGAACTTGAGACTAAGTGTAACCATTACAATCAACAAATCTTAATTTTTCTTTGAGCATCCAAATCAAAAACGTATTTTGACAATTCATATAAAACTTAATAGTTTCTCCATATAGTCTACAACTATTGGATAAAAAAATGATTTGAACATACATCTATGCTCTCTTTATTTTGCTCTAGGGTATTGGCATGATATATTTTCGCCAGTAATGGACAATGTAGGTAAGAGATGATACTCTTGTAGTTAACAATTGTAAAACTCAACTCCTTCAAAAAGCAGAACTACTACCACCCTTGGTTCTTCTTAGCATCATATCTTTTGCTTCATTAATTTTCGATGCAAGGTAATGGCTTCCACCGGCATCTGGATGGTTTGCAACCATCACCCTCCTGTGTGCTTCCTTAATCTTTTCTGCTGGAGTACTTTCTCTGATTTAAAACAAAATATAAAAAGAAAAAATTTCATGCATAGCTCATAAAAAGAACATGATGTAAATGAGATTGTTTACATGAAGTGCGATGACCACAAAAAATATTAAAAGAAAATATATTTAAATAACAAGAGAGTGTAATAACCAATAGACAGACAGAGAATTTACATGAAATGCGATGACCACAAAAAAACCTAAAGAAAATATATTTAAATAACAAGAGACTGCAATAACCAATAGCCAAACTAATCATAAGCAAAATATCCAGTTTTAGACAAAGGGTCTAAGCGCACACAAGCCAAAACCAAACAGCCTTTGTTCATTGGATGATTAAGTCTCAAAAGAATAAGCTTGGACCTGAATATAGATCATCCCTTAAAACTAACATCAATCAAATATTAATATACTACTTTTCTCTATCCTTGCATTATCCCACATAAAATTCATTCCTTTGACGAATAACCACAAAGTTAAACAAATCCAATTCATAAAAACTAATGAAACGATTTATGAAACAAGAAAAAAAAATTTATCTGTAAGAGAAAATAAATATATAGATATTTACCTTACTCCCAAAATCAGAGCGGCTTCTCTCCTCGTCATATTAGGTTGAAATCCGCCTTCATAAAATCTTCGTGTTCTAAGCGTTGGTGGTCTTGCCTTAAACGCCTGCCAAGCCCGAAGACTGTATCTCCCCGCATAAGCAACCGCTGCCACTGAGAGTCCGGCTATCAAAGGAGAAACCTAAAATCAAAACCCAAAAATTAAAAAAAAAAAAAAAACCATTTGAATACAAATCTCTATAATTTTGGACATGGGTAAATATGATTGTTAAAGAGAAAAATTATGTTAAGAGACCAACCATCTCGAAACCGTCCGAAACGTCTCTGGATTGTTGCATTCTAGGTGAATATCATTGTTGCACTCTTAGGGTTTAGAAGGATCCGATTTACTATTTATAGGGCTTTATTTACCCACCGCCTTTCTTACCTGCCTTTGCCTTTTCGTATTTCTCAAGGAAAATATTTCTTATTTAGGATATTTATTTTTTGTTTTGGTTGGCGATAATTGATAAACTTTTAGAAAAATGGCTAAATATAAAAAACCCTTACACTCTTTCAAAATTTTTTAATAGATTCTTATTTTGATTCTAATTAATTGAATATTTAAATATTATTTTTATTTAATTACTTTTTTATTTTATATGAAAATTATAAAAACTAGTTAAAAATATGAGCTTAATTAAATAAATAAAATCATATTTTAAATGTTTAATTGAATATATTAAGTAACGTTTAGTTCGTAAAATCTTAAATTTTAAAAAAAATATGATTTATAAAAAAATATGATACTCAAGTTTTTTTTATTTTCAAGATATTTTGTATTTAAATTCACTGATTTGATTAGTAAATTTTGCATATATTAATTCTTGAATAGTTATCATAATTTTTTTGATATATTATAGTAATTTTTTATTAGTTTTTATTAATAATAAATAGCTGAACTACAAATAATATCTTTAGCGGTAAAAGAAGATAAATATTTTATTTGATTACTATTTTAATTTATGAAATATCATTAATGAAAAATCTTTATGATTATTTAAGATATTTTTGATTAAAAACACCTTAAATAATTTTTTTTATTTTTTTTAAAAAATTATTTAAAACATCTTTAGTCCAAAAACACTTTAAATAAATGTCATTTAAAAAATATAAATGGAGTCTTAAATAATCTCCAATATTTTTTTAAAGGAGATTATTTAAGATATTTTTGAACTAAATCGTCTTAAATAATTCCTTTTAAAATGTATCAAAGAATTATTTAATGTATTTTTTATTAAAAAATACATTAGATAATGCTGTTTAAAAAATATAAGATGATTATTTGAGGTGTTTTTATCCAAAATATCTTAAATAATCATTTTTAAAATGTATCAGGTGATTATTTAAAAACAGGTGATTATTTAAAAACGCCTTAATTTTTTTAAGTGCATTATTTTTTTAAAGGTATTATTTAATACGTTTTTGACTATTTCATTACTTATAAGATTTAAAAAATAAAATATAAAAAAAATTGAAATAACTCAGTTGATTAAAGCTTAGTAGTTTTTTTAAGGAGATTATTTAAGGCATTTTAATGTTTTTTGAAGAGATTATTTAAAATGTTTTTTCATTTATTTAAGGTGTTTTTTTTTATGTCGAATGCCATTAATTGCAATCATAGAAAAAAATTAACAAAAAAACCTACAATTGAGTTGAACGGAATTATTTAAAGCGTTTTAATGTTCTTTAAGGGAATTATTTAAGGTGTTTTTTCATATCAAATACCATTAATTGCAATTATAAAAAAAATTTAACAGCAAAATCTAAAACTGAGTTACAATTACTTTCAGACATGCTTTTAAAAAAGGTAACAACTATTTCATAATTTTTTATTTAAGTTTATTTAAGGCCTTTTTTCATATCAAATGTCATTAATTGCAATCACACAAAAAAATTAGCATAAAAAATATATAATTGAGCCGAAATCACTTCTAGATATGTTTTTAAAAAAGATAACGGCTATTTCACAAATTTTTATTCAGGTCAAATTTAGAAATAATGTTACTTTCTCTCCGAAATCTTACAATACTATAAGAAGAAGTGAATTTATGATTCCGAGATTTTAAGTACTGTTGAGAATTTATCATTTTTTTTGTAATTGAATTATCCTGAATCAAACGTTGAAATTAAATACCCACCAATAAAATTTTGAAAAAAAAATTTTTGGATTTTTTGAACAAAATGCCCTAGGAAGAAAATTTTTTAGTGTGATAGTTAAGAACTAGATGTGATTATCGGATTTTTCTTTTTTTTTTTTTTTGGGTAGAGCAAGCACAGTGTAAGAACAGAATAGTCCAAGAGAGAAGGCGGAGAAAAAAAATTGATTTCAAAATTTCAAAAAATTTTATTTAAAAATTACTTTTAAAACTTATAATAATTTTATAAATTTTTATGTTACTGATTATGTGCTTGACATATGATATCACATGGTTGACATTTAAGAATAACGTTTCTGATATTAAAAAGAAGCAATTTATTGTTATATTAAACAATAAAATTAAAAGTTAATTTTGAAGTTTAAAAACCAAAATATTATATATCCCAAAATTTGGAGACCACAGTGTAATTTACTCAATCAAATTTGATCAGTGATTGAACATCCATAACCAAACAAAGCTCATAAAATTGAAAAGAAAATGCAATTAAACAGTGCAATACCAAATGCCAAAATAAAAAAGAACAAGGAAGTGTGTGTATTTATTATACAAAACATTACAAACAGCACAAGAAATTTTCAATGAACTGAAATTGGACATAATTTGCTGTCAATCACAAATATCATTCCGTCTGTCATATGAAAGCATAAACATAAATAAATAAATAAACAAGGATGTATGAATTGAGAAGGAATTTTTAGATGACAGCTGATCCGAGCAACCAATTCTATCACAATAACAACACTCTGGACAATGAATTAAAACTTTGACCGTGTAAGTAGAAGATTCAGAAATCAAATGACCATATGATTCCTATTTTGCCTCTTGTTTTTGCTCCTTTGGACTTCTTCACAGCCATATAATGCTTGCTTTCCTTCATGTTTTTTGTGATTAGAAATAACTAACTGCCCCCACCATTCACCACAGCAACTTCTGCATTAGTGAGGCTGCTGTCAACTTTTGGAGGACCAGAGTGCCGCCTTGGCCTGGCTGGTGAAGGTCAATAAGAAAGCCGTTTTTTGGCAGACGCAATGGGTGCCTTTTCAGGTGTTCCATTTGCTTCTAGTCCCAAGGGGCTTTGCAACCTGGTCTTTGCTCTTGCGGACTCAGTTGTTACCATGTAACTTGGAAGTGAGGGAGCACTTATTAGGCTCTCATCGTCACGCACTGAGGAGCCTGCAATGCTGTGTCTCCGGTTTCGTTCTGACTGGACACTGACTATGCTTCTTGTGTCATTGTCTGGACCAACCACACTGCCCCTAGGGCTTGCTAACGTCAGTTTTCGGGCAGTTGTGGAAGCTGGCTTAGGAGTAGAAGGGGATAGGAGAGTTAAAGTTTGGTTTGGCTTTTGGCTGGCCTTTGGGGATTGTTTATCCAAGTTGAGCTGGTAGCGAGCATAAGCTTTGTTGATTTCTCCTCCAAAGTTGCTGCGTGCACTCCTTAAGGATGACTGGTCATTGTTTTGTTCTCTTTCGGTTGTGCAACGGCCTTCCCATGGCCGGGCTGCCATCCATCTTTCCAACCAACTCCAACCCCAGGAGGGATTGTTCAGATCCATGAATAAAGGATTCATAGATCTTGAAGCATTCTTCCAGGTTTGCTGCAAAAGTTGTGTAGATGTCAGACACAGAAGTTTGTTCTGACTTAAGATACTTGAATGCCAAAGGACTAGTTGCCTGGAGGTACTCCTACTTTCAAAAAGACTCGTGTTTAAGCATTTGGATGAGCTAGGTAAAAAGATGGGAAAGGGTTAAACTTTTGTCACGTGACCCAGCATTTATAGTTTAGCAGAAACAGACTCTCTTTCGTAATTGGAAACAGGATATTTGAACTTCATAACCATTTCCCTTTGATGAGATCATTCATCTAATGATGGAGTTACTGTATTTCAATCTGTTAGCATTTTTAATTTACTCTTAGCTAATTTATACAGAAGTTGACCTGGCAGATGAGGAACCAAATTACGCGTAACTTTCTCTGAAGTAATTTAGTTATGCTTCATCCGTTCATGTCACTTGACAATGTTATTAAATCTCTGACTTGCACACATAAACTCACAGAAGAAAGATAAAATGTTTGATGCTCTTCATGTATTCCAACAGCATATATAAAATTAAAAGACCAGGTCACCTGATGAGTAAATGAATAGGCCATGGCCCTTTCTCTTCTCATAGCAGCTTCATGCTTGCTCAGTAAGCTTGCCTCGATTTGTTCCTTCGACTGCAGGCTGTCATCCCAGTCTTCCCCCATCTGTTAAAACATTCAAAATCTATTCTCAGGAAGAGGGATCCCTTATGGAAAATCCATGATAGAATGGTCTTCCACTGATTGAAATTGGTAAGGGCACTTTTCTGATGAGAAACTAAGTGGTTTAATGAAAATATATACACAGTCGTTAGCTTGACTGCTGTGACAGAAATCACTCCAAAATCCCATGTATGCTGTATATAATTGCCAAATCAATTATCATATTTGTTTGTAATATAAAGATGGTTCTAATTATAGGATATAGGTCTCAAAAACCAGAGCTTGGAGAAACAATTCGAACCCACTTCGCAGCAGTCCAACTTCTACATCACATTTTCCAGGATATAAGCCTTGACTACTAACTCTGCTACCAATTCAAGCAATTCAATTACCCTGATATATCAGAGGAAAAATGGATTTACCTGCAAGTTCACAAGCTCTTTTGCATGTTTCTGCAAGAGTTGCCTCTGAAGAGCCTGGTTTTCTTCTGTCATCCTGATTCTCCTAGTACGAATCTGACACTGCACACGGGAAAGAGTTTGCATGCACCGAAGGGTATTCGCTGCTTGCCGTTTGACCACAGGCCCTTCCATCAATGATTTCAGCCTTACCAGTCCTCTTAAAGCACGCAATGCCCTTTTTGCCTGAAAAGAAGAAATCATGATCAGCGAATCCATTCAATAAATTTCTGTTGTGGCTGAAAAATCATTTATGATAGGGAGAGGTGGTTGGGGTGTGCGTTTCAAACATGAAAAGATCATTTAATTTGACCTGGGAACACACACCATAAAGTAACAAAGTATCACGGGAATCAACAAGTCTTCTAAGTCAAAAGAAGTAAAATTTTTGTCTTCCCTTTAATCATAATACTATCTTTTTTTTCTTCTCTAAACTTTACAAAGAAACAGCATACTTAGCAGCCAATAATCTGCAACTGTCATAAATAGATGAATATTTTTCAGTAGCTACTGACATATACTAGTATAGGAGTCCCATTCTCTGGAGCTTTGGTTTCATGAAAGTCTCTTCAACATTATAATTGATAAGAAACTTACACATACCTCTTCTAGCATAAAAAGCTGATAAGAAATTCAAGCCATTATCAAGAAAAAGTTTCATAAAGATATCCTTGGAATGTTTCCTGCAGGATGTGTAGCGGTAGGACTAACCAAAAATTGACTGGACTTGATTGATAAACATATCAGATTGAATTTCTAAATTAGAAATGATTAAGAAACAGCCTCAGAAGGAAAAAGTAAAATAAAAATTGCAGCACATACCAGGTAAACTCGGAAAGCTGTTTGAATTTTGATAGCTGCCACTTCCTCCTTAGATTTTCCAGTAAACCTAGCATCCATATTAAGCTGATGTCGAACGACCTCTACAGCAGCCTGAGTTGGAGCAGTAGAAGCAACAACATCAGCAGCAGCAGTGGCAACTGTCACAGGGTAATTCTGTTTGCTCTGTTCAGCCTCGGCTTCAGTTAATTTCACCTTTCCTGGCTGAGTAGGACGGGACAACTTGACAGTTGCTAAAGTGGCTGCATCAGAATCACTGGGACCTAAATGCACCTGATTCTCCAAAAACTGTTCTTCTGATTTCTGAAAAACATAGAAATCAAGAATATTAAAAACTGAGCTAACTATAAACTAAACATGATTTTTAACTGAATGGGACTTCTCCAAACCTGGTTTTTCTTTTCCTTGGACTCAGGGCTGAAGGCTTTCTTTAGAGAAGACAACCATTTTCCTTTCTTTCCCATCTTATCTTTCCTTGGAAATTGGTATGATCCTTTAAGAGACAAAACAAAAAAAAAAACCGTTAAATATTATAAGTGCAAATTAGGAAGGTAAATAGGAGATTTAAACAAAGAAGAGCCTTATTGAAAGGAAAAAGTTTTTTTATTAAATAAATCCATGATCTATCATGTATACCTGTTAGCACAATCTAAACAAGCTTTTAACTTTTTTTTTTCATTTTCAATTCACAAAATGACTAAAGCAAATTGCAGTCAATGTTTTTCTACTCCAGGAAAACTGTTCAATAACAACTTTAGCTATAAAAGTTTCAAATTTTCTTCCTTTCCTAGATTTTCTCCCCGAGCAAGCAAAGGACAAAGGAAACTACCCAGATTTTGAAAGACAATTTGTAATACCAAGCAACAAAAAATTCAAACAAAAAGAATCTAAAAATGCATCTTTAAATCGGGGTCCATGAAACAAAAGTAGCAAAAGTACCTGAGATTGTAATGCCCAGATCTCAAATAACTTGAAGGGATCCTCTTTCCTCTCTTTTCTATTCACAAGACAAACAGAAAAAGATCAGAAACTTGAAAGGGTCACATTTTCTGTAGCTGCCTCCTTGAGATATAGAGAAGAAGAGGAGGAAGAACAACAGATCTTGAGAAGAACAGAAACAGCTGGTTTTTTGCTAGTAGTAAACCCACTTCTTGGGTTCGGCAAACTGGGCCCTGCTTAATTTAACAGATGGCCTCCTCCTTCTCCAATTGGTTGAAAAAAAATCTATCTAACCATGTTTTTCTTTCCCAATTTTTGGTAACTTACGCAGTTAAAAAAGCACTACTCTCTTGTTCTGTCGTTTCCAAATTTTAGAGGCACTTGAGTTGAGTAGATCAGTGACGCTGAAACTCAACTGTAAAACTTCAGTTCAGTAGATCATGTTATACACTTACGCTACTATGTACTCAAATCAAGTGGCAGGTTATTAACCTAATCATTGCCTAAAGCAAGCCAATTTCAACTAATTTATAGTTTTTTCCCCCTTGCTTCATACTCAAAAAGTAGAGATTGAATCTCCCCAACCCCTTTTCCCAAATAAAAAAATAATATATAATACTAATAACATTACAAATGAAAATCTATCCGAATTAGTAAAAATCAAATATTTTATTTATAAAATTTAAATTTAAATACGATAACAACAAATTTTTTAATAAAATATTTATAGATTTTTCTTTAAAACCTGCAAACTATTTTGAAATGGACATTTTTAGAACATCTTTAGATGAAGAAAGCTTACTCAACTAAACTTTTTTTTTTTCAAAAGAAAAATTGCATGACAAGTGGAATATAGTCCATGGATTTTAAGGCATAACCCAAGTATCCAACTCCAAAACACTAATGTTCATATCCTAATTATTTTGTTTTCGGCTAAAGCACTATTATTGATAGGTCCATGTTTTAATTTCAGTAAAGATAATTGTAGCAATTAGTATTAAATTGTAGGACCAGATTTGTTAGTAACAACCCTACAGCTTGTCACGTCAAGGAGCCTGCTACTGCCAATGTCAGACGTGGATTACACGTTGCAATTTAATCATTTCCTTTGGTGTTGACATGGTGAACTCGAATAATTGGAGCCGACAATCAGCATGCAACCTGTTAATCTTGTTTAACATTTTGTTAATTATTATTTTAAGTTTATTAAAAATTTCAATTTGGTGAATTGCTTAGTCTCTTGAGCTAATTAGGATTAAAAAAAGTACATTATATTTAGAGGATTATTTATTCAAAATAAAAAATAACTTAATCATTTAACCAACGGTAAAAAAAATATTTTGTTTAAGGGTTTGGTTAATGAGTGTTTATAAACATTGATTAAAATAATTAAATTACTACTTAAAAAATTATACATTTAATACAAAAATTTCACTAAATTAAAAAATAACGCATTAATTGTATTTTTTTTTATAAATATCACATTATGCCACTAATAAACATTTTCCTTCATTTAATTTATTAAAAATTGTTAAGCATTTAATGTAAAATTAGTAAAGGAAAAAAATTTTAATTTGAATATAAGATCGACTTAACAAATCATTGAAAATGATATATATATATATAATGAATTTTCAGCATCAAATAAATAAAATGATACATGCTTGACCATTCATTTCAAGTTGCAATTTTCAAATAGTATGAAATTTCAAAATTGAAACTGTCAAAAATCATTTGTTGAGATGCTTTGCTAGGAATCATATGTATGCATGCTTCATGTAACTGTGCTACATGCAAATTGCAAACTATGTTTTCCTAATAAGAAAAAAAGAAAATTTATGTCCTTATTTATGTTAATGAAATAGAGAGATTTATAAGGGCATTGGGTCCAATTTCCTTGAATTTGACTGATTGTAGTCTGAATAAAAACAATCTGTAGTTCAAAGTTGTCCATTCATTCAAATATGTTTAAGGAAAGGTTGGTGAAAGGTCCACAAATCAGCCCAGAGAAAAAGATAGGCCAACTGTTGAAAGTTGTGGGAAATGCGTGTTACAAAATTCAGGCTGCAGCTAATGAAGAAAGACAGTTTACAAGTCGTTGTCCCCTGTGGCCCATAATTGATCATCAACGGTGATCAGAGGTCCAGGCAGTTTCGATTCAACCAATGCTTGAAAATTTTGCTAGATAATGCAGGCATTGAAGTAAAAGGAAAAAAAAATAGTGAACAGTTTGAGAACTACCATGAAGTATTAATTTCTTCAAAATGTTCTTTGATTTTTTTTTTTTAATATAGGAGGTTGCAATAAATGAATAAAAAAATTGTAAATATTAGAATTGTATGAACAAACTGAAATAAATTTCTTTGATTGCTTTCTAATCAACCGATATGGTATAACCACTTTCTAGGTTGGAGGTTTGTCTTTACTTTATATTATTGTGGCTTAATTTCAACATCTTTCAATTATTTCTTTGCTGTTTTTATAGCTTAATCATCATCAGGTGGGACTGTGGGAGTCTGAATTTTCTGTTGGTGATATTTGTTTCTTGGAAAGGATTATTTGCTGTTTTTTTAGATTTTCAAAATTTAAACATTTCGGATTTTTTTTTATATATATTGGAATTGCAACTGGCAAGAAAAAGATGGTCCAAATGTTGTTGACACTAATTACAGAGAACCACAAAAAATTGAAAAATGTGTAACAATTAAAAAAATTACATGATAAATGCGAAAATTTTGAAAATTATGCTCTTAATATGATCATACTTTCTGCTCCAATTGAAATCTTCTCTCTGCAATCTGCATCATATTTGTTCCTCCTTTTATCTTTGAGTAATAACATCCAACAATGAGGTTGTTTTGACAAGATTTGTTGGCACCACTCCAATAGGAAAACGAAGACGCCAAAGCATGATTTTGGAGCACTCTTCTGGTGGGATACCCCTTACCTTGGTCTCATCTTCTAGAACAACTTGTTTCACAAATTTGAGTGAATTCTGAAAGGAAAAAATGAAAAAATTAGAAAAAGAAAAGAAAAAAACCAAAAACAAAAGCCTCCTCAATAATAAAAAAAAATTTCTTAAAGTTGATGGCAGAAGCAAACACCAAGTGTTAAGCACTAGAAGATGTCAGAACCCACATTCTCGCCCTATCTAACCCCATTTTTTAATCATATAAAATTTTCTAAGTACACTTTATTTTATTATTATTGTTGTTATTATTTTACTTAATTTTAGAGTGGGGTGACTGAGAAAATCAATAGCAATATCTTATAAATTAACCCTTCACCTAATATCTATCAAAGTATGAAGTATGCTACTTTTTTTTTTATTTTAATAAATAAATAAAAGTTGATCTAATCTCTACTAACCATTTATTTTTCTGGTGAAAACAGCTAAAGCATTCTTTTTAGAGCATAATTTTTATGGGACCAAGCTTCTTTCATGAAATATTGATTATTAGCTTTATATTCTAATTTTGGTTACTTGAATCACTCTGTATGATTTAAATCTTAAATCCTAGTCTCATGTCAACCAGTTGTTACCGGGTAAATCCTAAGCAGGTGATAGAACAGTATCTCAAAATGAGAGCTTTATTGTTGTAATGAAATGCAACAATAACAGGAAAATGATTTTATAATGTATAATAAAGGGTATCACTTTTCAGTATCTAAAGCTTGATTCAGAGAATATTTGCTCACCTGTGAAGTGCCTTGACCAGATGTAGGGCGACCCCATCTCTCAGGGTCCCAAAGGATTGAACTGTTGAATGCAAAACTTGATATATGAATAAGAGGTTTTGGTTCTGCTGCATCTGTTTCCCCATCTGTCTGGTTGTTCATCTTCCTTAGATGCCATCCTATAACTTGAGAGGAATCGCAAACTGGTCCTTCAATCACAACTTTCCTCTTGTTTGCTGACAGTAAGGCCATTGGCCAAGTCCCAAACACCCTGCACATTGCCAAAAAATGTAAATAAATTAAATATTTTTCACTCTTGTCTGCACATCTTTTCCTAGTATCTTTAAAAGTATATATGCTCTACTTTCATTTGTTAAATTAATCTCCATTGCCTTAGAAAAAAAATGAGCTTTGAAACTTCCACCCACCGTCTAGCATATTATATTCTCACGCCCTAGTTTCTGTTTTAAATTCTTATATACCCTACAAAGGCATAATTATACAGGTAGTTGGAAACTTATATCATAAGAAATATTATATGAGAAAGAATTAGGTGAAGGTACATACTCAATTTGTCTAAGCTCTTTGAAGAAATCAAGATCATAAACATTGGAAAGTCCGGCGAAATGAACAATCCCGCTCAGCTTGTGATGCTCAACGTGCTTCAATGCAACATTTCTTTGATGATTCAGCTCTGCTTCAGGGTCTGTAAAATTCTCCTTCAACACCAAATGCCGATACATGGTACCTGTTTTTCTAAGTATTTCGGATAGCTCATTCGAATCTGATTGCCCTTCCACGACAATCCATAACAATGGTTGAGGAACCAGCCTTATAGTACTTGCTAGCCTCCTCAAGAACACCCCTTGAAACTTATCTTTTGTGCTTGTTGGTGTAACAATAATTATGAGTCTTCTAGATGGTAACTCGACTTGATGAAAATCCAATTGTTTTGGACTGTCTATTTCCTTGGACTTTGCTGAAACTGGAGCTGGAGTTTCCGCTCTCAAACTTCTGTTAACATTACTGCTATGTACTGCTGTTGTTGCTTGGTTCAACGTTTGAACAGGTTGCGGCGAAATCTGTAATTTATTCTTTGTAGCAACAGGGCTAGAAAAAATCGAATCCTTACCTGTTGGAGCAAAGCCTGTGAAAAACCCCATGACAAAACATAAAGAGAAGTGAACAATAGCTTTCTTCCATAACTGAACTTTCTTCTTTGATCTCTCCACAGACCCCATCTTGCCAAACTTATCAACGATCAATGGAAATGGAAAATTTTGGTCGCCTCCACTGAATCAGTTGAAATTATTGTTGTTATCATAGAGTAGAGGGGAGAATCAGAAGGCTATGATTAATCAGGTTTCATTTTATATTTGAATGTTTTGAAAGTTATAGGAATGGTATTTTCTTTTCTTTTTTTTTTTTTAATGAAAGGAAGGAGCTGATGGTTTGTGATTGGTAGTGACAAACTCAATATATATTGTGTTCATTTGGGGTTTGTTCAATTGGTGAGGCATTGCTTCACTTGATTGTCCCTTGAAGTCAAAGAAACACAACATATACGAGGGCTTGAGTTGCTATCTGCACCAAATAGTTGTTGAGATGGAACCCGTCAACTAAAGATTTTTGCAAAACAATTTATACCATATTTTCCCTGCTGTGAGGATTCATTTTTGTAATAACTGGAGTTGACCAAGTTTCCTTGTTTTTATTTATTTTGTGGCTGAGAAAACCAAAGTTCCCATAAACAGGTAGATGCAGAATGTTCTGCAGGCTCAATTATGGTGGCATGGTTTCTCAAAAACTTATTTTCTTGAATCTTTTTTTTTTATCGTGTTTTTTGAAATATATATGAGAGTGAGAAACACTTGAGGGAATTCCAGATCCTTAGAAATGAATTATGATGTATGTATTCCAAGAAACAATATGTTAGCAATACGGAATTGGCACTTGAGATTGTGATAAGTATCAAGCTTGATTGGGACAAGAGCTTGAGGTTGCAGTCACAAATTCCATACAAGTTTCAAATTTCACATTTAGATTGGACCAATATTTCCTCCACTGAAGTAGGAAAAGAAAAACAACGACGAGAAATGAAGAAAGAGGATTAACCTGCAAGCTAAGAATGCGTATTCCAAATGGTAATTATTGATTGTTGACAGTTTTTTTTTTTTTTTTTTGGCTAAGCAGAAAGTGCGTCTAATCATTTCTTGTCCACCAATTAATTTTTGCCACGTTTTTCTAACTTTAGAAGGAACTTGAGATACGGACAAAATGATGCTGAGTAATGAATTCATGATTTTAATCATGGAATGTCACTCAAAAAGGCATTTACGAACCAGTAAGAACCACCCACATTGACCAGTGAGGCATCAATCACAAAGCAAACCGAATGTATGATTCATCATCTATCTTGATTCTTGAGCACACTTTCAGAGAGCAGCAACCACAACATCCCGAAACAAGGATTTAACACAACAGCAAAGCCGGTAACCTGACCTTGAAATATTTCAGTCTTTCCTCACTCTTGACGACGTGTGTAGTTTACAGTGATGGGTATAGCAACAATCTGGACATCCGGGATCAGAAGCCAATTTCGATTTTGAAGGTATGGGATTCGTTAGGAACTAAGAGTCGAAAGTTGAAACTTCTACACGGCTTATTATTCTCCAGGACCAACCTTCGATTTGGGAAAATTATGAAATACCTAAGTTTGATATATTAGACGATAGCAACTTTCTTCACATCAAAGTAACCCTCCCAGGCCAGCCATCCTCGTAGAATACTTTAGAAGGAGACAAAACTAAACATTAATAATATCAAAAAATAGAATTGTTTAAAGGCATTCAACTACAATTTATATAAAAAAAAAAAAAAAGAAAGAACAAGTAAACAGTACAATTTGCAGGCAGACCTCGACAACTCGATATAAAAGTCTTCAAGAAAAACAAAACACAGATGAAAGCACACTAAATTGGTCCACAAAACTGCCATATAAATATACTAAATAAAAATATGACCCAAATTAAGACAAACCGTCCTAGCTGTGATAATTATCTCTCAAATGCAAATCTCATTTCTTCTTGACAGCAGACTTGGTGACCTTGGCACCGGATGGGTCCTTCTTCTCAACACTCTTGATGACACCAACAGCCACAGTCTGGCGCATGTCCCTGACAGCAAAACGTCCAAGAGGTGGATACGCAGAGAAAGTCTCCACAACCATGGGCTTGGTGGGAACCATCTTCACCATCCCTGCATCACCATTCTTCAAGAACTTAGGCCCCTTCTCAAGCTCCCTGCCAGATCGTCTGTCAATCTTGGTCAACAGCTCAGCAAATTTGACTGCAATGTGGGAAGTGTGGCAGTCAAGGACTGGGGCATATCCATTTCCAATCTGGCCAGGGTGGTTCATGATGATGACCTGTGCGGTGAAGTTGGCAGCCTCCTTGGCAGGATCATCCTTAGAGTTTGAAGCAACAAAACCACGCTTAAGATCCTTAACAGCCACGTTCTTAACATTGAACCCAACATTGTCACCAGGGAGAGCCTCCTGGAGGGCTTCATGGTGCATCTCAACAGACTTAACTTCAGTGGTCAGACCAGAGGGACCAAATGTCACGACCATACCAGGCTTAAGGACACCAGTCTCAACACGACCAACAGGGACAGTTCCAATGCCACCAATCTTGTAGACATCCTGAAGTGGGAGGCGAAGTGGCTTGTCTGAGGGCCTCTTGGGCTCGCTGACCTGGTCAAGAGCCTCAAGGAGAGTGGGACCCTTGTACCAGTCCAGGTTGGTAGACCTCTCAATCATGTTATCACCCTCAAAACCAGAGATAGGAACAAAAGGGATCTTCTCAGGGTTGTAACCAACTTTCTTAAGATAAGAAGAGACCTCCTTAACAATTTCATCATACCTTGCCTTGGAGTACTTTGGGGTTGTAGCATCCATCTAAATCAAATGATAATTGAAAATCAGCTCCAGTCACAAAATCAAGTTTTAATCACCACAATTATTGAAAAAGGAAAATCAATACAATATGATAATAAACAAGAAGTTCTAAACCTCACCTTGTTGCAGCAGCAAATCATCTGCCTGACACCAAGGGTAAATGCAAGCAAAGCATGCTCACGTGTCTGACCATCCTTAGAGATACCAGCCTCGAAACCACCAGTGGTTGAGTCAATAATGAGAACAGCGCAGTCAGCCTGTGAGGTACCAGTAATCATGTTCTTGATAAAGTCACGGTGTCCAGGTGCATCAATGACAGTGCAATAGTATTTGGTGGTCTCAAACTTCCACAGGGCAATATCAATGGTAATACCACGTTCACGCTCAGCCTTTAGCTTGTCAAGCACCCAGGCATACTTGAATGACCTTTTGTTCATCTCAGCAGCCTCCTTCTCGAACCTCTCAATCACACGCTTGTCAATACCACCAAGCTTGTAGATCAAATGACCGGTAGTGGTCGACTTACCAGAGTCGACATGGCCAATGACCACAATGTTTATGTGAACCTTCTCCTTACCCATTATAAAACTTGGGAGAGAAGCTGAAAATTAACAAGAAACATATTTGCAAAACAAATCATATACAACTATTCAAAATCAAACTAAAAATATTTCAATTGCCTAACCACATTCAAATCCATAATTAAGGAAAAAAAATAACAAATCTGACATCCGATTTAAAAAACAGTTTTATAAAGAATAATTCAACTTATATTAGAAAAGGTCGATCCAAGTTAAAATGCAAAAATAATAAAGAGTGGCCGCTGGGATTCGAGCCCAGGTCCTCCACAGATATGGAGTTCTTTCCACTGAACTACAGCCACTATATCTTAACATATCCTTTCCCATGAAACCAGTCAAAGCTTTCCATTTAAAACAAATAAGCCTAAGAAAAAAAGATCGTTGACCATTTTGATTATTTTCGTTAAGAACTTTCCCTTAGGCAGCATTTGGTTCGATAGACAGGTTAACACAGGAATTATTTTCTCAGAAAATAAATTTAGAAACTTAAATCATAAAATTTTTAAACGAACCTAGATGCATAAAATCTAATAACACATCGATCAAAAGGAAAAAGAATCAAATCCGAAACTACATAGAAAAGAATTAACCCGGAAAAAAAATCAGAATAGAATCAATTAAAAAAAATCAAACGGAGGAAAATAAAAAAAAATTTATATATACCATAACGAAATAGCATAAAAAACAAAACGAATATTTCAGCTACCAACCAATCAGATCAGATTGATTTTACTTCAAATCAAAGACATAAAATTCAAAAAATAATAATTACGAAAAGGATTTGCACCTGTAAGCTAAAAACGGGACTCTTTGAGATTCGCTTGATCGGAAGCTCTCCTCGTCGCAGCTGAAGAGAGCTGAAGAGAGCGTAAAAAGCAAGCGGGCGAGGGCTAGAGCAGTTGCTTGCTTTAGCTTAAGTAGCCACCCTCTTAGCTTTGGTTTAACTAGGGTTTATTTCTTAGCCGTTGATTGTCTTTAATCCAACGGGTCACGTTCGACATCTAACATTTGTCGTTTAAGTTTTTTCGATATTTTCTCCTTCCTTCCACGTCGGACTAGAGGCCTTAAGTTGACTTTATTTGTGTTCGAAAACCCTATAATACCCTTTAACCTTTTGCAAAGGAGCTTTTATATGTACACCCCAAATTTCTCTCTTTATCTAATTTTTTTTTAGAGCACTGCTATTTGTATCTCAATTTTTATAATTTTAATTTTTAATAAAATTATGTAAATACTCATTATTTATTTTTTTTTGGTTTTTAGACTTCATTTTGAAAATTCATTTTAAAAAAGTTTTAAAAAAATTTTAAAATAGATTAACATAAGTTATTAAATATTTTCTTTCACCTCTTTTTGAAAACTTCAAATTTTTTAAAGTTTTTAAAAGTTTTTAAATATATATATTCATAAACTTTTAAAAAATTTTAAAAATTTATTTTCAAAAATTTTGAACGCACTCAAATATTTTAACAAAAATCTTATAAAATTAAATAAAAAATAAAAAAATTATTTATTTTTAATTTTATATCTTTTAACTTCAAAATGGTAAAAAAAATTTTTACCAAATACTCATATGAAATTACATAATTAACCATTCAAGTTAGCATGAGTCCTTCACTATTTAATTTTGACTAAGTTTCTTCCCTTTTCTTCTTCTACTTCTTGTGTTCTTCTCTTTCATTTCGTACAATTTTATCTATAACTCTAAACCATAAAAATTACAATATTATTTAATATCATATATTACAAAAGTAGATACTCAAATTATAAAATAAAAAAAAAAAAAAACGATGAGATGAAGAGCGGAGGATTTGAGGTTTGAAACTGAGATTTACAAATTTCAAGATTTACATTTTCAAAAATAAATATTCCGAAGTTTTCACAAGTTGTTGAAAATGTAAATTTAGAATCAACAATTCAAGGCAAAAAATAACTTAATATTATATTTTAATTTAATCAATATTTAATCAAAATCAAACAAAATTAAAGATAATTTATCTCTAAATCGAAGATTTTGGTGATTTAATTAATTTCAAAACTTGTGATTTTAAGTTTAGATTGAAGATTTTGAGATGAATTTTCAGGTTAAAAGATGAGAGTTTAAGTTGAATGAAATTGAGAATAAAAAAAAATAAATGTTTAAAAAAATAAAAAATGTATTTAAAAATGTAATAAACAAAAAAAATATATTTTAGATTTTGAATTTGAGACGTGAAAAGTCATTGAGTGTAAAAAGTAATTTTCTTAATTGTAAATAAAACAAGTTATTAAAATATTTAAGCTGCCAATTTTACCCTCCCCTCTTTACATGATTTCAGTTTTCCATTCCAGATCGGCAGATTTTAACTGGTTGGGTTCTATTGCTCTCTTAAACCTGAAATTTTTGGACAAAAACCTGTTTGCTAACCTGTTTGACTGATTGTATTTGATTTTTAGGATATATTAAAGATAATAATCATGTTCAAAATGTCTCAAACTAAGAGTGTTTTACCCATTAAGGCTCAAGATAATGTCAAGCCCTTGAAGCCATAATTAGAGTTGTCCAAATAGCTCCAAGAAATAAACACCACATGTCAAAACAAAGTTGGACCCTATGTTCAAAGATCAATTCCTACAACTTCAAATATATATTAGAAAAAATATAAACTCTTAACCGACTGATTTATCCACCTTGATAACTACCAATTCTGAACAGACCAATGCTACATTCATGGAACCAAGTAATGGAGCCAAAAACTACAACAACCAATTTCCTGTTTCATCAAAATTTGAAGAGTTTTAAGGATAAAAATCTAATTAGACAAGAAAATTATGAAAATAACGAACTCTACCAAAGAAAAAAAAAAAAAAAACTATTTCTGGTGCCGATACTCAGCTCCTTGCAATTTTTTAGTCTTTCACATCATTCGGTTTAGTTAAGATTGACTCTCTTTTTGGTCGATGCTTCTTCCACCTTAGCTTACGCAAATTCATGATCCAGGATGGTACCTCACAGCCTGACGCTGCCATCACATTGGCTATGTTACGCAAATATGGAACATCATCTTCTGTGTAGAAAGTAATAGCTTCGCCAGTCCTCCCTGCTCTGCCTGACCGTCCTATTTGGGAGATCCATAAACTTTGTTTCAGTAACCACACAGAAAATACGGACAAGGGAGTTCCATATATTTGAGAAATCTAGGTCTACGATAAGGAGCTGAAGCAAATTGTTGACATACCAATTCGGTGAATGTATGCCGCTGCAGAATCTGGAAAATCATAATTAATCACACAGTTGACAGCCTTGAAGTCCATACCACGGGCAATGACATCAGTGGCGATCAAAACCCATGTTTTGCCAGCTCGGAAGTCATCAACAACATTTTCACGCTGCATTCAATTATAAGATATCAGGATAAAGTAAATAACCATGGTTGAAAAAGAAAAAGAAAAAAAAATCATAACATGTGTCATATTTCTTAACTAAGTACTACAAAGTCAAAGTGCGCCTTGCCCTAGAAAGCCAACTATCTCTTCTACAAACTCACTTAGGTGCTCTAAGCTGAAGGTTATTGTGCAAAGGTGAAACATTTTTCATTGTACATAGAATTCTTTTGTTGGTGGAGGTGGAAAGCATAAAAGGATCCAGCTTAATTAATAAGCATGGAAATAACCCTTACCTGTGCTTCGGATAAATCAGCATGGATAACACTAACTCTAATATTATCAAATTTCAGCTCTTCATACAGTTCCTTTGCCCGTTCTTTGCTTTGTACAAAGATTAAAACTGGTGGATTCAGCCTCTACAGCCAAGCAGGTTATAAGACAAACACAAGATGGTTAAAACATACTCCACCTGAAAAACACTTGCATAGATAACATGAAAAGAATATGGTTTTTCATGACCATATCCTCAACAGCTTCAACCAAACTATTGCAAATGCAATAAATAAGGGGGTTAAACGTCATGAATGGCCCTTAAATTACAGTAAAATGTTTAATGTGATACCTTAACTTTAAAATTTTGAAAGGTGGTATCTGAACTACAAATCTAGTACTCACCTCTAACAAAGCTAGCCTCAAATGACGACAGGTGATAGACAAACAACTTTTCAAGTACTACATTAGTTAATAGATTCATAGTTCAAGTATTACATTAGAGATTTTTTAAATTCAGGTACCATATTGAACATTTAAATATAGTTTAGGAGACATTCATGATATTAATCCTAAATAAAATAAGTGGTATTACTACATTTATGAACAACAAAACCAAACACAATTTCTAAGGGTAAATAAGGTGGATTATCTATGTGATATATAATCTAACTTCAGACTGCTACAATGTGTTCTCTTTCTCAAACAAGTCCTATAATTGTAAGGAAAATGAGCTTTCTTAACATCCATAGATAGAAGCAGCATACCTCTGCAAAACTTTGACGAAGTGCAAGGAGTTTCCCTTCTTCACTGCCAGCAAAAACTAACTTTTGATTAATAGATTCACAAGCAGTATTCCTGCATAAAATATCAAAAAGTAGATGCATGTCAAAGAGAAGTCATCTTTATCATTGAAAGGTAATAATCTCATACTTACTTTCTGCCAATAATAACTCGAACAGCATCATGCATTATGGTGCGTGCAAGCTCCTCAACAGAATCAGGTAAAGTAGCACTAAATAATGAGCGTATAATTGAAGGATTAGAGCATGCTTTGACCACAGAATCGATCTGCTTTATCAAGCCAAGCTCAAACAGTTTGTCAGACTCATCCAGGACAAGATATTCAACCCTACAGAAGGATAAATCTTGTATCAAGAAAGCAGTTTAGATCCAAATTACTGTTCAACTATGAGCTGGGTTGTTCCATTTTAACAAGACCAATTATTAGACCTGAAACCTCAGATTTTTCTATCCATTATGATCAAAAGAAAATGTTCATCATAGTTTTCCTAAAATCATATGCCCTAAAACATTCAAATAATTAGTTATAACATAGTAGAAATAATCAAATAATTAGTAATGTCGAAAGAGCTTTTAGCATCTACTTATCTACATATTTATTGGTCTCTCTACAATCTAAAATGTGCTTGTAATTGCATCCAGAAAACACTATTTATAAGCCCAAACCTGCTCAAATCAAGTTTTCTTTTCTTGATAGCTGAACTCAAGCGAAGTGGCGTGGATATAAGTATATCACATGGCAGCTTTGATAAATCAGCACTTCTTATGAGCTTTTTAGTCAACAACTTGATATGAAATTTATTTCCTTTTGCAAGTTTTTTGCATTCTCTGGTTGTCTGAGCAGCTAACTCACGTGTAGGACACAATATAACAGCTCTGACACCATCAGTCGATGCATGCTGATAGATGCAGAAAGTTAATAAGAAAACTAGGAAATTTTCCCAAAAATGATTAAAACGTATTCAAAAGATACCTTAAGTTTCATAAGCATAGGAGATACAAAAGCCAAGGTTTTTCCAGATCCAGTCGGAGCACAAGCAAAGCACTCCCGTCCCTTACACAAATGACGGTGAAACATCATTTCAATTTTCAGTCCATAAGAGAATTTAGCAAAAGTATATCAGGCCAAAGCAGCCAAATACTGATCTTTTCACTGAATAACCAATTATCAATAAAAAATGAAGTAGAAAAGAAGCCAGCAGCAGCTAAATAAAAGACATTACAGATAGAAGAACCGGAATAGCCTGCCGTTGAATTGGTGTTGGCTCTTTAAATCCAAGTTCAGCAAAATTGAGCAACAAATAAGAATCACATCCATATCTGTAGAGAAACCAAATAATTTCTCATTCCAAAATTAAACCCAAACACATATTTTGCTCAGAATCATAATAGTGCTAACATCATCCAACTAATGAATAACAACAAAGCGTAAATTTAAGAAAAGCTTAACTCATAGCAACCAAAGGCAGAGTTAATGTCAGCTAAAGTACAAAATGTAAATAGGCAAAGCACATACACTGAGCTTAACTCCGCGAAACTCTTCAGTGGAGATGCAACATTATTCCCAGAGACATGAATATTATACTTTTTCCGCAGAATCGAATCCGCCTAAACTCATCAAGGAATTAGGAAAATTATAACAAAGATGGTACTTAAAAATAGCCATTTATGCATGAATTTTAAGAAACAAACCTCCATTTTTCGGTTTGCTTTCTTCTTTTCTTTGGAAAGCTTATCTTCTTCCTCATCTTTCTTATTCTCTTCGTTCACTACGGTTGCTTTTTTTGAACTCGTAAAGACATTAAATCCCTCCACCGCTTCCACTTTCCAACAAATTAACCAAAAAAAAAAAGTTTCTCATGAGGATTTAGCATAATAATAGCTAAATAAATTTTTAAAAAATTAAAAGAAAAAAGAAATACCTGAAACTGCTTGTTTACGCTTTCTTTTCTTGGTAGAAACGGTAACTTCCTCCGGTTCGGGATTTACACTCTCGAACATGTTCAAATAATCCACTTTATTTTCAGTATCTTTTTTCTCCTAAACGAAATTTCAAAAAAAATAAAAATATGAATAAATACTGAACTCCGCAATAAAATTATGGGGAAAAAAAAAACAGAGAAAAGTGAAGAAAATCGGACCTTAAACCGGGCAATCTCGCTGGCGAACTTTTTTTTGTTGAATTTAGTGCCCGCGAACAAGAAAGAAGCGCCTTTTTCCATTATCGAAAATGGGAAGCTCTTTCAAATTTGAACCGGGAAAAAAGAAGAAACGGTTCCGGCGACGATGGAGAAGTGAGGGGTTGATTCGAGTCTCGGTTCTTCCTTTCTCTATACTAATTTTTGCGGCCACATTTTAAAAAAATCCCTGAGGTTTCAAAAGATCGTCAGTTATTGAGTTACCTACCCTGCATTTGTGTAAAATTGCGTTGTTACCCCGCCATATTGGACAACTTTTGAGTTAAGGACACACCATTTATTAACTGTTAAATTAAAAAATTAAGAAAATAAAAAATTTTATTTTTACAATGAAATAAACAAATAACTTCTCAACTAGTTTGATTTAATATTTCTAGGAGAATACTCGCACGTTGCTGCGAGAATTCAATGTCAATTTTTTAGTTTAAAAAATATTAATGTAAGCAAGTAAATTTGCAATTTTAATTCCCGAAAGCTACTACAATTTTTTTCTTTCTTCTTTGGATTGGTGGGCAATAATTCAGATTAAAAACAATCATAATCAAGCCAAACAAAAACAATAGATAATGGTAGTATTTCTAGGTAACTGGATATAGTCCAGAACTTTCATTTTGCATGAAAAATATATTTAAATTATACAAAATAATCCAAATTAGTTCTCAAAAGTGAGTAATTGAATTCTCAACTCACTTATTCCCACCTCACCTACCAACGAGACTTCTACGAAAGAAAATCTAGTTAAAATTTATAATTAATGAATAGAAAATATTGTCTTGAACCTTGCACTAAATAACTAATCGGATCAGTGCAAGTTAAGTTGCCAACAAAGTAATAACACTCTCAAAGGTTTTGTGCAAAAGTAACTTACCAACCTGCTATGAGTGTTTCAGATCCATGGTATTTCTTATCTCAAGATTCATAACATTTGGAAGTTTAGATCTGTCATGGCATGCATTCATAAACAGCTACAACATCAAATTTTCAAACATTCTATTTTTTTTTAACGTGAACTAACAAAAGAGCAAGGTGTATCCATTGTGACAATAGATTAGCACTAAGTTAGTGCCAGTTTTTCTATATGCTTTCTACCCAACAATAGTTTCAGTAGTATAATAACAAATGCATAAATGTCACTCTTATTTGTTAATTTACCTAAAAAATCAGACAACATATTTAAGCTTCTTATGAGGAATTATAAATCTCATGAAACAGATTAAAAACATATATATTCACACCTAAAGTGAAAATAATACTTCTAATATGCCATTTTTGATTGAATACGATGGTAAGTTTACATGTATGCTTTTAGCTAAAATACTCTAACATAATGCAAGTAAAGAGTATCGTGCAAATGTTAGACAATCAATAAGATTTTAGCTAAAATATGACTTTATGAAAGCAGTTAAACCTCTGAATATGTCATTAACTACCCAAAAGATTTTAACAGGTAGCCAAGATTGTCTGCATACAAAAATATAGTTTTGCCAACTATTGCTTTAATCAATTAAAAATATGAAATTTAACTGGTTGAGCTAGCAGAAATATATTTTTATGATTTTTAAAATAATAAAAGATCAACAATTTGCACCAAAACAAAGGCTAGAATGCTACACCATATTGCTTAATACATTAGGCCAACCAAAATGAAAGTTAAGCACCTGCCACCCTAAAAATCTGTAATTATAGAATGCATATCAATCTGTTGTTACTTTGATTGCCACAACTTGCTCCGAACCTTGTAAGAGAGAAAATATTAATGACATAGGAATAATTTGAACACCAATTTCGAAGCATTTTAAAAGCAATTCAAAATCTGCGTTTTTTACAATGGCCAGAACCTCATGTGGAAGCTGCAAAACACCCTCAATACTAAAAATCCTATATCCTTTGAAACTAGGAGTTTTCATCTCAGTGAGCCTAACAGTTAGAATGTCCCCTTTCCATTATACCACATTGATCTCTTTTGTGGCAAAAGGATCTTTCCGGCACTTTTGACAAAAAAGTATCAACCATTTAGTATTTTTTTGGCATTTCAAAAAAATAAACACACACAAACGAAACAACTTTTACATATTAAGACCAAAAGTAAATCCAAGGATCTAAGTAAGATGATCTTATCCTATGAATATTAAAACTAATAATATTTAGCTAACCTTTACTCCAAATTTTTAGAATTGAGCCTATATTTGTCAATCCAATGACATGCACATCAAAATATCAACTTCTAAAAACCCTTTAAAGAATCAATCCACAGTCAAAGGTCAAATCTTAAAAAAAAATTTGTCTCCAAACAATTAACAAAAAACAGTTCACTCTTTTTGAGAAAGATTAATACCCACATTAGCAAAGCTCAACAATTTTCAACCCAAAACTTTCAAACCAAACCCAAAATCTCAATAACCAAAAATTTTTGCTTAAACCCAACAGAGGAATAGAAAAGGGCTCACCTTTGAGTGATTACTATTGGCTGACTGAGTGGCGCGAGCAATAATGTGTGCCATGAACTTGACTCTTCAAGAACACAAAGGAACAGCTGCAAAGGAAAATCTAAAACCAAGTGAAGACCATAAGTTGGTGAAAAACAAAGAAGAAGAAGTAGAAGGAGAAGAGTGACGAACAAATTAAACTAAAAGAGAAGTAGCCAAAAATGCTACAATAGTAGCGACCATTTTTCAGTGTGGGATAGTCTATGTATTTATATTGAACCTCATTTAAAAGGTCAAGCACTTAAGCTGATGCCTGCATTGACATCATTTTTTGGGTATCTAATCTCATCTATCTTCCTGCTTGCTTTCTTGGGTCCTTTATTCCTAGCTAGCGTCTTAGCTTTGTTGGCCTTTGGGAGGCTTTTTTTTTTTTTTTTTTTTAACTTTGCCAGCATATATGTTACAAACTTCCTTACAACATCATAGGATGTTGGAATGTTACCTTGCCAAACTTCCAAACTTCCTTACATTCCTTGCCAACAAAGGATGTTGGAAAAAGAATAAAAAATTTCTCGTCCACGTAGAAATGAAGTTTAAAATAGAAATATTACCTTGAAAACCATTGCTAAAGATGAGGAAGAAAAACAGACAATCCATTTTTCTTGAGCTTCTTAAGTTTGTCTTGCAATTAATCATGGACCAAAGCCATTGCAGCTAACAAAGAAAATTTTAAAACTAAACAGATCTTCAATCTAACATTTAAAACAATCAAAGAAAAAATGGCAAAAAATGCTTACAATATCTCATAACGCTATGTATTTTGAAACAGCTAAGAAATAGAAGGGTAAAGCCCTAAAAACATTTTGCTTACCTTGAGCCCCTCTGCCATCAATAACCATTTTTCATAATTTTTTTCTTTAAAGCAAACGTTCATCTTTGGCTTTCAATCGCAAACATGTGGACTACGAAATAGCCTCGTGGTTTCTTTATTTTCATAATGAAGAGAAAGAAGGTGAGAGATAGCAAAAATAAGGCGGTAGAGAAGGGGAATCGGGGAAGAGAAGCTTCTGGTAGCTTTTAACATTGATCTATTTTGAAATCATAAAAAAGTGAAAAAGCTTATGGGGAGACTTCAGTTTTGTTCAGTCCAAATTTACACGAAACAGTGTCTTTCGCTTCTATAAATACATGATCATGCAAAGCTTAAAGACTACATTTATTATTTTAGAAACGTAGTGGTTAGTATTTATAAAATCAACTAAAATTACATTTTTAATTTGAAAACATAATTTTTAGTATTTTTTAAAATTTTAAATTATATTTATATGAAAATATTTATATTATTTTATTATTATTTAATTAATTTATTACGTTTTAAATATAAAAATTATAATATTTTTTAAAATTTAAAAAAATTAAAAACGTAAAATTATAATCATTTATTACATTTGTTCAAATATTATATTTTTATATATGATTTTTAAAATATTAAATATAAAAAGTATTAAAAAAATAAATAATAATATCTAAAAATAAAAAAGACAAAAAAATCAGATGAGAATAAAAGGTGGCCTGTAAAAAAGGTAAAAAAATTTTATTTGATGTTGATTTAATGTTTGATAGGTATTAAATTTTATTATAATAAAATAAAAAAAATGAAATGTTTTATTTGTATGAATCAAAGATTAAAAAAATATAAAGTAAAAAATTAATTAATAAAAAATTAATTTTAGGTTTATTTTTTTATAAAATAATTTTAAATTTAAATTTTATTAAAATTATTTCAAATATATTATTTATAATCATTATTTTAAATTATCATATATGATATATCTTATTTTATATAAAAAATTAAATAATTTATCTACTCATAAATTTTTAAAAAATAAAAATAATAAAATATAATAAAATAAAATAAAAACATTTAAAACAAAACAAAAATTTTTAAAAATTGTATGTCTTATGTAGTTATCCCAACTCTCCTCGTCATTCTCGTTCACACATTCTTTCGTCAGTTTTCTTTATTATTCATTCACCAACTTTTTTCGACTTACTGTCAATTCATGTCACATCCATTCTTTTTTCATTGAGTTTTTATTTATACAAGCCAATATTCAACTTCAACAAATACACAATGTTGTAGGTTCTAATTTTTGGAGATTTCTTTGGGTTAAAGTTGTAGAGAATAAAGAATTTTAAAGGAATGTTTGATTAGAAAGAATTCATTCAAAATTTTATTATTGAGTATTTAATTTTAATGTTTAATTAAGATAATTTGATTTTGGATAAAATTGATAAATTTTTAATAGTATTTAAAGTTTTAAAATAAAAAATTCATCTTTTCTTATGATTTTTTAGAATTCTAATAAGAAATAGAGTTATTTTTAAATTTGATTTGATTAAAAATTGATGAAATAATAATTATCATTTTAAAAATGTATGTCTAAAAATAAATACAATTCAATTATAAGTTTTTATTGATAAAAAAATTTGATTTATATATGATGTTTAGTATAAAAAACATTTTCAATAATTCACTTATAAAAAATTAAATTAAATTATTTAATATATTTTTTATTAAAAATATTTTAAATAATTCTAAAAAAATTTTATGAAGTTATTATTTAAGAGGTTTTTATCCTTTACACCTTAAATAATCCTTATTTATTTTTTTATAAAAAATTATTTAAAACATTTTTAGTCAAACATATATCAATGTCCTAATCCAATAATCCTTAGTAAGTTTTAATTACTTAAGAATAGATACTGATTATTTGATACCAAAAACTAATAGTAGCTTTTATTCATCTCTATTCATTGGAAAATGATACTCTTGGTAACGGTACAAGCTCTAATAATCTTGCTAATTTCCTAATTGATTAAATCTTAAACAAGTATAATTCACTTAACAATTATTATTTTTATATAAAAGAAATTATAATATAAAATAACGGAAGATTTACGTATATTAAGATTTAAAATTTTAGATTTATTGAATGTTATATATTAAGAGTGATTGTATAAATTAATTGAATTAAATATTTTTTATTGATAAAAAATAAGAAAATGAATTAGTTTTGATTTTTAAACATTTATATCGAGTTCGATATAAATGTAAAAAAAAAAAAAAAACTAATTAATAAGTAGGGATTTATCGAATTGATACTTGATAATCTCAATTTAAAAAAAAAAAATTTTAAGATCGTGAATTAAATTAAAGAAAAAAGAAAAAGAAAATACAAAACTGTTTTACCTATCAACGTGTGCGCTCCTTCTTTCCCACGAGTAGCAACTCCGTGTATGACTGTTTGTTCCTTAGTTGACTGTCTCCCTCTTCCCACCTTTATCGGCAGTTTCCCGAGAAACAAACACCGAAACACTAGTTTAAGATCTAGTTCTCCCAAGAAACTAATCTTAAAATTAACTTTTCCAAAAACCCAGATCGAATCTTCAATCAAATTTCCCCCATGACAACACATCATCATCCATTAAAAGCCGTGACTTTAACCCATGTAAGGTATCAAAGAGGTGACCGACTAGGCCATTTCTTAGCCTGGGTTTCTTTAGTCCCCGTTTTCATTTCCCTCGGTGGCTTCGTTTCTCATTTTATCTTCCGTAGAGAGCTTCAAGGCATGTTCTTTGCATTAGGGCTATTAATATCTCAGTTCATTAATGAACTCATCAAAAAATCCGTTCAACAAGCCAGGCCTGAAACCTGTGCTCTTTTAGAAATGTGTGATTCTCATGGTTGGCCTTCTAGTCACTCTCAATATATGTTCTTCTTTGCTGTTTATTACTCCCTTTTGACATGTAAAGGGATTGGTGGGATTTGGAAAGTTAGAACCAAGTGGGCTGCTTTGTTTTTGCCTTGGTCTCTGGCTGTTTTCACTATGTATTCCAGGGTTTATTTGGGTTACCATACTGTGGCTCAGGTTTTTGCTGGAGCTGCTTTGGGGATTTTTCTTGGTGGGGTTTGGTTTTGGGTGGTGAATTCTAAGCTTTTCTGTTATTTCCCTCTGATTGAAGAGAGTGCCTTTGGGAGGTTTTTTTATGTTAAGGATACTTCTCATATATCAGATGTGTTGAAGTTTGAATATGATAACGCAAGAGCTGCTAGGAAAGGTATGGCTGCCAGAAAAGCTATGGCTTCCAAGAGCAATTGATTAATAGGAACTAATCAGGTATGGAAAAATTTTGTTATTCCTTTCAATTTTATGTTCGATCTTTTATTCAATTTGGAGAGTTGAAAGATTATTTTGTGATTGGAGCTACTTTGCTGTTGTGCCAATTTGATAATTTCCACAAATAATGTAAGTGTGGCGGTTTGTTAGTTCGATGAGTTACAGATCCAATTTCACAAACAATCTTGCATTTTTTATGTTAATGTGATATAAAAGCACGCTTTGTATGTTTGTATAGAGGTCGTTCTGTATTCTTAATTCTAGTTTCATATTGTTAGGAAGTGGAGAGTCATTATCTGACATTTTGAGATGTGATCTTGAATCATGTAATTAATGACTATGTTCTTTTCACTTCTATGCGTTCTATTGTGATATGTTGAATCCATATAAAAGCTCATTTGGCTTCATGTAGAAATTTTCCTTGAATCTTTTGGCATTCACTTATAACGTGGATCAAGCACTTTGCTAGTTTGTTTTGTTGATCCTGCATTAATGGTTGTGGATTGAAGCAGTGGACTTATTCATGGTAAATACTAATCTTAAACGAGACTACATTTAATAAAAGACATTCCCTTTTGGGGTTCTTGGGCACTCGTTATAGTAAAAACTAAAAACTTCATGTTATCATAGATCATCAGACGTCGACAGTGATCCCGCTCTATCCTTAAAGTTCATCTCTTTTTAGATCCTAACTGATGCCTTGCTTTTTATGAAATGTTAATCCAACTCCCAACTGTTCATTGAAATTTGAAAGTGAGTACTGACCACCAAGTTTCTGCCTTTTGTTAAAAGGAGGTGTTTTACTTCAAAATTGCTTTGTTAGCTTACAAACTATAAGTGAATAACTGGTGTAGAAACAATCACTGTAGTTGTTTCTAACAAGTGGGCTAGTATATTTATCTAATTAAATTACGGTGGTTTTCTGAAGAAAGCTTTGAGGAGATCTTGAATTTTTTTGTTAATAAATTGTTTATTTGCTTTGAAAAGGGAAGTTATCAAGGGTGGAACGGGTGGTCAATGGACCTGGCTATGTTCAAAGGTACCTATGGCATGCTCATATGAGAAGTGTGATTTTTAGAAGGATGGAGCAATAAGAACAATGTGAAATGATTATACTTACTGTGATGGGCCATGGTTAGCAGGATGACAAAACAGAGGAGCTCTAGTCAATAGTTTCATTTGGTGCAATAACTCAATTAGAACCCAATTGGAAAGGTGGAACTTTTTATATATTGAGTTACTCTTAAAACACTGCAGCAGGAAAATGGACTTATGTTCTGAGAAGAAATTTCAGGTTGGAATTTGATGCAGAAATACGACATTGCAGCATGGTAGCAAAATGGCTTGTCCAGTTGGTTCTGGTGGTTTGGACACTCTAACTATGATGACATGGAGGTTTAACTGTTATCTTCAAGCATAATTCAGAAAATAGACTTAAATTCATCTTCAAATGTCTTTTGTAATTGAAAAACAGAAGAATTATTCGCTTTATCATTACCATAGAGCTGCTTCTCGGGAAAATTATTTCAAGTATCATATTTTTAATTTTTCCATCATATTGAGTTTCTATGTCAAAGGTGCCCTGTTTTGATCAGTTCTATATGGTGTTTCTTTAATCCTCTCTCTCATTCTTTTTAAGTGCTTTTAAATTCTAATTCTGAACAAAAAATTGATATATCTTTGTTAATGAAAATGACTTCTTTCATTTTGCAGGTCAGTATCTTCACCTCAGTGCTTCAAGACTCTGCATCTATGCCTATGGATGATTCAATTATTAAGTGAATGCTGATCACATCCCACTACTGCATGAGAAGCCAGATGAGAGCTTCAGTGTTAAGGATGCTGTATTTTATTTAAAAGAGCATGCTGCTGTTTCCTTTTTTTTTTCTAGTGGTTGTGCCACAGTGAAAGAACCATAGTACAGAACATAGATCATTTACAGCCTTATTGGTTTTTGGTTTGACAGGTGCTAACTTGCATCTAATGAAAGATTTGCAATATTTTGTTGTTGACTCTTGAAATATGGAGTTTATTTCTATCATCATTGGATTTACTTGGTCTAATTCCATAGTTTTCTTATTCAGCTTGGCGTGTTAACATCTGAAAATTGTGGTTGGTTGTTACTCAATTAAACCGCGAAACCGCCGTGAAACCGGTCATGTTCTGTACTTCTGTTTGACTTTCATACAACTCAAAGCGTGATTGGTTCAAGGTAAGGTAATTTTTTCTTTTAAAATCTTATTTTTTATAATTTGGTTATTTAGTTTGGTTCACGGCAATGTGATTATTGGGTTTTTCAAAATTCTCAAAATTTCAAACGGTATTAAGAAGTGGGAAAGTAAGGTAATAAAAAACTCTCTTATCTATGAGGCTTTTTAAGATTTCGGAGGGAAAGTGAAAATTTTTTGTCATTTGCATTTACTTAATTGTATTATCAAATTATATAAATAATGTTATTGACTTTAGAAACGTATTAATTTTTATAAAAATATTAGGAAAATAATTTTATCTTAATATATTTTAAACAAAGATCACATTTTAAGCATATTATTATTGAAATTCTTATAAAAACTATGATTAAAAACATGATTTTTATTGAAAGTATGAAAAAATTATGGCTCATAATTCAACAAAAACAACGTTTTTTAAATTAAAACATAATCTTTGTTGAAAAAAATGATAATTTTTAAGATAAATATACGATCTTTATTGTAAACATGGAAAATATTCTTTAAAATTCAACAAATATTTCGTTTCTAAAATAAAATCATAATTTTTATTGAAAATATGATATTTTTATAATAAAAAATACAGTCTTTGTTAGAAACATGAAAAAATATTTTTGTTAAAATTTAATAAAGACAACATTTCTAATATAGAAACACAATATTTGTTGAAAACATGAAAAAATGTAGTTTTCAAATTTTAATAAATATGATATTTTTAAGATAAAAACATAAATTTGTTGAAAAAATGATACTTCTAAAATAAAAATGTAATTTTTTTTAACTTCGATATTTCTATGATAAAAATATAATTTCTGTTGAAAATATGAAAAATATACATTTTAGAATTTAATAAATATGACGTTTTTTAAATAAAAATGTAGTCAATGTTTAAAAGATAACATTTTTAAGATAAAAATGTACTTTTTTTTTTAACATGAAATTTATATTTTTTAAAATTCAATAAATACAACATTTCTAACATAAAAATGTAACTTTTGTTAAAAAGATGACTATTCTAAGATTTAAAAAATATATATTTACTAAAAATATGAAAAAATAAAATATATTTATTTAATATTATTACGCATAAAATTTGTTCTAAGAGCTCCCCCTCTTTTCAACCCTGGCATTGATTTACATGTTTTTTGTGTAAAGACAATAACTTTAAAATAGTAATTAGATTTGTAAGAATATATTTGTTGAAAATATAAAATTTTAGTTTTTATAATTTGTAGTTTCAACGAAGATAACACTTTATTTACATATCGATATTATAAATGTCACGTGTTATCAAATACAATATAATAAAAAATTTTATTCAATAATCTTACATTTTTGTAAACCAAAAATAAAAATCTTACATTCTTTAAGTCAACAAAACTCATGAATCATACATTATTCTTCAACATTACTTTCCTCTAAATAATTTTTTCTCTTGAAATATAAGATTTTACGAATCAAATACCCTTAAAGTAGTGTTTAGTATAGGGTGATTATTCCAAAAATCATGGTGAGCTACTTATGATGATTAGATCACCATGTTTTACAAACACTCGATAATCTTACGTGGTAATTATCTTGAATCATCGAGAATTATCAACTATGTTGGATGTTAATCAAATTCTTACCTAAAAAGATAAAAAACTTTTATTACTGAGATAAAGTGTTATGTAAAATTAATAATAGTCAATATTATCTATTTGATATATGTTTAAATTAATATTTATTATAACAAATTCAAAAATAATTTATATGTTTTTTTTTTACTTTTTCTAATGTTTTATGTATAATATAATATATTTATTTTTTATTATGATTTTAATATATTAGTTTTATTTATAATTCAAATTGTTTTACATAATTTATATTATAAAAATTAGTTTACTTAATAAATAAATATATTTATTAATTTAATTATATTTATTATAAAATAAATAAAATATTACTATGTTTTATGAATTATTATCTTTAAATAACATTTAAATCATTAACTTATAAAACTATTATAATAAAGATGATTATTTTTATAATTTTAAATAAAATAATATTAAAATTTTTAATAATATCAAATATAATGATTTTTAATTTATAAAAATTAAAGGTTGTTAATAAAATAAAATGATTATATATTATAAATGATAGGACCACTTTACACCTCAATGATTATATTAACATAGTGACCTTAAAATAATACCAAACTTACTTAAATGTTTGTTGTTCTTGATGCGTGTACATGTTCTGTCATTTTCCTGTATGTAGCCGAGAAAAATCTACGGAGGATGTCACTTGAGAGGATTTTGGCTAGGATGACAACGGGTCAGGTCGAGACAGATTTTTGCTCGCTTTGAATCCGATTCTACTTTAAATATGTAAAATTTGAATTCGATCGTGATTCGATAAATTATTTTATTATTTTTATACCTGAATCTGATCCGACTCGATCCGACAGTGTATAAAAATATATCTGATCAGATCCGATTCGAAATTAATAAAATATTATTTTTAATATAAATATAAAATTAAATATATATAAATCATTATAAAATTAAATAAATAATTAAAAAAATTATATATATATCGGGTCGAGTAAGATTGTATTTACCTAAAACCCGACCTCGACCCAATTTTAATTTTTTTTTCATGTCATCCGATCCGACACAATTCGATACTCGATTTTCAAAAAAAAAATCGACCTTAAAAAATCGAATCAAATCGAAATCCTTCGATTTCAAATTTTTTTACCTTCTCTAATTTTGGCTTTAACCTCGTAACTTGTTCAAAACTAAATCTCTCAGTTTCCACTTTAAGACCATGGACTTGTATTATCCATTTTCTCCATTATTATGCAATAGTTATTTTATTATATATATATATATATTATCACATTTTCAGTATTTTTAGGTTATTACAACAAATATAACAAAAAAAAAAAAGTTCTCTCTCTCGATAATTACACAAGCTATCAACAAAATATGGAAACAGTGGGCTGGTTATTCTTTATTAACATTTAACAACTTTCCTATAACTTTTATATAAAAGTTGTAGTAGCATTTTCCAGAGCGTACATGGTTGTTTTTAACATATGAGGATTTGGATAAAAATAAAATACATTAGAATTAGAATCGTGTTTTGTTATGGGATTTTTTTTTTTAATTAAATTTTAAATATGAAAAAAATAAAATTTTTATATCAAGTTTTAATGAACGATAACATATAAATAAATATAAGTATATTTTTTTTCGAATAAATTATATATAAAAATTTAATTATAATATAATTAATAAACTTTATATAAAAATAATATTTTTTTTGAAATATACATACAAATAGACATAATTTTTTTTAAATGAAGTAAATACTATTGACCATGATTATGTTTATTTTTCAAAATACATAAACTATTTAAAATATATAAGTTGATTTGAAATGTTGCATAAACAAGTAACTTTTCAAAATGTTCTACAAATTTTCAAATATAGAATGACTAATAATATTAGAAAAAAAAAGTTAATAAATTGTTGAATAGTTGAAAGTTACAGTGAATTCACATAAAATAATAAAGCATATTAAATGTATTTAAATTAATTCACATCATCCAAACATTCTTGTGTAAAAAAAAGAATGCAATTTAATATAAGAAATGAAAAAAATATTATATGAAATTTAATAAACAACTACAATAGAAAAAAATCAATTAATAATGGATGCACTTTTTGATATAAAATAGTATTTTATTTTATATAAAAACTAAAATAACACTACATATATTCATATTATTTGGGTTAACTAATAAAATTAGTTAACCAATTTAATAGGACAAATCTGCTACATCAAAAAAAAAAAATCAAATCAACTGTAACTTCTAAAAAAGGAAAAAATTCCACTAAAATATATAAAGAAATATGAAATCTCATTTGTAATTCAAAAATTATATATAAAAAAATCAATCAAATATTTTTTAGTGATGCCCTATATTTGACAAAAAATGGCATATTGAAAGCATTCTTGGTGTTGTATAATTGCTGAGCTTTACTTTTATTTTTATAATTTTAAATAAAATAATATTAAATTTGTAATAATATCAAATATAATTATTTTTAATTTATAAAAATTAAAGATTGTTAATAAAATAAAATGATTATATATTATAAATGATAGGACCACTTTACACCTCAATGATTATATTAACATAGTGATCTTAAAATAATACCAAACTTACTTAAATGTTTGTTGTTCTTGATGCGTGGACATGTTCTGTCATTTTCCTGTATGTAGCCGAGAAAAATCTATGGAGGATGTCACTTGAGAGGATTTTGGTTAGGGATTGTGACGGGCAGGTCGGGATCGGTTTTTGTTCGTTTTGAACCCGATTTTATTTTAAACATGTAAAATTTGAATTCCATTGTGATTTGATAAATTTTTTTATTTTTATATTCGAATCTGATCTGACAGTGTATAAAAATATATATAATTCGATTCAATTTGAAATTAATAAAATATTATTTTTAATATAAATATAAAATTAAATATATATAAATTATTATAAAATTAAATAAATAATTAAAAAAATTATATATATATATATCGGGTCGAGTATGATTGGATTTGTCTAAAACCCGACTCCGATCCAATCTTGATTTTTTTTTCATGTCACCCGACCCAACACGATCTGATATCAAATTTAAAAAAAAAAAAAAAAAACGATCTTAAAAAATCGAATCGGATCAAAACTCGTCAATTTCAAATTTTTTTACCTCTCTAATTTTGGCTTTAACCTCGTAACTTGTTCAAAACTAAATCTCTCAGTTTCCACTTTAAGACCATGGACTTGTATTATCCATTTTCTCCATTATTATGAAATAGTTATTTTATTATATATATATATATTATCACATTTCAGTATTTTTTAGGTTATTACAACAAATATAAGTTCTCTCTCTCGATAATTACACAAGCTATCAACAAAATATGGAAACAGTGGGCTGGTTATTCTTTATTAACATTTAACAACTTTCCTATAACTTTATATAAAAGTTGTAGTAGCATTTTCCAGAGGGTACATGGTTGTTTTTAAGATATGAGAATTTGGATAAAAATAAAATACATTAGAATTAGAATCGTGTTTTGTTATGGGATTATTTTTTTAAATTAAATTTTAAATATGAAAAAAAATAAAATTTTTATATCAAGTTTTAATGAATGATAACATTTAAATAAATATAAGCGTATTTTTTTTCGAATAAATTATATGTAAAAAATTAATTATAATATAATTAATAAACTTTATATAAAAAAATATTTTTTTTTTGAAATACACATACAAATAGACATTATTTTTTTTTTAAATGAAGTAAATACTATTGACCATGGTTATGTTTATTTTTCAAAATACATAAACTATTTAAAATATATAAGTTGATTTGAAATGTTGCATAAACAAGTAACTTTTCAAAATGTTCTACAAATTTTCAAATATAGAATGACTAATAATATTAGAAAAAAAAAGTTAATAAATTGGTGAATAGTAGAAAGTTATAGTGAATTCACATAAAATAATAAAGCATATTAAATGTATTTAAATTAATTCACATCATCCAAACATTCTTGTGTAAAAAAAGAATGCAATTTAATATAAGAAATGAAAAAAATATTATATGAAATTTAATAAACAACTACAATAGAAAAAAATCAATTAATAATGCATGCACTTTTTAATATAAAATAGTATTTTATTTTATATAAAAACTAAAATAACACTACATATATTCATATTATTTGGGCCAATTTAATAGGACAAATCTGCTACATCAAAAAAAAAAAAAAAATCAAATCAACTGTAACTTCTAAAAAGGGAAAAAATTCCACTAAAATATAAAAAGAAATATGAAATCTCATTTGTAATTCAAAAATTAAAAAAAAAATCAATCAAATATTTTTTAGTGATGCCCTATATTTGACAAAAAATGGCATACTGAAAGCATTCTTGGTGTTGTATAATTGTTGAGCTTTACTTTTATATCCTTCTCATAAAGTGAGTCTTCTTCTAAAACCTTTATTAGAGAAAAATTACATAATTACAAATAATCATAAAAATAATCAAATCAAATCATTAAAAATCACTAAGCTCCTTAACCAAAACAAATAATTAATCTTTTCGACCTCTACAATAACATGCTATTTCTTAACATTAACTATATATAAATTTAATTTAGCTAAGACGACTTGTATGTAAAATCAAATTGTAATAGATTTTTATACGAAATACATATTGTATTTCATAATATAAAACTTAATACATTAATTCAAAGGAAAATATATATTCACAAAAATATAATACTAAATAAAAAATAAAATAAAATATTACAAAAAAATAATAATAATACTTACAAAGTTATAATCTTACACCACCCTTTAGAGCCTATTATAAAATATAGAAAATTGGTTTAAAATAAAAAAATACCAATATTTAAGCAATGTATCAATGAAAAGGAAAAAAAGTAGAAGAATACAAATGAAATATATTTTAGAAAGAATGCTGCATTTGTCATCTTCGTCATATCATTATTATATTTATATACAACACATTTTTACTCATAAAATTTAAATCACATAGATTAAGCTATCAATGAATGACTTATTACCATGAAAATTTTCTATATTCCTTAATTACATATTATTATGGAATTTAAATTTTAAATACATAACTTTACATATCAATAAATTCTTTCTATTTTACATCAATTACCCAAAATTAAGATAATGTAAGTATGAAAAAATTTACCAAATTCAAAATAAAAATTGAAGATGTTAAAAGTTCAATAAGACTTTTGTGTAAAAAAAAGAAATATTCATAATCAAAATGTTTTTAAAAACTAAAATTAAAGCTATTAAATAGTTAATAATTTATTGGACAGAAATTGAAAATTTTGTTGATTAAGATAAAAAAACATAAGATATCATTTGATATTATTCATGAATAAAATACTAGCTTATATATATTGACTTATTTGGTTTTTTTGTCAAAAGTTATATATAAAGTTTATATATATTAGATTGTTTAGTAAATAATAGTTATATAATTATAAAATAGCTATTAGAAGATATGTAAAATATTGATATTTATAGGAGGCAAGAATATTGATATTTAAATAATTTAAATGTAATTAACTTTGCCATAACAAATTATTTTAAAATAAAAATTTATCAAGTCAAATCCATTAATTAGAGGATAAATGGCATTTATTTATGACATTTCGCATGTCAAAAAATTAAATTATCTATATAGAACAAATTGTCTTTTTTATTAAAGATTTTAGTTTTTATATATTTATATAAGATATAAAATTAGTAAGGTGTTCAAGATATTTAATATTTATTATAATAAGTTGACTAAAAACTAAAAATGAAAGTGTTGGAAGTAATTTATGGAATGTATAAAAAATATCATTTAATAAATTAATAATATTTTATAAGAGTGCTTAAAAAGAAATATATATATATTTAGTGCCCTAATGAGAAGATATGAAAATATATTCATGAGTAATTAGCTTTCCATTTAGTTATTTTTTTATTTTAATTGTATCATTAACCAAGTTAATTGAAACTTATTCATATAAGGTAAGAACATTGGGTATTTAAAGGATAATAAATGAAATTAATTTAGTCTAACTAATTACTCTTTAAGTAATAAAAACATTTTAAATAATTAAAATGCATTTATTAAAAGACATATGGTAATTTTTTAAATCTGTCCATATGTAAAAAATATAGGTTTTCCAAGTAAAACTATATAGTTTTTTTTTATCTAAAACTTTGTCTTTTATATATTTATATAAGTAAAGTTGACTAAAAACTAAAAATTGAAATAATGAGAGTAATTTATGGAATGTGTAAAACTATCGTTTAATAAATTAATAATATTTTATAACAGTCTACGTTAGAGTGCTTGAAAAGGAAAAAAAAATAAATCTAGTGAGCTAATTAGAAGATATGAAAATATATTCATTAGTAATTAGCTTTTCACTTAGGCTTTTTTTTTTTTAACTTATTTGTATTATTAACCAAGTTAATTACAACTTATTCATATAAGGTATCTTTATATAAAATAAGAATATTGGGCATTTAAAAGAGAATAAATGTAATTAAGTTAGTTTAACTAATTACTTTTTAAGTAATAATTTTTTTTAAATAATTAAAATGCATTTATTAAAAGACATATCAAAAATATAAATTATCCAAGCAAGACTATTTCCTTTTTTACCTAAAATTTTGGCTTTTTATATATTTATATAAGAAACATTTAAAAAATACAAACACAAATTAAAAGCAAATATAAGTATATATATTTTCTTTGGACCTCGACCTCGCTCTTGCATTTTTCCGATTCACCAGCATTATTATTCTTTCATATTGTTCTTTGAAAAAATTATGAGAGAATGAGAGAGTTTATAAAGGAAAATGAGAGAGAATGAAGTTAAAAAAATGAGAGTTTGTATGCAGAAAAAAAAAATGATAGAGAAAATATGTGAAAAAGGTAAATAAAATAAAATAAAAATAAAAGACATTTGGTAAAAGATGTGGGTTAAGGTGTAATATTTAAAACTTTATCTTTACTCAAACTCGATTTAAAAAAATTTAATCTAATTAATCCAATTGAAAAAAAGCATACCAATTAGATTATTTTGAAACAAAATCCATCGGATACGGATAATTTTATAATCTTTATCTCAATTGACAATTTATTACAAAATTTATATAATAAATAATAAAAGTAATAAAATAAAAAAAAAACTAAAAAAAAAAACTTTTAAAAAATAAATGAAAAAAAAGAGATGTGTCTCGTGGACACTCAAGATGAAATGAAGCATTTTAAATATGTTTTTGATTAGACCCAAATAAAAAAAAAAATTTGACAACCCAATCTCAAGTTTTTTAAAAAAATCTTACTATGGATCGATACGAATTGAAATTAATTAAATATAAATTATTTTATCATTAATACCTCAATTGACTCTTTTTATAGTTTTTATAAAATAAAAAATTAAAGGTAAAATTAAAAAAATTAATTAAGAAAAATAAAGTTAAAAAATAGAAAAAAAGTGTATTTAAACTGAAGGAAGGGATAGTATGTGGACACATTTTTATTTCCCCATTCTTTATAAAATTAATTATAAAAAATAAAATAAAACAAAAAATGATTTTGAAGGAAGGAGACACCCTTCCATTCTTCATTTTCTATAAAATTAAATAGATAGATAGTTTAGTGTATAAACTTGTAATTAAATTTTTATTCTGATCCTCAACATCTTTTTTAGTATATTTAGTTCCCAAAAAACATTTTACGGACACTAAAAGTCTAAAATTCAAAATTTTTTTCTTAAAAAGTTTGGTCAAAATGGTGAATAAAAGGGTTATGAGCCTAAAATTTAAAATGAAGTTTTGAAACTAATGAATCATAATCAAGAAATTAAAATCAAACATGAATTTTAGAGATTAAAAAGTTTAACAATTTATTTATAGATTATAGGATTATTTATTAAATTTAATCATTACATCTCATTAAAAAAATTAATGAAAAAAATAATCAACAAATAATTAAATAAACTTACCATAAATTAGATAAACTTACAAAATTGCAACAAATCTACAAAATTATTACTATATTGTTGTGATTAATTGGAACCTGGAATCGGACAAAATATAATATAATTCAAAGTCTATGGATAACTTTTTGTATTTTTTTTATTAATTTTTCCCACTAATAAAAAATTTCAACAAAGATATCCTTTCCAAAAAAAAAAAAAAACAGATACAGAATGTAGGGTTTTATTCCACAGCCCAAAGACTAAAAACATTGGTTGGTTCCCCCACTTTCCTTCTGTTCACCGCTTCTTATTTCACATCGGCAAAGGTTTTTCCTTTTATCTCTCTCTGTCTCTGTGTTTTATCTGATTTTATTTCTCTTCTTCACTTGATTATCTGATTTTTTTTTCTCCTGGTTTCTTTTTGCAGGTAATTGAAAATGGCTGGGGTAAGAGAGATAACTGCTGCAGAGTTCCTGCAAGTAAGTTTTTCTTTGTGTTCTAATCTCTGCTTGTTTACCGAGAAAGTGTGTGAAATTGATATTCCACATTTGGGTTTTCCGTGTTTAGCTAGGAATTGAAAAGGGTTGTGATTTTTCTTTGATTTTCTTATTAAACAAATAAAACCAATGACTTTGGGTTCTTAAATATTAGTGCAAAAAATGATTCAGGTTGTTAACTTTCTTCTCCACTCTTTGGTGAATTATGCTTTATATCAGGGTACAACAAGGCAAACTCTGTTTCTGCAGAGAAAACCTTCGATTAAGCGAGGTAATTTGTTATGGGGCAAGCTCTGTAATCCAAGCCGGATGGGGCATATGTCTAATACAAAAGGTGTTACTCTGAGGTGCTCTTCTCAATCAAATCCTAGAGCAATGGCATCTGGAGGTGTCCGTACTAATTTGGTTGATGAGCAACCTGGATTGATTGAAAAGCTTGCTCAAGAGGTCATACATTTCTACCGTGTTCCGTTGATTCAAGAAAGTGCAAATGATGAACTTCTCAAATTGATTCAAACCAAAGTTTCGAATCAGGTTGTTGGGTTAAAAACCGAGCAGTGTTTCCATGTAGGGCTTGCTTCAAAGATTTCAACTGAGAAGCTCTCAACACTTAAATGGATTCTTGGGGAGACATATGAACCTGAGAATTTGGCGACTGAGAGTTTTCTTGCAAAGAAGAAGCAAGAAGGGTTGAATACAGTGATAGTTGAAGTTGGGCCTAGGTTGTCTTTTACAACAGCTTGGTCCTCGAATGCTGTTTCGATTTGTCAATCCTGTGGCTTGACTGAGGTGACTCGAATGGAGAGGTCAAGAAGATACTTGTTGTATAGTAGGGGACCATTGCAGGAAAATCTAATTAATGAGTTTGCTGCGCTGGTGCATGATCGGATGACGGAATGTGTTTATAGCCGGAGGCTCACATCATTTGAAACCACTGTGATTCCAGAGGAGGTTAGTTTTGTGCCTGTCATTGAGAGGGGAAGGAAAGCATTGGAAGAAATTAATCAGGAAATGGGTTTAGCATTTGATGAACAAGATTTACAGTACTATACCAGGCTGTTCATGGAGGACATTAAGCGGAATCCAACAAATGTAGAGTTATTTGATATTGCCCAATCTAACAGTGAGCACAGCAGGCACTGGTTTTTCACAGGGAAGATTGTTATTGATGGACAGCCGATGGATAGGACATTAATGCAAATTGTCGAGAGCACTTTGAAAGCAAATCCAAACAATTCTGTTATCGGATTTAAGGATAATTCGAGTGCAATAAAGGGTTTCCTTGCATACCGATTGCGACCAGTTAAACCTGGAACAGCCTGCCCTCTAAATGAAACAACTCGTGAAATTGATGTCTTGTTTACAGCCGAAACGCATAACTTCCCATGTGCAGTTGCACCCTACCCTGGTGCAGAGACAGGTGCAGGTGGTCGCATTAGGGATACACATGCCACAGGAAGGGGGTCTTTTGTTGTTGCTGCTACAGCTGGTTACACAACCGGGAATCTTAATATAGAGGGATCATATGCGCCATGGGAAGACCCATCTTTCACATATCCATCAAATTTGGCATCTCCTTTGGAAATACTCATCGAGGCTAGCAATGGTGCATCAGACTATGGTAACAAATTTGGTGAACCCTTGATTCAGGGTTTCACTAGAACTTTTGGAATGAGACTTCCTAGTGGCGAACGACGTGAATGGCTGAAGCCTATCATGTTCAGTGCAGGCATTGGACATATTGATCACATTCATATATCCAAAGGGGACCCTGAGATTGGAATGTTGGTTGTAAAGATTGGTGGCCCTGCATATCGAATTGGAATGGGTGGTGGGGCTGCATCCAGTATGGTTAGTGGCCAGAATGATGCAGAACTTGATTTTAATGCCGTACAACGTGGAGATGCAGAAATGGCACAAAAATTGTACCGTGTAGTTCGGGCCTGCATTGAGATGGGAGAGGATAACCCCATTATTAGCATCCATGATCAGGGAGCTGGTGGGAATTGCAATGTTGTCAAGGAAATTATATACCCAAAGGGTGCTGAGATTGATATTCGGGCCATTGTTGTTGGAGATCACACAATGTCTGTTTTGGAGATATGGGGTGCAGAGTATCAAGAACAAGATGCAATCTTGGTGAAGCCTGAAAGGCGCAATCTATTGGAATCAATCTGTGCAAGAGAGAGACTTTCAATGGCTGTTATTGGAACTATTAATGGTGAGGGACGTGTTGTTCTAGTTGATAGCTTAGCTATTGAAAAAAGCCGTGCAAGTGGACTCCCTCCACCTCCTCCAGCTGTTGATCTTGAGCTTGAGAAAGTGCTTGGGGACATGCCTCAAAAAAGCTTTGAATTCAAGCGGGTGGCTTATGCACGAGAGCCACTTGATATTGCTCCTGGAATCTCAGTCATGGATTCGTTGAAGAGGGTATTGAGACTTCCATCTGTATGTTCCAAACGGTTTTTGACAACAAAAGTTGATAGATGTGTAACGGGTCTTGTAGCACAACAGCAAACAGTTGGTCCCTTGCAGTTACCTCTTTCTGATGTTGCAGTTATTGCTCAAAGTTATGTTGACTTTACTGGAGGTGCCTGTGCCATTGGAGAGCAGCCAATCAAAGGGCTGCTTGATCCAAAAGCAATGGCTAGACTGGCTGTCGGAGAAGCTCTCACAAATCTTGTTTGGGCAAAGGTTACTTCTCTGTCTGATGTTAAAGCAAGTGGAAATTGGATGTATGCTGCCAAGCTTGAGGGGGAAGGAGCATCCATGTATGATGCTGCTATTGCTCTTTCAGAAGCAATGATTGAACTTGGTATTGCTATTGATGGTGGGAAGGACAGTCTTTCCATGGCTGCCCATGCAGGTGGTGAGGTTGTTAAGGCTCCTGGAAATCTTGTAATTAGTGCCTATGTCACTTGTCCTGACATAACAAAAACAGTAACTCCAGATTTGAAGCTAGGGGATGATGGTGTTTTGCTTCATATTGATTTGGCAAAGGGCAAGCGGCGCTTAGGTGGATCTGCTCTGGCTCAGGTTTTTGACCAAATTGGGAATGAGTGCCCTGACATTGATGATGTTTCTTACCTTAAAAGAGTTTTTGAGGGTGTGCAGGACCTACTTGGAGGTGGAATGATCTCTGCAGGTCATGATATCAGTGATGGTGGGTTACTCGTTTCTGCCCTGGAGATGGCATTTGCTGGAAATTGTGGCATTGTATTGGACTTGGCTTCTCGAGGGAATAGTGTTTTCCAATCACTTTTTGCCGAAGAGCTTGGTCTTATTCTTGAGGTAAACAAGAATAACCTGGATAGTGTGATGGGAAAGCTCAGCAGTATGGATGTTTCTGCTGAGATAATAGGACAAGTAACCAATTCACCTGTGATAGAGCTAAAGGTTGACAGAATTACTCATTTAACTGAGAAAACTTCTCTCCTCCGAGATATGTGGGAGGACACAAGTTTCCAGCTCGAAAAGTTGCAGAGACTAGCATCTTGTGTGGAATTGGAGAAAGAAGGTTTGAAGTTTAGGCATGAACCTTCTTGGGCATTGTCTTTCACCCCTTCCTTCACGGATAAGAAATACATGACTGCAACTTTAAAACCAAAAGTAGCTGTCATTCGTGAGGAAGGCAGCAATGGAGATAGAGAAATGTCAGCAGCATTTTATGCTGCTGGTTTTGAGCCTTGGGATGTTACAATTTCAGACCTTCTTAAGGGAGTTATTTCTTTGCATGAATTCCGTGGAATTGCTTTTGTTGGAGGTTTTAGTTATGCTGATGTGCTTGATTCTGCAAAAGGTTGGGCTGCATCCATACGATTCAATCAGCCTCTTCTCAATCAATTTCAGGAGTTCTACAAGCGCCCTGATACTTTCAGTCTTGGTGTCTGCAATGGATGTCAGTTAATGGCTCTGTTAGGATGGGTCCCTGGCCCCCAAGTTGGGGGTGTTTTTGGTGCAGGTGGGGACCCATCACAGCCAAGGTTTGTTCACAATGAGTCTGGACGATTTGAATGCCGCTTCACCAGTGTGACCATAAAGGACTCTCCTGCAATGATGTTCAAAGGAATGGAAGGCAGTACATTAGGTGTATGGGCTGCCCATGGTGAGGGGAGGGCATATTTTCCTGATGATGGCGTTCTGGATCGAGTATTGCATTCGGGTTTGGCGCCATTAAGATATTGTGACGATGATGGGAATCCAACTGAGGCTTACCCGTTCAATTTGAATGGTTCTCCATTAGGAGTGGCAGCAATTTGTTCTCCTGATGGTCGACATCTTGCCATGATGCCTCATCCAGAGCGCTGTTTCCTGATGTGGCAATTCCCTTGGTATCCAAAGGACTGGAATGTGGACAAGAAAGGCCCTAGCCCATGGTTACGGATGTTTCAAACCGCCAGAGAGTGGTGCTTATGATATTGGTTAGTTTTTCTACTCATTTTAGTGAGGCAAACAAATTCATAAATTTTGATCTAGCATTTTATATGTGAAAATAAGTGAAAGCATTGTCTATATGTAAGTGCCTTCGATGAAATCATGCAATCTTAATTCGAGTGCCGTAATCTGAGGAAGTAGTAAGAATTATATGAACAAAGTTTGACAATGGATAAAAGGGATGTTCCAATCTTAAATTATGCTGCATGACACTAGGTTTACATAACAACTTCATATAGTAAGTGTAAAGTTTCAGAATATGTAGTAAACTAAGAGATACATGGTATAAATTGAGCTCACTTTTGCTTATCACAGGTTATGAGATGTAAAGCCAAATGAGAGGAATCATCGTGTTTGGATGCTTCATCTGAGTTTTGATTCGGGGGTTTTTAACTGTTATCTTTGAATCAATGAGATGCCATGAGGCCCTCTGGAAAATGTCATTGGCATCGATCAAGGCATAAGAATTACTAGTATTTGCTCCATGCTGAGCTGACCACAGAGCAGTTTATTTAATAAAGTATGTCGTGTCATTGTATTTCCTCATCCTCTCAAGTTTCCAACTCTACTGATGCTTACTCTTTTCACAAACTTTATTTGGTGACTTACTAACAGTTGTAGAAAAGGTTGGCATAGAGATGATGTAGAATTTGAAAGTGACCTGATGCAAACCTGAAGTCTCTGCATATAATAAAGTCAAAAACTTTTTGAAAATCAACACGAGGGATTTGGATTTCTTGCTACTACTATTAACAAATACTATCAAATTTGAAATTCAAAAACTACTAGATTTTGATTGACTCGTACGTGGTAAGATGGGAAAGATTCAGACTTCCTTTTATTTACCCCATATTTTTTATTATTTGAAATAAAGTCTTTTTTTTGGTGGGGGGGGGGGGTAGACAAATCTTTGAATATTTCTCCTTTAAACAATCAAACAATGTTTAAGACAATTAAAATTTGATCTATAATTCTATGTACTTTAAAATCATTGTGAAAGAACAAACATAGCATATTATGATCAAGTCTTTCTAGGAAAGAACTTTACTAATTACCTAAGGTTCATTTATAAAAGATAATTTTCAGATTCTTTTAATAACTTTTATTCATTACCTAAACGCTAAGAAACTCAAAAAAAAAAGGAAAAAAAAAAAGAATGAACTTTTGTAAAGAAAATTTTACAGCTTATGATTAAGCTTTCTGGTTAAAAATTAGAGCTTTCAAATTAGGCGAAAATGCCAAAGTGGTAATAGTAACTAGTAACTTTTTACAGTAAAAAATGTAGGGAAGAACCAAAGCGTGGTCCAAAATTGGAAAATGGTGCAAAGCGGGAAATATGCGTCGAAAATAAAGAAAGTAGGAAAATTGCCACTGCCACCTACCTCCCTCTCTTCACGTCTTGGTACTGTCTTCAATGCCTTGATCTCTCCTCTCTCTCATTCCCTATAAAAATTATGCCGTTTTTCTCTCTTTGATCTCAAATGTGGCAGCTTCTCTTAGGCGCAGCTGTTGCTGGATCCACCAGATTCCTTACTAAACACCTCTTTCACGCCAACCCCAAGAACCCCATTTCTCCAAATACCCCAAATTCCAATCTTGATCAAGAAAAACAAGATCCTCATCTCCAAAATGGGTTTTTAGAATCTCGGTGTGACAGCAATTGGGAAGAAAAACAGAGGCAAGATGGGATCTTTAGATTTTCCAGTCCTGAGTCTGCTGGAAAAACTGGGGTTAAAGCCAAGGTTAGGAACTTGAGGAAAAATGTCGTCTTGAAGAAGGCTGGGAAAAGATCAAGTGGTGGTGGTGGTGGTGGTGTAGAGGTGAATAGGAGGAAGTTTGCTGTTTGTTTGAAGAAGAGGAAAACTGCAAAGAATGTAGCTTATAAGTGTGGATCATTCCCTTCTAAAGGTACTGTTCCTGTTTGTATTATGATCTTTTTCATTTTGCTTTGCTGAGAAAATGCTCAAGTTGTGTTTGGTCATTTTTTTTTTGGGTCAATTAGGCCTCAAAAAGTTGGAATTTTAACATAACTTGATGTTGTTAACTGAGTTCAATATTTACCAAACTATGTCACTAAAAGCTAGAATAGAGTTGTCGTTCCTTCTACAAATGCCATCATTTGTGCATTCTTTGAAATTTACTTCCACGAGTTGTAGATAGTTGAGGATATGAGTATGCTCTGGATTGTTAATGGAATTGTTTTTCTGGTCAAATTATCATTTTAGATGAATTATATATCTTTAAGCAGATTTTGTCATCTAACGTCTAAGTGATAGAAAACAGGATAGTTTTCACTGCGATCTTCTTAAGTTCTTGTAAATACTAGAGATGGAACAATGAAAGACAATAATATGTTTATATATTATCAAGCAAAAATATAAACCTTTTGTGGCATAAATAACTTGCCGACATCCTTCTGGAACCGATCACTTTCTCACTATCACTTCATTCTCTTGGTGGGGTTAAAAGAGGATGCTGGTGGGGTGAGCTTGCGTGTGTTTGATTAAAAAATAATTCTTGTGGTAAAGAAATTTTTGACTTGATAATTGATATAATAGAAAGTGATGAGCAGAGGTTTTTTTTTTTAATAATGATTGTGTACAGTGCCATGTCTCTTTGTCAAGATATGCTGAGGCATTTCCATTACATTTTATGTGTACTGGCTTTATATGAAAATTTTTTTCATTGCAAGAAGGATTGTAAATTAATCCTATTAAAATGATATGCTTTGGTCTCAAACAGCTTGTCACAGTGAACTGCTATTTCACCCTGTAAGAAAGCATGTATCTTCCTAAAAGGTACTACTGTAGCACATCAAACTATCAACAGGAAACCTTCAGTTACATATCAAGTATCAACAGCTCACTGGTAGTTTGGAAAAATTTTTAGTGCCTCTGATAATTCTGAAGGTGCTAACACAACGGATATTTTTCACTATTTTATCAATATTTCGTTAGCCAAAAAAAATAGCTTCAAAATTCGGATTGTCTTTCTGATATTGTACATCTTCGTTGGCTTTGTTAGTTTGCATTGCATAGTTTAGTTGTCCTTTTTAGGGTTTGTGCTTTAAACATGTTTAGAGCTCTGATTTTGACATCTCGATTTATTTTGCATTTTACTCCTTAGATAGCTCTGTATTTCATTGGGGACTTGGCTTTGGTATCATGTACATGATGTCAATTGGGAAGGCTGAGATCAATAAACTGAACTCAGCCATGGATGAGACTGCAAAAGTGGTTCAGGCGTTAAAAACTGAGCTATGTAAAAGAAAATCATCTTGCAATCTGCAAGCTTCAAATTCTGCAAATGAAGTTGCTACAAGTTCAAAAAAATTTAGTGGCAAGGATATGCAGTTACTGCTTGATAAGTCAGGTAAAGGGCACAGAGGCCATTATGAGATCAAAGTATGCAGACTCCCGGTAATTGATGATGGTGAATATGCCAGTAGTGTTCTTACTGAAGAGCCAGAACCAGAGCCAGAGGTGGTGGAAATGGATGAACTAGAGGCAGAGCTTGAGTCAGAACTGCAAAAATTGAGTGAGGTGAACTGTTTCAAGTAGCTTTATATCCTTTATTTAAGTTACTTACCAGTTAAAGGTGCTTCCTTTTGACCAGTTTATGCCATATCTCCACCTTTACTAAATATTTAGGAAGAGCGTATTCAAATTTAGCTTTTGAATAAAGGGATATTTTCGTCTTTAGATACAACATTTCTCTTTTTGACACAATTGAATTTATCACACCTAAAAAGACTTTTCAGACCTCTTTAAGAGATGATTCTTTTTAATGAACAGCCATAGCTGACCACATTTACGCATTAACTGTTTTACTCTATTAGTGTTCAAGTTATAAAATGCATGTGAAATCAGTAAGTAGCTTTCCTTGATGAAAGGAATATCTTTATGGATATCAGGCTCATAGCTTGATTGCTTGATTCTAATGCTAGCTAATAGTTTATATCTGACAAGTACTGAGACAGATGTAATCAATTTCAAAAGTGAATTGTGCTAAGGGGCTAAGGGTGCAGGCAGCAACCTTCATAAGCAAGGGTATTTTGGGTATACTATCAAATACGAATAGGAACTTCTGAATTCTAGTATTAGGCCATACTAGGAGGAACTGAAACATATGTAACCAGACTGTTTATTAGATAAGCAGTATCTAGTATGCAATTAGTACTTGGAGAAATTTGATAACTGTGGCCACCGGCCAGACCTTGAAGAGATAATATGCCAATTTGTGAGGTTAGAGTACAGAAGTATAGTACCTGATGCATGAGTAAAATTGCATCTGAATCATGGAAAACATGTAAATACATTTGCAATGTGTGCTTTTTCCCGCTTTGAGTTCTAACAACTCTGCATCTTCTTGGAATCACAAAATTTTTGCCATTGACCTAAGAAATCTTTTGCAGACTGAGGTTTCAGCCAAAAGTTTGCATGAGTCAGTGGGGCAGAGGTTTGATTCATACCAGTGCCAAGGAGTATTGCCATCTGAACTAGATCAAAAGCTGTGCCATTTGCTAATCGAGCAGCAGGAAAACCAAATTGAGGAGCTAGAATCTGAATTGCATTTGGTTCAAAACAAACTAAGTGAGAAGGAAGCTGAACTCCAAGCACTAAAGGATTGTGTTAGACGCCTGACTAACTTCTCTCTGTCAACAGTCTCAGGTAAGACTTCTTCTACCATCTGAGCTGTGTCTTAAGAAACCAATTACATGTACTGCTTTATTGTTTTCACCAGAATTCTAGGGCTACCACTAACTATATTATGCTCATTCTTAATTATGCTAAATACTTTAGAGCCTTTCTTTAATACCAATGTAATATTCTCAGATGATGACACTGAGGTCCAAGGGAAGCAAGAATGTATGAACGATCAGGATTGCCCTAGTGGATCTGAGACAAGGAAATCATTGATAGGTTTGAAAAGACCCGTTGAGTCCTGAGTGCAACTGATATGCCAGCATGATTACAATATTTTCCATGGGCAAGACCTAGAAGGTAATTCATAAGCAATCATCAGATGCCATCTGAAAATAATACCAATTGAGTAGATCACACCATTCTAAAATCTAGCTTGCTTTTCCCCGTGTATCTCCTGGACCCTCTTCAATTATAATACTACAGTATCAAAAACCGAGAAATGGTAGTCTGTTTATTGCATTCTGCCTGTCTGATTATTTTATTAGAATATGTTTTATATTTTTTATGCCTAGTGTCTGGAGCTGAACTCTCTTCACCAAGTAATTCCTAATTTGACTTGCATAGTTTGCCTGCTTCTTGATCAAGCTCTTTCTTGAGTGCCAGAGAGGAACCTGAAATCATAGTTGATTTTTTGTTTTCTTGTTGGGAGATAAAATTACTAATATGTCCATTTGCATTCATAAATTATGAATCACTCCTTTCACAAACTTTAAGGTTGATTTGAATGCACTAAAGGGTAATGTTGGAAGCGAGCAATTGTAGACAGATTGGTGGTGGTTGCTTGTGCAGAGGCAGATAAAAGATTGGTGGAGCCATCAGCCGTGGTGGGGTGTGGAAAAATTGCCTTTCCCATCTCATGTGCTTTCTTTTTTTGACTTTTAATGATAGAACCACTTCATGATATTAGGCGCCATTCAAGGGTAGACAAAGAAGAACACTTAAGGCCGACTGTTTACATATACAATTTCCCATGATTTCCAAGAGCTTTCGAAGGAAGACATGTAGATCCTTGATATATCTATAAAGGACAATGATTGTTCACTTTAATCTCTCTTTTGGTCATAAGAACTTTCAATGCATTGGATTTCTTCATCAATGATATTTTTATGGTTAAGAATAGAAGGACAAAGAGTAGAAAATGTAAAGACCAAGTTTCATTGTAAAAAGCATCTTTAGCGAATACCTTAGATAAAGTCAAGCAGCAAATGCAAGAGCTAGCTAGAGGCTAGAGCTACACGAACCGAAGAATGACCCAATCAATTTGACTGTCTAACTGAAGAAAGCTCTTCCAAAAGTAAGTAGAATCTCTCATATTTAACTCATCAGTGTCAGAAATCTGATGTTTTTGATTGAAAGATAGGCCGTCAAGTTAGTACCAGCGATCTGAAAAAAACAGCTGAGCATTGATTTAACCATTATTATTATTTTGTATTGTTGCTGTACAGGTTACAGAAGAAGATACACTTCTTTTTTTTTTCTTTTTCTTGGCAGCTACTATTCATTTTGATAGATGAAGGAATCTCAAACTCCAAACGGTAATTTTCTGAGAGGAAGTGAGAAATCAAGATGTAGCAGACGATTGAATAACTACATGATACATTAGCACTAAATTCTTTTGTAAAGCTTTAAACAAAGTGTAAATTACTCCAGGGTTGGGTTGGTTCCAGCTTCCAATTCCTTTTTTCTATCATTTCTCTCTGAAAAAAGCAGTGGATTAAACGAAAGAATCAGCTTGTTCGGTAATGATGTTTCCCTTAAAAAAGATGTATCAATCACCATCCAATGATGAATGCTTTGTGTGACTGAGTGGACAACACCTTCCCCTTATCCCCCCAACCATTTTTCAAACAAGAGCTAGATGTTACCACATGAACCAAGATCCAACGGTTATCGCTGCACCTTGGATGAATCCGTTCATTATGTTACAGGTTTTTTCCTTAGTAAAATAATAGCTGACCACGAAGGCATGGCCGAGTCAAGCCAAACAGAACCCGACAACAACCTTAAAAAAAATCACCTTTATAACGTTTAAGTCAAATTACATAAAAATTTTTTATACTTTACGAAATTTTAAAATTTAATTTTTATAATATAATTCATATAAATTTAATTTTATATTATTTTAATTTGAAAATTTTAATTTAATAACTAATTTAGCTAAATTTTTATTTTTAAAAATATTGATGTGATATTAATTTGCTAATTTGGCAATTTGAGTAAATAAAATTAGTTGTTAAATTATATAAATGATTTTTGTATTCGTACAAAATTTAAAATTTAATATCTATTTATGCAAAATTTGAAATTTAGTTAATCTAATATAAAAAATTATTTTGAAATTTTTAGAAAATTTTTTAAAAATAATAAAATTTAAAAATATTTTAATCCTTCTTGTATAAAAGATATTTTTAAAAATATTTTATTTTTATTATAAATAATTAATTTTTAATAATATCATATTAATAATATTATTATCATATATATTAATCAATTATAATATTAATAATTTAAATTAATATAACAAAATTAATATTATTTTAACTAGTTTAAATATATTATATAATAAAATTTATAATAAATCAAACTATTGAATAAAGTTACATTTGTAATGGACCAAAAATATACTTTTATGAATGACTATTCCATTAACAAAATAAGAGATTCAAACATATATTTTTATGTGAGGCAAATTCTTATTCATTTAAAGGACAAATTTGAAATCCGAACAAAACAAAATAAGGAAATGATTTACTTGATAAACCAAAACATCAATATCATGTATCATAATAAATTTTTTTTTTTGAGTTTTCACAAAAAAAATTTATCTAAATAGTTATGTTAAATTAAATAATAAAATTAATTCTAAAACTAATACATATTAAATTTAGTAAATTACTTTAATATATTTAGAATCTTGAATCTAGATTGATTATAAAAAATCATTTAAATAGGATTTAATTTAAAAGAATAAAAATATTGTTTAATGGATAATTTTACCTATGTGAGAGAGAATTATAACTCTAATTCATTTAATAAAATAATAAAAAAATGATAGTTTTATTAAAATTATATATTAACAATTTTGTATCATATATTGAAAAATTTATGATAGATTTTAATAGATTTGTGTAAATTTTATTTCATATGACCATAATATATTATAATTATGACAAAAAAATGGTAAAATTAGAACATATATTATATTTTGTAATAGAATATAAGTAAAATTTGTGACAAAATATTGTGATAGATTTTTTAATATTATAACAAAATATTGTGATAATTTTTAAAATTTAATATTTAAAAAAAAATTTAAAATATTTTTTGTATTAAAGAAACTAAATGTCAAATTTTGTATGAGTATAGGAACAAAATTTTAAAATTTTATATAAGTATAGAGATTAAATTTTAAATATTATGATACTACAGAGAGTAAATTTTAAATTTTATATAAGTAAAAATATTAAATTTTAAATTTTATATAAATACATGGATTATTTGCATAATTTTATACTTGATTTCATCTATCTTAATTATCATATCAGTAAATCAATATCATATTAACAATCAACAAAGACAATGCTCAAATTATTAAGTCAACGGTCATGTTAGCATTTTTAATGACCAAAAATTAAAAGAGTTAGTGATTGATATAAAATTATCTAATCAAAATAATACAAAAATTAAATTTGTATGAACTAGGGACTAAGTTTAAATTTTATAAAATTCAGAGATCTCCTACAAAATTTGACCTAAATTTGAATGATTCACCCATCCGTGCAGATATATTTTAAAAAATCTGTAAAAAGCAAAAACCAAAACAAGACAAAGGAAAAGTTGAGAGAAAAACAAAGAGGAAGGTGTGAACACTGAGCACTACATCTTCAGTTTCTTACCAGAAGCAAAGACAGCCATCCCTGAGTCTCCACACGCAAAATCCACATGTTTTTATAGAAAGACAAATAACCAAAATACAAATCCTTTCCATCTCCAAACTCAAAAGCTTCATACACACACACACAAAAAACATACAAAGAACTCGTGTAGATAGAGAATCTACAAAAAAGAAGAAGAAAGAAAGCAGAAATCTTTGCAATCTTCAAAGAGAAAGGAAAGTTTTTTTTTTCTTTTTTTGTGAAAATGAAGCTATCATCAAAATCCATATCGAGTCCGGGTCGGGCTGAGAAGTATCCGCCACCATTGATGCGGTTTTTGAGAAGCAATGTTGGGAGCAGAAGCAGGGGAAGGTCACGTACAAGCCCAATGTTTGTTAGAAGAAAGAACACCGCCATTGAAACCCAAGAGCCTTCTTCGCCAAAAGTCACTTGCATGGGTCAGGTTCGTGTCAAACGCTCCAAACAAAGTGGTTCAAAACCCGGTCGATCCGGAGCCCTGAGCCGTCGCCATAGCCGCTGTAAATGGATGAGAAATGCTCTGTTTTGTCATCATTTATCTGAGAAAGTCAAGGCCAAGCCTTTTTGTAGACCTGCTTGGAAGAAATGGGGTTGGTTTTTCCATATGGGGTCTTGTAGTAGAAAACCCAAAACTAGAGAAGATTCATCGAGATTTGGGAACAAAATCGAAGATTGTGTGAAGGAAAATGAGGAAGAAGAAAGTGAAGAAAATGAAAAGGATTCTAAGATTTTTGTATCTTCTTCCTGTTCATCACCACCCAAAAATGCTTTGATTTTAACACGTTGTCGATCTGCTCCGTATAGATCTTCTTCTTTAGCTTGTAGATTTTGGGGTTCACCTTTAGCTAACCAAGACTCAAAAGAAAAGGAAACAGAGCTAGAAAACGGAGGATTTAAAGAAGAAAAAGAGAATCCCACATCAGAAAAGCAGTCCATTTGTAGAAATTCGGATTACGTATCCCAAACGGATTCAGAAACTGAAGAAAAGCCGGGTTGTTGCAAGGAATTTGAAGAGAAAATCATAGAAAAATTCGAAAACAATGACGAGTTGAAAACGGGGCAATTTGGGAATGTACGGCCTCTAATTCTCACTAGATGTAAATCAGAACCGGCAAGAACAGCTGAAAGACTAGATCCTGAGATGAGTTTCCGGAAGAAGGGAAGGTTGGGTTTCACGTGATTCATTTAATTTCTATCTTTCTTTCTTTTTTTTAAACTAATTTTCTGAATATTTTTGGTTATTTTAGGAAGAAGCTGTAATTTATTTTCACTTGAATGACTTCGTTATATCAACATCTAGAGCTGTAAGAGAGAATCTCTATGGCTCTTAAAAGTACACTGGAAAATGAAATCAATGGTAAATTTTGTTTGTGTTTTAAAATTTTTCTTCTGAAACATCGTCATGGGCTGCTGTCTTTAGAGGTGTTGGCAAATTTTTTTTTTCTCTTTTGAAAGGAAAAAAGTGTTATCTGCTTTTGGTTCCAGGCACAGATAGGGCCTTTCTGAGGGGGTTTTATGGTTCTTTGATTAGTTTCATGGATCTTTGGATACCATAACCAGATTTTATATTTGGTCGAAAGTTTATGCAGTTTTATGGACCTGCAATTTAATTTTCATTATTTTAATGTTTATTCTCTTTAATTAAACAACGAGTTTTTTGTTAATAGCAAGAAAAAACAGAAATGATTGGTTTTAAAATTTTGCAAATGATTATTAAATTGAATGTCTCAGTCATTTTAATTAAATATGGAAAATTTAAATATGACGTTGATAATGCGTAAAAATTGTATAAAAAATAAAAAATTAATAAATTTTTAATAAAAGTTTTATATAAATTTAATAAAAATATAAAAATATATTTTATATTTCGTATGTTTTACGTCAATTATGATATAATAATTTTTATTTTTATATAATTTTTATATAAAATAAATAAACATAAATACATGACATTCTAATGTTTAGTTAAGGTGTTTTATATTGATTATCCTGCTAAGATCTGTTACTTTGATTGGAAAGCTTAGTCAAATGATTATTATCATGTTTATTTGTGAGAAAGCCACATGGCAATTGACAAGTTGATAAGCATGCCGATATAAGGAAAACGGGATCATACGTTCTTTTCAGATTGGATGAGACACTGTAGGATGGCAATTTTCACTTTCTTAAAAGAAAAAGATCTGTTTGTTTGTATCTTATCTGGAAAAGATTGCGTTGAGATCGCATTGAATTCTGATTTGAAGCCTGGGTTTGGCCATATGTAACACTACACAACATGCCGTTTAAACAAAAAGAAATGGAGAGCCAAAACCCTGGAATCTGAATCCCTCTTTTGCCATTTATTTCATGTTGTCCCATCTATGGCTTTCAAGGGCCTATAAATTTGCTGTTATTTTATTCTTCTTCAGTGCCTGAGCTGAGAATAAATTCTTTGCTGTAGTGTTTCAGCCCAGCTTTATAGGCTATAGCTCGAACTTCCCGTGCTAAAAGTAATGGTAATAGAACTTCATCAATCCAAGGAAAAGCTTTATACTTGAAATTTTCAATGGAAGCCTCACAAGAACACCAGCATCCTTAGTTTTGTGCATATTTATGTATATTGAGATTATGCCAAATATCAGGCTATCAGGAAAATTATTGGCCCAAATTCCTGACTCGCGGTTGGTGTCTGAATCTGATTCATCTGATTTTGAACACCTTTGCAACCAACAAATGCAGAGTTCAGAATCAAATTATGATCCAACATTCCAGTATCTTGCCCTAAGATTTTGTTTGGTACCTAAGGTCAACCACTAGATTAAAAAAAGCTCAAACTAGAGTCCAGCTCCAGCAATTGTTTTCCTGTTTATGTATATGTAGAGCAGAAACCTTGTCTTTGGATTCATTTTTAATGCTGAAATAAACACCAAAAGGCATTGGGAAAAGCATCAGCATTCAAAACCTTTGGTTCACAGAAAAACAGCAGCTTTTTGTGAGTTAGCAGATGGAGTTCAAGGTTATGGGTGATGCTGAGTTCAAACCAAGTCCAAAAGGATGAGTGGATACAAATCAATCAATTCAATGGACTGCCATGGCTCTGAATCACTTTCTTTTTTTTTTCAAGCTGCGATGAGCTTGACCATAGCCCAATTATGAAATCTTTTGCAACTAATGTACTAATCAATTTCCCAAAACTTATGAATTATGTTTCCTGCTTCTGAACACTGATCTGGAAATAAACTATCAGGGGAGGAAAACAAAAACAATATAATAAGTTTGTAAGAAGATATAAAATGTCAGATGTAGATTTTCCAAGACAGGTTGAGATGAAGGATTTAGGTTGCTGTCTCCAGGACTGGCATCAGGAATTGGGATCCAACAACTTTGAACCCTGCAGGTAATTACATTCCCATCCAGCCATGGCATAGCTGTTTGACATTGGACCCAACTAGATTACCAGACACACATTCAAGGAAATCATATGGGCACTAATCTTCAAAAGACGACAAACAGGGACCATTGACAAGCATTCACTCTTTCTATTTGAACTTTTGACTTTCAAATTCAAAAAGTTCAATTATCTCATCAACCAGATTTTCATTTTCAAAATTAGTTGGATAAAATGGGTTTATTCTAAATAAATTAATAAAACACTGATTACTTTTTTATGCAGTATAATTTTGCATTATTTGAAGAATATGAGAGTTAAGTACTTGGCTTTTTGTGCTTGTTTTGTTGACTAAAATGGATATAGTACCAGGACATGTTGCCTCAGCAGTCAAGCACCTTATCCTTGCTTGATTGTCAGCTTGCCTTAAAGTAAATGCCACCTATATAAATTCCTTGAGATATTATTTAACATATTTTTAGGACAAAAAAAGCTTAAATATAAAAAAATGTAAAAAAAAAATTACCTTCTCTTTTGTAAGGAAATATGTAAAAAATCTTAAATAATTAAAATTTTCTTAAAAAAAAAAAAACTTACAAATGAAAATATATCCGAACATTTAGTTTTAGCTATAAATGCATAATACGAATTTCCCTTTTCTGAAATTAAAAAATAAAATAAAATTAGTACAAGTCAAAGCCTTTAAAATCACATATATTAATCCAAATTTCCTAACATCTTACCTCAATTGACCATTACAAAATAGTAGGTAAATGACAACTTTTTCTTTAGTTCCTGTGCTATTCTTCAAGGCGATCTTGAAGACATTCCCTCAAAGGACAGTGCTATTCTTTGTCTTCTTACGTCTTTCCCTTTTCCATGAAATTTTAAAACTTCCTTTCCCAATTTGTTAAAACGACAAAGGATCTAAACATTCAATTCAACGAGATATGATCATCGACTATTTTTCTGAGGCTAAGGGAATTAGTGGGTTCTTTATCTCCAACAGCTCCCCCTTCAATAATTACTTTGTTTTTCCCCACAAGCAAAACACATCACACCATGGATTAATGTCAGCATTGCCATGCCCCAATTTTTACAAGAAAAAATCTAACCAAAACCCCACCAATCTTTTTGTTGTTAGACTAAATTTGAAGTATGTACTTGAAATCTCCAAATTTAAAAACTTAATGCTATTTTTATTTTTATTTTGAGTTCAAAACCTATAGTGAATAAAATGATCAAGAATATAGAGTTTTGGGTAACATAATATTAATTATCTATTGTTCTTATAATATAAAATTTATATATCGATAATTTATTACATATAAATGAATCAAAATTAGAGTATAAGCAAGGAAACAAAACAGAAAGAGAAGGTGTGAAGAATGTGAAATCCAACCAAGTAGAGTTCAATGGCATGGCATGTCCCTCATTAAGACATTTCAATAATACACACATGGAGCTGTCCCATGTCTCAATAAATAAAATTAAAAAAAAAACTAAACTAAATAAAAAAGGACTGATGATATATAAGTACAATTAAAGAAATTAAGAATGAAAAAGTAACCAAAATCTTAAAAAAAAAAAACAAAAAAGAATAAAAGAATTAGCTAGGTGTGTGGTCTCTAGTTATGCTTCATAAATGTTCCAACCCAACACATCTACATCTTTGCTTCTCAACTTATTGCTGTGTGGATGGCAACAGGTTCAATGCCTAATTTCTTTCTTTTTTCCTCAACTGCTTTTGGTCCTTGCTTGTTTCGTGAACCAACCCATGACTTAAATTCTCCCGGACCCCTATCTTCCCTTTATAAATGACCCTCTGTCTCTTATTAGACATATATCTTCTCAAATATACTTGTCACTATAATTCATCATCTAACTTTAGCTACCAGTTTCCATGGAACTAATTATCATCAAGTTTAGACCTATCCCCAGTATTTTGCTGCTGCTTCTCCTACTTTCCATACCTTACTTTTCAACAGGTTTGTAAACTTTTGCTGCATTTAGATTCTCGGTGGAAACAGCCTCAAAATGATATGATGATATAGTTGAGAATCCTTTCTCACCGACAATGAAGCATTTGTTTCTTAAATTTGTTCTTTTTTTGGAAGTTTCAATTAATTTGATGCTGGTTTTTCTAGGAAGCCTGGATGTTTCGGATGAGGTGTATGAGATAGATTATAGAGGTCCGGAGACACACTCTTCAATCCCTCCGCCGGATCATTCTCATGGCCACAGGCATTGGATTCACCGGGAAACCGATTTGCCAACCTCCAAAACTTCCAAGGGCTTAAGGGGTGGTAACAACAAAGGAAGAAATGTAAGTTACTTTCCATTGTTGATTATTAATGAAACTTAGATGCTTTAAAAGATAAGCAAATTTATTTGTTTTTGTTATCGTTTTGCAGGTCAAGAAAATTCATGGGTGAATTAAAGAAGGTTGTGAACCCCTCTTTTAGAATGGTTAAATTTTTGCTAAATTTTACTGCAGTTTATAGCTATTAGTTAGTTTCTTTTCTTCTAGATATGAAGATCGTATGTAAACTTGAGAGATGTTAATTTTGAATGGCAGTCTAATTCTGTCTTTAAAATTGTATCATCAACCTTAATTTGTAAATTTGGATATATGGTGTGATTTTGTATCTGGATATATCATATATATGTCTGTTCAGTTTGAGTAAATGTAATTATTGATAATTAATTGATATATTTCTATCTCTCTAAGCTTCGAATTCTTGCAATTTTTTTTTTCTTTTGTCACAAATCAAGGGAAATACCAATCTCATTAATTTCATCAGCTATATCAATATCTGAGTTGTAAGATCTAATTACTTAAGGGAATGGATGCTCTAATTTTAGCTAGAAGTAGACCTCCCCCCCCCCCCAAAAAAAAAAAAACTCTTGTATTCAATCATATATTAGTCAAATGAATTTTTTTTATTGGTATGGTAGGTTATGATGAAGGTTTGAATTCAAAATTCTTGATATTAAAGTCGATTCGGTACTATTGAACTAACAACATTGAAGTTGTTCTTTTATATCAATCAAATGATTGTATATATTTACACACAAATTAAATCAATATGTTTAAAAAGGGTATTAAATAAAATTATAATACAAGTGATTTAAAATTTATTAAATCATTGAAAAGAAAGAAGAATTTATGTCAAAGTCTTCATAATTGCAAACTAGTTAAATTAAGAATTAATTAAACTTGGCTTAATTGTAACGCACTGAATATAAATTTATCACTAACCATAGTTTATAAAAAAAGGAAAGAAAAAAAAAAGTGTATGGGTCCCCTTATATTATAATATATTATCAGCTTTCCCTTACAATTAATGGACAATTCATCAATGGTCTTTGCACAATGTGGCTACCATAAATATAAGCAAGATTTATTGTGCATGAATGTAACATATATCTAAATTTTTGGGTCATAAGAGAAGCCAAATTAAGGACTCGGGCCAGATTATGCATGCCCTCCAAATTAATGCCATTCTCTTTTTTTTTTTTTTGGCCAAAAAATTAATTTCATTCTCAATACATCCAATATTGCACTTTTATTTTACAACTTAATTTACTTTAAGCCAACAAAAATATCTTATTCAAAACTTATCTAAAACATTTTCATAGTAGTCCAACCAATAAAGGGCGGATCTATATGCGGTTAGTGGGAGCCTTAGCCTCCGTTGTGCTAACAAAATTTCTGAGATAATTTGTTTATGAATCCCAAAGCACAAAACATTTAATTAAGAAAATAAAAAGTTATTTACTTGTTAGTTTAGTTTTAACACACATTTATCGTTTCTTTCTTCCATTTTTTTTTCGTTCATTGTTCTTTCACTCATTCGATCAAAACCAGCAATAGACAACAATCCGACGCTATGCATTCTTGAAAGAGTATTCAAACTGAGTTTCTCTTGCTTACAAATTTTATCTCATTTTCTAACTTTGTAGACTTAAACATTATTTCTAAGTTTATGGAGGAATTTTTCTTCTTAATTCATAGTAGTTGGATATATTGAAAAAGATACATTTAAAAATATAGATAACGAAATTATTATAATATGTGTTTAAAATATGAAATTGCATTAAGGATAATTTAAAATTTTTAACAATTATAAAGAGATATGTAGGTTTCAGTTTTATTATTATTATTATTATTATTTAGTATATTTAATTTAAGTCTCTTAAATAAAATTTTTTATTCCACACTAATAGTAACATAGTATAATTGTATAAGTCAAAGTGCGTTTATATATATTTATTGAAATTAATTATTAAAAAAATGAGTAAAATTTTTTTAATTTTACATTGTGTAAGTTGATTTTATATATGTATAATTATATAATATAAGTTGATCCTTTCTCATATATATATATATATATATATATATATAGTAAAGATTCATTTATATTAGTGTAAATGTTACACACTTAACCATTTTGATTTAATAGTAAAAAAATATGTAACATTTATACTAATATAAGTGGATTCCTTTTATATATATCTCATAAAAATTAATATTTAAAAAATGCATGCAAAGGTTTTCTTAAAAAAATTTAACAATTATTCCCTATCTTTAATGAATATCAATAATTATATATTAAAATAATCCTCAAGGAAGTTATTATGATGCTTTTTTGTTTATTTGATAAGAAACCGACAAATATCTAAATTTATTATAATGTTACAACAATCATGAGAATTCCACTCTTTTTATAACTAGTAAAAATTATTGTAATAGCTTTTTATTATAATTACGAAAATATTTTTTTTATCATAATTGATCAAAATTATTATAATACTCCTTCTAATATAATTATGAAAATACGTCTCATATTATAGTTAGTCAAAATTACTATAATGCTCATCTTACCAAAATTACTATAATATATTTACGAGTAAGTCAAAGGAAGTTAACATGTGGTATTTTATTTTAAAATTATTATAATGTTTTTATCAAGTTAAGTATTAAATTTTAACATAATATAAAATTAATTATATATTAAATTTCTAAAATATCATTGTCATTACTTAATAAAATTTTCAAAAGTTACCTATTTGAAATTTACTATAAGGCCTTATTAAATTACATATGAAATTTTAATATAATGTAAAATTAATTACATATTAAATTATTGAAATACTCTTGTCATTAATTCATAAAATTTAACATATGATATTTTATTTAAAATTTATTATAATATTTCTATTAAATTATATATTAAATTTACAATAACATTACGAAGTGGAATGCAATTTTTACCCTATCTGAAAGTCTCGGCTCTCGATGCTCACTTATGTCTTTTTGACTCAACATTGGCACGAGACTAAGAGTATAAATGATATATTAGTACTTGTAAGCTACTCGGATTCAACTCGATTAAAACTCGAATTCAATTCGATAATTATTGAGCCAAGCTCGAGCTCGAGTAGCTCAACTTATCAAACAAGCCGAATTCGAGCATATTAATATCCGACTCGAATAGCTCGCAAGCTTAATCAAGCTTTTTTATTATTTTATTTATAAAATTACTTTTTTACCTTTAACTTAAAAAAATCCTAAATTTTTTTTTTCTTTTTTCCCTTTTTTCTTTTACTTTTTTTCCTCGTCTTTTTCATCTCACCAAAAAATCCTTGCGACACCTTTTTCTCTCGAGTCCCATTCTCTTCCAATATTTCAAAGCTAGCTTAGACCAAAGTCAACTCAAATTCAAGACAAATCAAAGTTGGAGCAGGCTGTTGCGTGTTGCCTTTATATTTTTGTGTGCTGCCTTTCGTGTGTCTAATTTGTCCTATAGTTACAGAGTTATCTTGTGCTGCCTTTTTGTTTATCAAAACATTCTTTTAGAGCCTTCCCAAATATCTTCATGAAAATTTTGGATCACGGGTAGTTTGGATTACACATAAAATTTAGGACTATCCTAAGCTTGGTCCATGATGATCTATGAGTAGACCAGACTATTGCACACCCATAATCTGCACACTCTCCACTTGCACCATTCCAGCCTTAAGTCACAACCATCAAAACCCACTAGCCACTCCTTATGCCTTTGAGTGCCATCCAAATGAAGGACCTTTATAGCAACAGGTTGAGCTTTTAGGCCAGGCCTGAGATTGTCATCAATGAATCCCTTGTATACAGGTCCAAACCCACCCTTATCAAGAAAATTACTCTTGGAGAACTTGTGTGTTATCATTTCTAGCTCATTGAGGGTAAAGATATGAATGCTTATAAGATAATTTGAGCGATTCCTCAATGAAAGTGAAGAGCCAGAGTGGCTAATATAAGAGAGTGATAGCCTTTGGTTAGGACTTTGTTTGGTAGCATGAACTTTAGGACCTGGAGATGGGTACTTGGGTTTGATGTAGTTGGGAATGATATTTTTCCATGACAAATACTTTTTGAGGGCCATTTTTTATTAAACATTTTTATGTTAGGCTTCTAATTCATATTCAAAGGTGGTTTAAATAAGAATGAGCAGAAGCAAAAAGTATAAGAATATCTAATTGGATTAAAAAACTAATAAAAAAAATAAGTCTATGTCCTGACTATAGCTCATAGATAGTGAATTAATGATCTTTCAATCCAATTCTTTTTTGTTCTCCAACAAGCAAAATCTTATAACTTATGGGAAAGCGAAGTTGCATTTAAATAATAAATTTTGTAAACCAAAAGTCTCTTTATTACTAGCAAGAAAGTAATTGAATTTGGGCCACCTCAAGACTTGCACAATAAGCTTTATCAACACAAAAACTTTTGGATGGTTCATATTATTTTAAAAAAAAAGTCATTGGCTCTGTTTTTTTTAGTCATATTCATAATTTGAGCTTTGATATAGTTCATTGCTAGTTTCTTGGGGACTATTTGATGTGAACACTTTTCTTTTTTATGCATATTATATTTGTTAGAATATGACCTGACACGTATTTCTAATGGGATTGAGGTAAATGTTATATAAATACTAAATAGGCATGTATAGTTGTAAAAAATAATAAGAAATATTCATTTTAATTATCCTAGTAAAAAAATTCTCTCTTTTAAATTTTTTCTTGTCAAATCTTTGATATTCACCCTAAAATTTAGCTAAATTTAGGACTGACAAAATTAGTGAATAACGTTAATAGTTATTTCTTAGATAAAAAAAATCAAAGAATCTATTTAAATTTTAAAGTGTAAAATAAAAAATAGATTTTTAGGAGTTTGTGAAGTAAGTATAAATAAATTGATTTTAGAAATTCAAATTATTATCGAAGTAGGTAATCTTAAATTTATTAAAATTCCTACAATATTAGTATATTTTCCCAAAGAATAAAATTTCATACTTTTCTAATAATTTGTTCTCGCAACTTGTGTGGCATGTTTCTCGCAAAAGAATTTATCGCACATGTTTCTAACAACTTGTTTACATTATTGTTTGATCCCAAAATTGAATTATTATTTTGATTTATCTTTTTTTTTTTGTTATAGGGAACTAAACATGTCATCAACCACACCATATATCTTTTATGTACCAGTTCAGTCAATAATAAATTTTTTTGCTAGCCGAATTGTATCATATGATGGTAATGATTCAATGAATAAAACTTTAGATGCCACTGATGGTAACACAGATAAAACACCAGTCACTGATGCCAATGATATAGAATGTGATGATGCTGATCTTGAAGAGTGTGAATAAGGTAATGAGAAAAAGAGGCAAAAGACATCTATTGTTTGGTTGGAGTTCAAAGAAGTTACTTTTCTTGATGGTTCTAAAAAAAGAGAGTGTGTCCATTACAAGAAAAAGCTAGCAATAAATGTAAGTAAAAGTATAACTTAATTTAAGAGGCACTTGATAAGTTGTGTTAAACAAAAAAATTTTCAGAATCAATAACAAATGTTCAACTTTCAGCCAGTAGCACATGTGGTGATGTACAAATACTACCTGCTCTCACAAATGGCAAGTTTGATATAGCAAAGATGAGAAAGGTAGTTGCAAATTAGATACTTATGCACGAGCATCCTTTTTCAATTATAGAAGATAAAGGTTTTAACAGGATGCAAAAATATGGGATGCTTGAATGGGAAAAGATATCACGTAATACTATTAAAAAATATTGCATGCAAGTTTATGAAGCAAAAAAAAAAAAAATTAAAGGCATTGTTGAAGACTGTCAGCAAGATTAATTTGACAACAGATTTATGAAAATCAAGTAATCAAAAGATTGAGTACATGGTTCTTACAGCACACTTTATAAATTCTAATTGGAGATTGCAAAAGTGTGTTATTAGCTTTATTCACATACCTCTTCCTCATCATGGTGTTGAGATTGTCAATTGTATTTTTAAGCATTTAAAGAAATAGAGAATTAAAAACAAGGTGTTTACACTTTTTGTGGATAATGCTTCAAGCAATGATGTGACAATTAGAATTCTTAAAGATACTTTTCAAGAAATAAGAGGTTGCTTTGTGAAGAAAAGTTATTTCATATTCAGTGTTATGCGCACATCTTAAATCTCATGGTTCAAGATGACCTTTCTGAGATTAAGAATGTGATTGGTGATATTCATGAAATTATCAATTTTATTAATCAGAATTAGGCAAGACTTAAATTATTTTTTGATATAGTACAATAGTTACAGTTACTCGATAGAAAACTCATTCTTAATTGTAAAACACGTTAAAATTTAACATTCGAGATGTTGTCAACTACAATCAAATTCAAAAAAATGTTTTCAAGACTCAAAGAATAAAAATCTTATTATGAATATTGTCTAAGTCATGAAGATTGAGAAAATATGGAGAAAGTTTGTGAGATTTTTAAAGTTTTTAATTCAGCCACTAAAATTATCTCTGGAAGTGATTATCCAACTTCAAAACTATTTTTGAATGAAGTTTATCATATGAAAGTGTTGTTGGATAAAAGGATGAATGATGAAAATGAATTTGTTTAAGCAATGGTTCATAAGATGAAGAGTAAATTTGATAAGTATTTGAGAGAATGTAATTTGTTAATAGCTATAGTAGCTATCTTGGATCCAATGTGCAAAATAAGGGTGGTTGAGTTTTGCTTTCCTTGAATGTACCTTGATAGACAAGCAAAAGAAAATGTTGCTAGAGTTTGAGAGGCTTTTTATGAGATTTATGAGGAATATGCTTATGAGTATCAATTTAGCAATGAGCATAGTACTAAAACTCAAGTGCATGATAATGGTATTAATGGTATGAATATAAAAGCTTCTTCTTCTGGTTGGTCTGAATTTATAAATTATGTAAAATCAGTTGAAACTATTCAACCACAATAACCTGATCTAGATGTCTACTTAGTTAAGGGTTGCTTTATCTGTGAAGGAGATTCCACTAAGTTTGATGCTTTGAAATAGTGAAAAGCAAGCACTTTGACGTATTATATTTTATCCAAGATGGCTCGAGATATACTTGTTATTCCTATCACTACAGTAGCTTCAAAGGCTATCTTTAGTGTAGGAGGTATAGTTATTGATACTTATCATGCTTCTTTATCTCCTGACACAGTGCAAGTATTATTTTGTGAAAAAGATTGGTGTCGAAATCTTCATAGAGTGAAGAAGAAGAACAAAGTGAGTTTTTTTTTAATTATTTTTTATTGGGTGACTATCATTGCTTTAATCTAATTTTTAATTATTATTATTTTTTTACTTTATCTATATAGAAAGAGAAGAAATCAATTAAGATTGCACTCAAAATCCTTAAAATGAGGATATCTAATGTCTTCTATACATGTATGAAATATTATTATTAAATACTTTTAATTTGTCATAACATTATTAAAGAAAAATAGGTAGTAGCTAGTCTAGATTGAGCTTTTTGCATTATAGTTTATGAACCATAAGTTAACTAATGATAGAAACTCATGTTAAGGCAATTGACAAGACACTGTTTATATTTTTTTGCTCTGATTATAAGGCAATTGACAAGATAAAATCCATGTTGATGCTAATGTTAAAAATTTAAAGTTATTGATCATTGTAATAATATTACAATCTTTTTCTTACGTGGGTGGTTTTATTATTATTCTTATTGTTAATTATAATTTATTTGTTTTGTACTTATTCTTTTCTGTAGGTTTGTTGAAAAACAATATGAGCCCAATATTCATTTGAAGACATAATACTGTGAAGATAGCTTATGTATTGTTGTAACTTATATGTGCACTTATTTGCTTGGATATTTAATATCTTTCAATTAGGACTTTAATTTCTAAGTTTCATTACGTCTTATATTTGTGTGTTGTATTTGAATATTTGATGAACTTTTATTTGCTTGGATTTGGATGTTGTGTAAGTTATTATTATTATTATTGTTGTTGTTGTTGTTGCTATTATTATTGTTATTATCTTGAAAATATAATATCTATTAGGTTTAATAAAAAATAGTTATAAAAGATCTTGATCTCAAGCTTGAGCATAAATAATTGAGCTTTTTTCATATATAAAATTGAGCTTTTATATATATATATATTAATCGAGTTTAATCGAGTGAGCTCAAGTAGCTTGATTTCGATCACGAATTGAGTTCGAGCTAGAAAAATAAAATTCGATCGAGTTCGAGTTAAATATCGAGTCTCGAGTTATGAGTCGAGCTTTTTACTATATCGACTTAACTTGACTCGACTCAACTTGATTACACCCTTACAAAAAACATTTAAAGAAAAACGTTCTCTTACTCTAGTTGTAAGGACAAGTTGGTACTTAAATTCAACTTTAGGCTCAGTCTGTTTAGTAAAAAGTGACTTTTGAAAATTGATTTATACATTTTTCAAATATTTATTTGATAAAAAATGATGGATTAATGAAAAATTAATTATTAGTTAACGAAAATGAGATAATTTTTTTGGAAATTATTTTTTTTACAAGGGAAACATAATTTCCTAAAAAGAGCTATTCATGAGTGGAATTATTTATCAATATATTTAAATATAATTTTATTTAAGTACATATTTTTTTAAACTCAAACTTAATCGATCAAATTCAAAATATTATTATATTAAAAATAGTATTTTGATTTAATTTTACTTGAAAAATTAAAATATTAATATTAAAGGTCTTAATATTTTAATTTTAAATACTTTTATAATTCTATTCAAATAAGATTTTGTATATAATATTTTAAACTCGAATTTGATTTGATTCAATTTAAAATATTATTATATTAATAAAAATATTTTATTTAATTTAAATTTTAAATATTAACATTAAAAGTCTTTCAATTTTAAATATTTTTATTTTGTACATTATTAAACAATAAATATTTTTAATATTTCAAAATAAATTAGGTTATATTATTATTTAATATAAATAATAAAATAATCATAGATTTTTATTATTTTAATAACTAATGTTAAATAATATAATAATATTATTTTCATAATATGAATATTTTTAATAATTTCTTATTATTTTTAGTTTAAAATATATAATTTTATATTTTATTTATTAAGGTATTTATATTACTATTTTAATAATGAATATTACTACTTTAATATTAATAAAAATAATATTTTAAGAATAGTAATACTATTTTAAATATTTTCAAAATATTAGTATAAAAAAATAAAAAATAGTTTTATTTAAGTATTTTTTACATTAATATAAATATTTAAATATTAAATATTATTATTAACATATAATTATTTTTTAATATTAATAATTTTAATAATAAATAGTTTCAATATACTTTAATAATAAATAATTTTTAATATTTTAATAGTTATGTTAATATTAGTTGAAAAAAAAAACAGATTTTTTATAAAACAACCAAACAATAAAAAATATTTTTATTAACTTATTTAAATAATAGATATTTTCTATTTTTTAAAAAAATATAAATATTTTTCAAAAAATATTTTCTGAAAATAAATTTCTGTAAAACCAACGGAACTTTAATGGTGAATTTACCGTTAGATCTGTTTATTGGAAACTATTGGAGAAAGGGAGTACTCAAAATGGCTCAGTGAAACAATTCGATATATGAAAAAAAATCTAGAATCTGAAACTTCCTTACAAAATTATTATCTTCCAATTTAAGATTTACAACAATTGCATTCCAATTCATAGTGAACTCTTGAAACGCAATATTGGCACCTTTAGCTACTGTGCCTTATGCAAACCAGAATTGGAAACTAGGGAACACTTTTTTGTTCAGTGCCCTCTGGTAAGAGCAGTTTGGTTTGCTTCTAATCTTACACTCAAGATGGATTGCTTCAGATTTGGAAGTCTCATTGAATGGATCAAACAATGGCTAACCATCAAGGACATTCATTCGAATGACGCTTATGGATTCTACAATCAATTTGCAAGCATTTTTCGGTCCTTCTGAATACACAGGAATAAGTGCATTTTCAAAGACTCCCTTCCTAATCCCCTGAAAATCCTCTTCCGTCCCAAAGCCGAGCTTTCAAGCATATAGGAAGCCTTCAGTGACGAGGGTCCAAACTATATGAGCGCTCCAACCACGAGGAATCCCATTAATACTATATTTAGACCCCTTGGTGCCCATGATATCAACAACTGGTTGGCACTAACGCTATGTTCATGGACTTGAAAGGATTAACTATTGTTTTGTGCAGGAGCATTGAAGTTTCTTCCAAATGTCATGCCAAGATTTTCCTTTTAAGGCAGGTTGTGTGTAGAAGGAGTGTATTGGAGGCAAAAAGAGAAGACAAAAACAAGTGGAAGAACATAATTTAGGGCCGCACAAAAGCACACTAGAGTGTACAATCAGCGCTTGATGATATCCATAGTATAGAAGCAAATGGCATGTGCTTTACATTCACCACGGAATGACACAAGCTAGCTAGAGAAGGGTACGCAATGGCGAAACGCGCATCATAGATCGAGACGTCATTCAGTTGGCCTTAACCTCACCTTTTAATCCTTACTTCGTAATTTGCTTAGACATATTTCTTGCCTCTTTATAAAAAAAAAAATAATGACATGTTAAATTATTAAAATATTCTTATAATTGCTTCATGAAAATTTGACATGTAATATTTTATAAAATTACTATAATGCCACTATTAAATTACATATTAAATTAATTACATAAAACTTAACTACATATTAAATTACTATATTAAAATAAAAATTAAAAAATATAATGTGATAAATATAAATATATAAAGACATAACAAAAAAATTAAATTATTTTTTATTTTGTTTTAAATATTTTTACAAAAAATTTATGAGCCACAATAAATTGAAAATTATACATTTGATCAAATGATTAATGAAAATAAAAAACTCAAAATATAGTATGAAAAATTAACATAAAACTATAATGTAATATATAAAATACTATGTATATTAATTTTAATACTTTTATAATATTTTTATTTATTATATTAATTATTATTTATATATTAAAATAATTATAAATAATTTCAAAATAATAAAAATTGTGATAAATAATAATAATTAAAAATTTTGACAGAAAAATAGTTTACCCCAACGTAACGAGGTGGCTATTTCTAGTTTTTTAAAAAGCATTAAAATACATTAAAAATAGTATTTGTATATTTTTATAGAGTTTTGCTAATTAGTATCCAAAAGCACAATTTAAAAGTATTATATAGTAATACTTTTGTATCTTCCCTCAATGCATCATAAATTATTCAATTAATAGTCAATTATTAGGTTTAATAAAAAAATATTATTATAAATGTAATATCAATTATATTTATTTTAAAATTTTTTTATATAAAAAAAGATCAAAATCTGAAAAAATTATGAAAGAAAAATTTATGTGTTGGGATCAAATTTTAACTTTATAGGAATTTATCTCTTAAGAAAATTATATAAATCATTAATTCATAAATTAAAAAAAAATAATATTTATGTTTATTTGTTTTGCAAAAACTAAAATAATTTTCAAAATTTTTCATATTTATTAAATATAAAATTGACTTATCAATCTAAAATTACTTAACGATCAATGAGAAAAGATGCCATTTTTCTTAACAAATATTTTTTATGGTCGCTACAATACCTTAAGCATGTTAAGGAGGGTGGGGAGGAAGGGAGACTATGGGCGCGTTATTGGGCCGTATTTGTGCCATGATAAAGACAAGTTAATTTCGGACAAATCTAAACTCCGTATTCGGACAGCAAAAGAAATATATATAAACAAACAAATAAAATTTAATGAGCTTTGTTTCTTACACGCAAAGAGGCCAAGATCGACAATGTCAAAACCTTTTTTGACCTCTTGTGTTTTGTCCCATTTCATCCAAATCTAATTTTAAAATTTTCTTACAGCTTTTAAAATTTTGATCTCTCTCTTCCAAAATCAAATCGAAAGAAAAAAAATCCCATAAAAATGGAAAATGACAATGGCAGCAACAGCACCGATCGCGAGGAATCGAGTCCTCTTTTGAGCAAACAAGTGCTTGAAGAAGATGAGAAGAAGAAACTAACTGGTAAAAAGACAAAGGAAGCTACCGTCGAGGTGGCAGCTTCGCCTGGAGTTAGTAAGGGGGCTGGATTTGGGTGGACGGCAGATGGGCTGCCGTTGGTCCATGGGAGTGTTGTTGGAGAACCCATGGGCCGGTCTCAGTGGGACTCCTCCATCCTTGCTTGTCTTGGTCGTAACGATGGGTTTTGCAGCAGCGACATTGAAGTTTGTAAGTCTTTATATAATTTATTTGAGGATTTCCTAATTGGACCTGGTACCGTAGAAATTTGTTAAATTTGGGATTTTTCCAGCAATTAGAAGCTAAATTATAATTGCTTTGAACTCTATGCTTCTGCCACTATATGCAAATGATTGACATACTTTATAAACTTAAAGCTGTATTTCTGTCTTTTTTTCTTGTAAAAAAAAAATGATCTTGATTGTAGAGATGTTGGAAAATTTTTTGGCCACAAGAGATATTGGAATTTAGAATGGGAAAAGAAGGAAAGAAAAGGAAAATGAAAACACCAAATATGTTTTTTGTATGTTTTGCAATGATTAAAAAGATGGGTTGTGATTGTAATCTTGTTCATTGTTTCTATTCTATGATCAATTAATTTTTGGTTAGTGTTATATTTTTATACAATCTTTTGTGATTTAAGAAGTTCGAATTTGCTTCTGGAGCTAAAAAAGTTCGAGAGAATATATTACCAGATATTTTTGAAGAAATTATTTCGTCCATTAATAGAATTTTTAGATTCCAAAAGCAGGATTAGGTGTGGAGTTAAAAATTTCAGTGAGGGAATAAAAAACGAACTCATATTTTTGTGTATCTAATTTGTCACATGTGAAATTTTTGTACGCTTATTTCGCTCTGAATTTCTAAATATGATATTTTGGGCAGGTCTACTTGGAAGCATGGCTCCTTGTGTGCTGTATGGAAGCAATGTTGAAAGATTTGGATCTGCTCGAGGGACCTTTGCAGATCACTGCATACCTTACTCTTTTGTCTACCTGATTGGAAATTTATGTTTTGGCTGGAATTGTCTTGCACCATGCTTATCATACCCTACTCGTACTGCCATTCGGCAAAAGTTTAATTTGGAGGCAAGAGAATCTTATCTTTCATCTTCCTTAACTTGTACTTTTTCAGATGATTTATATAATTTCAACTGGCTCATTAAGCATGATATGGCTTTTGCATTTGGTGGTTAGAACTGTTCTGTTATACAACGTTTTGTTGATCAATGTTTCTTTCTAATAGTAATGACACAAGTTCAATGTCCCTCTATCTATCCTTTGTTTGATTTGGTTTTTGGAAGTTCTACCATCCTATGGTCTTGGTGGTGGGGAAATCAATGTTTGGCTGTCTCCTCATTTTCATACACATTGTTCCCTATTGACTTTGTTTATCCCTTGGTTGTGTTTTTCTTGTGGGGGGACAACTAGGGGTTTTAGGCGTAGAATCAAAGGAATAACATGAACTATGGAAGAGCTTTCAAGATTTATTTTGTGGTTTTCTTTGGATGAACAGGGCACCTGTGAAGCATTTAACAGGTCATGTGGATGCTGTGGGAGCTGCGTGGAAGATGAGGTGCAACGTGAACAGTGTGAGTCAGCCTGTGACTTTGCAACACATTTTTTCTGCCATGCATGTGCTCTTTGCCAGGAAGGCCGTGAGCTTCGTCGAAGGTTGCCTCATCCTGGGTTCAATGCTCAGCCTGTCCTGGTCATGACCCCTCCTGCGGAGCAGACCATGGGCCGCGGGACCTGAGTGCATGCTTCCCATGTCCTGTCTTACATTGAAAAAAATCTATTATCTAGCTCGTCCTCATTTCACCAGTGTGATATCATGTCGGAAAAATACAATTCGCTAGTAATCTTGGTTATGTTTTCATATCAATCAATTAATAGTATCTATTTCTGCACAAATTAAATCATTCTGTTTAAAAAAAAAATTAAATAAAATTATAATATAAGTGATTTAGAATTTATTAAATCATTAAAAAAAAGAAGAATCTATGTCAATGTCTCAATAATTGCAAACTAGTTAAATTAAGCATTAATTAAACTTAGCTTAATTATAAGGTATTGAATACCAAATATATCACTTACTATAATTTAAAAATAAAAGAAAATGAAAGAAAAAAAAATGTTGGGTCTATATTATTTATTTTTTATGAATTATTGTAATATATTATCTGCTTTTCCTTACAATTAACGGACAATTCATCAATGGTCTTTCCGCAATGTGAGTGCCATAAATATAAGCAAGATTTGTTGTGCATGAAAGTAAATTATATCTCAATTCATCCAATATTATAATTTTACTTTAAGCCAATAAAAATAGCTTATTCAAAATTGATCTAAAACGTCATCATAATAGTAATACTAATAAAGTATATGTGTATAACTGTATAAGATAAGTATATATATATATATTAAATTATTAAATCATTTATAAAGTATAATTAATCTAAAACTTCCCTTAATGCATCATAAATTATTAAATTAATGGTCAACTCTCCGATTTAATCAAAATATTATTAGAAATGGTATATTATCAATTATAATTATTTTTACAATCTAAAATAATAATTATAATAAATAATTTTTTTGTACAAAAAAGATAAAAATCTATGAAGAATTAAAAAAGAAAATTTTGGATCAAATCTCAACTTTTCGAAAATTTATCTTTTAAAAAAGTTAATATATCGTTTAAAATAAATTTAAAATTTTAAAAATAATATTCAATATAAAAAATAATTTTTATAATTATTGACATCCAATTCATCGATAATCCATTACATCAAACATAAACCCTAATTATTTTTTTATGGTCACCTCAAAACATTAAGCACGTAACTAGGGCGGGGAGTGAGGGAAACTCCTGGGCCCTTGATTGGGACTTATAGATGTTTGGGAAAGGGAAATGATTAAGTCAAGGTTAAAATAATAAAAAAATATTTTTGATATTTTATTTAAATAAATTTTTATATTTTTATTATATTTTGAATATATTTTATTTTTATTTTACATTCAAATAAATTTATAATTTATATTCAAATAAAATTTTAAGTTATATTTAAATAATCACTTAACATAAATTAATTTTTTTATTTAAAATAAATATATATGAATCAATAAAAAATAATTTAAGAGATTTTTTTTTAATATTTAAGCCTTCGAATTGACTTAGGACAGATCGAAACTCCTTGTCAAGACGGCAGACGGAATAAACAAACAAATAAATAAAAAATTAAACGCGCTTTGTTTCTTACACCCAACAATGCCATGACCCAAAAAATGGAAAATATTTTGATCTCTTACTATTTTGTCTTCATGTCCAAATCTAATTTTAAAAATTTCTTACAGCTTTTTAAATTTTAGATATCTCTCTCCTCCAAAATCAAATCGAAAGAAAAAAATCCCACAAAATATGGCAAATAACAATGGCAGCAACAACGACGACCGCGAGGAATCGAGTCCTCTTCTGAGCAAACAAGTGGTTGAAGAAGATGAGAAGGAGCAACTAAACGGTAAAAAATCTAAGGAAGCTACCGCCGAGGTGGCAGCTTTGCCGGGAGTTACTACCGGGGTTGGATTTGGGTGGACGGCTGATGGGCTGCCGTTGGTCAACGGGAGTGTTGTTGGAGAACGCATGGGCCGGTCCCAGTGGGATTCCTCCCTCCTTGCTTGTCTTGGTCGTAACGATGAGTTTTGCAGCAGCGACATTGAAGTTTGTAAGTCTTTAGATAATTTATTGGAGGGTTTTCTAGTTGGTTCTGATACTGTAGAAATTTGTTAAATTTGGGGTTTTTAATCTTTTACGTAATGTGGGATTTAATCTTCTATGCTTTTGCCAATGTATGCAAATGATTGACAAATTTTATAAACTTAAAGCTGTAATTCTTTTTTTTTTTTAAAAAAAATGATCTTGATTGTAGAGATTTTGAAATTTAGAAGGGAAAAAGAAGGAAAGAAAAGGAAAATCAAAGGCCAATTATGTTTTTGTATGTTTTGCAACGATTGAAAAGATTGGCTGTGATTGTAATGTTGTTCATTGTTTTTTATTCTGTGATCAATTAATTTTTTGTTAGTTTATATTTTTATACAATCTTTTATGATTTACGAATTTGGATTTGCTTTTGGCGCTAAAAAGTACAAGAGAATGTTTTGGAAAAATTATTTTATCCAGATCCATGAAAAATTAAAAAAGAAGTGCAACGTGTGTTAATCTCTTAATATCACATTTAGTATGTATGAAAAACGAACTCATATTTTTGTGTATCTAATTTGTCACTTGTGAAATTTTTGTATGCTCATTTTGCACTGGATTTCTAAATATGATATTTTGGGCAGGTCTACTTGGAAGCGTGGTCCCTTGTGTGCTGTATGGAAGCAATGTTGAAAGATTTGGACCTTCTCCTGGGACCTTTCTAGATCCCTGCTTGTCTTACTTTGGTCTGTACCTGCTTGGAAATTCCTTTTTTGGCTCGAATTGTCTTGCACCATGCTTTTCATACCCTACTCGTACTGCCATTCGGCAAAAGTTTAATCTGGAGGCAAGTAAATCTTATCTTTTATCTTCCTTAACTTTGCCTTTTCAGAGGACTGGTATAATTTTAACTAGCTCATTGTGCATATTATGGCTTTGCATTTAGTTTTCAGTATCAGAATACAACATTTTTGTTGATCAATGTTTCTTTCCGACAGTAATGACGTAAGTTCAATGTCCCTCCATCTACTGTTGTTTGATTTGGTTTTTAGAAGTTCTACCATCTTGTGGTGTTGGTGGTTGGGGTGGTGGGGAAGTCATTGTTCAGGGGTATCCTCATTTTCATACACATTGTTGCTGTACCATGAGCTATTGACTTAGTTCATCCCTTGATTGTGTTTTTCTTGTGAAAACTAGGAGTTTTATGGTTAGAATCAAAGGAACAATATGAACCATGGAAGAGCTTTCAAGATTTATTTTGTGGTTTTCTTTGGATGAACAGGGCACTTGTGAAGCACTTCACAGGTCATGTGGATGCTGTGGGAGCTGTGTGGAAGATGAGCCGCAACGTGAACAGTGTGAGTCAGCCTGTGACTTTGTAACACATTTTTGCTGCCATGCATGTGCTCTTTGCCAGGAAGGCCGTGAGCTCCGTCGAAGGTTGCCTCATCCAGGGTTCAATCCTCAGCCCGTCCTGGTCATGACCCCTCCTGGGGAGCAGACCATGGGCCGCGGGGCCTGAGTGCATTTACTTCCCATGTCCTGCCTTATAATGAAAGAAATATAGTACCTAGTTCGTCCACATTTTCATCAGTGTGATGTCATGTTATAAAAATAATGCAAAAAAGGTTTTTATCTACATTGTCTAAACGACCCTTAGAGGATGATTGGTTGGCTAGGCCAGACCAAATAACATATTGATGGATATATGGGTTTCACCTATTTGATGTGTATAATATGTCATGTGTTACTCTTTTTTCAAAATAAGTTGGGTGTGATGTAAACGTTTCAGTATAGTTTTTGCTGTCTCGTTTCACATCCTCCAGTTCTTGAATAAGCGCCTTTTGGATTTATAGGATTGAATTAGATAGGATGGATGATTACTATATCACTTCATCTCTGGCTTTCCTTCATTTGATCCAAGGGCAGTGCTAGTTAAAAAGTGCCCCACAGCACCTCCTAGTGTGGCTCAAATTATACATTCCAATTAACAATGGGAAAGTCCAATAGCATGGTTAAAGTACTTGAAGGAGGTTCTGATGCTTTGTTATCAGATAAAAAAACATTCTTTTCATCACAGCATGCAATGAATTCAATGTTTGAAAACCAACATATGGAGTAAATTTCACGGGAAATCACTCAACTTTGATCCAAATCTCATTTAAATCATTAAACTTTAATTTGTTCCGTTAACATCACTCAAGTTTGATAAATGTATCAAATGTGGTTACTTGATAGATTCCATTCAAATTATTATGAAAAAATGACGTAGTTTTCACCTCAAATGCCATATAAGCTGCCGAGTAGGAGGAAGAACACGAATTATCTTCAACATTGTAGGGTCCTTACCAATGTCACGCCAAACAGAAGCTTAACAACAGCTTGTTGAAGAGAAGAAAGGAGCAGCCATTGCAAATCCAACATTAATCTGGTTTGTGGTATGCTTGTATCAACTTTAGAAACCCAAACAGTTTGCGTAAGAGCCTGCCCCCCAAAACTGGAAGAAGGGTTCCCAAATATATGATGGAGAACAACAGGCTGAAGAGATAACTCGCAAAGTTGCACTCTCCACCATGTTATTGTAGGACCCTCATCTGGATCAAATAGAGACATGTGTTATATTGCAAATAAGAAATCAATAATTTGGATTGATTTGTTCAATAAACAAGATGACACAAACACAAGGAATTTATGAGATGGCAAATTAATAGCTAGTAAAAGATGAACTATCTTGTTTGGATACCAAGAAAATCGACAGCAAAAAGGTTTTCGGTCCAATAGAAAATCTTTTGCCAACACCCAGAATCGTTTTGGATCTTAGATTTTTTTTTTTTTTGGGGTAATTCAAACTAGAATGAGCAAAAAACGAAAAGGAAGACTTGTTCTGGTCAGTGGCGGGTTTTGGCAACAGCAAAAAGGAGTTTTAGGGAAGAGGAACCATAAAGTTTGGGGTTAGATCTAAGCCAATCTATCTCTTTTTTGTAAAAATCCAAACCTAAGTAGGGAGAAGGGAGGTTGAAAGAGTCTAAAAATGAAATTTGGTGATGTTTTGCTGCAGTGAAAGGCAGAAGACGGCAGTAAAGTGGCGGAGATGGCGGTCGGCCATGAGTATGGTAGTGGTCAATTTTTTTTTTTTTTTGGAGAGGCGGTAAGAGAAAAGAAATTTAGGCTATTTGAATAAATATTAATAAAGAAAAAAGTTTTTTTTTTTTTAAGATTTATGTATCTTATTTAGATATATAAAATAAATAAAATCTTAATAATTGGATAAAAATATAAAATTTTTTATTATAATATTTTTTAATTATAATTTTTTATAAAATAATATATAATATAAAAGTATATTTCTAATGCTTATATCCTTTCTCCATTTCCTTGGCCCTTGTTTATGTCTTTGGTTACATCTTTGGTTTGTCGTATTTTCGTAAATGTGATGACTAATTTAAAAAGATAGTATGGCAGATTCCACCTCTCGCTTTTTATATAGTTATTATATTTATTGGGTAAGGAAATAGAGAAAAAAGAAAAAATATGGATAAAAAATTTACTGCTTTAAAATGTCTAGAGTGTTACATGGAATTGAATATTTTGATGGTAGGTTGGTAGATTTTATGTGTTCTATTTTTGGATGATTGAATTGAGTACGATTTGATGGTTTTTGCATAAAAATTTATAAAAGAAAAGGTTAAAAAGGTCAAAAGCTACAAGTTCAATTCATTCACGTTGTAGCTGAACTAATTTTGGTACAAATCTATTGCTTTATATTAATAGGCAAGTAAATTATGTTAGTTAACGCATTAAAAGGTTGAATAACATGATTTTGATGGAGCATAGTTTTAGTTCAAAAATAAGATGTTCTTTGAGATGTCAAAATTCTTCCAAAGCTCGATGAATTCACTCCTAAAAGATATAGTGGATGAACTTCTAGGATGTTAGTGCTGCTTGATGATAGTTCTCGCAAATTCTCTCTCTTGTGCTGTTTGTTCCATACTTTATTATTTTATTATTTATAATTTAAAAAGATATGTGAAATTTACTTTTAAAAAATAATTTAAAAAAAATTATAAGATAATTATAACACAACTAAGTTTTAATGTTAATAAAAATATGAATACAATAATCTTTTCATAATTTTTTTCAACTTTTCTTTCTTTATCTTTTTCAAATTGAAATATTAAAAAATTTTGATTTACGAAAAAAAATATTATGTTTCTATCTCTTTTTCTTTCTTTAAATTAAAAATTTATCTTAACAAGAAAGGTTTACTGTTTCTTTTACTTTTTTTTCCTTCTTTCCTCTCTTTTCCTCTCAATTCAAACAAACTGTTATAGAAAAATAAATTTAAAAATTAGTGATTCTTTTTTCTTTTATTTATAGTTAGCTTAATTAGCTGACATGGGGGATTATGTAATGCTGATATAGCTGTCATGTAATTTTTCTATCAAATATTTGGATGAAATTTGAAAATGACCACATTTGATTCATTTATCAAATTCGAGTGATATTAATGGAACAAATTAAAGTTGAGTTAGTTAGATAGGATTTAGGTCAAAGTTGAGTGACCTCTAGTGAAATTTACTCCCAAACAAATGCCTTCTAAAAAGAAAAGTCCTTTGAAGCACCACTGCCTTCTTTTGGTGAATACTAAAAATCTCTCTTGGAACTAACATCACCCAAGTGGGCATAGTTCACATGGGTTGTGGAAGCAACTAATTGAGTACTAAACCACGCAGATTAATAGAAAAACCACAAAAAGAGAAATAAATGGAAACGCAAAGGAAATGAGACAAGTAAACTGCATCCAACGAACAAAGAACAGTATTTTACTCCCTAGTCTACCCTAACATAGGGTTTACTTCTAATTAAAGATGTTAAAAGTTTAACCAAGGCAACTCTCTGGACACGAAACCAGATGAAAATTGTGAACAAACAGTTTTAAAATGGAGAACGGAGGAAATCGAGCCTCAAAGTCCTACTCTCCTGGTGCAGAGACTCCTTGCTTCAGCCTCTCTCTCTTCATCTTCTTCTTGGATATTGGCTTCTTTTTTCTAGGAGGAAGAGTCTTCTGTGCATATGAGTAAAGTACATAATTCCCCACAAGGAATATCAGCAGTAGCCCCCCAATAAGCAGAAGCACCATCAATCCAGGGTTGAACCCTTTGGCTTCAGTTTCATAAATAATCTTGTTTCCCTATTGCATCAGCAGAAACTAAATTATTACCATGTAAGAACACATCATCGAATTCAGAAACACAATTAGCTGCTCTACAACATGTTAACTTCACAAGGCCAATGAAAGCAAACAGCAAAAGTTTATTTCATCAAAAAAGGACAATTCATAATTGGATATGTTTATTTTAAAAACTTAGCCCTAATACACCGAAGTTGCTGAAGTTTCAAAGTGGCTATTAGGTTCAATTCATGTTATAATATGCTTACTAAATAAAAGATCCTACAACGTAAACCATCAGTAAATACATGCATAGAAGCATTGCTTCAAAAGATAAATCTATCATTCCTTTTGATTAGTTGTAAATGATCACACAAGGTTTCTATTGAGACCCTATAAATTTATCATAGATGTTTCATGATCATGAAGCCCAGAAAACACCTCCCCTATGTTAGCAGGCCGGTCATATTTGTTATGCCATTGAAAAGGCCATAATAAAATCATCAAAAAAGAAATGTTATGGACATTCTGTTTTGACAGACACTGATGCTTGACGACCTAAGCAAGAGAAAAATTTTCAGGTGGTCCACTTAAAAATTCTGCTTTCATGTTCCTTTTTTTTTTTTTTTGCTTTCAGAATTCATGAGGGATATGGATGAACAAAAGCCCCAATCCAAGTTAATTATTCCAATCCCATGTGAAGACAGTGTTAATGTTTCCATGAAGTAGCAATCACCCAACCCAACCATTAAATGACTTCTCAGCTTATATTCAGGCAAAAAATTTAGTGGAAACAAAAAAGTCAAAACCGATCTTTACATCTACAATATATAAACCTTACTAATTACTATCTTTACCATTATTTTGCATTAAAAATGGACCTAAGCACATCAATTTCAACAAGCAAAAGAATTTTTTCTTTTTTGCTTCATTTATTTCAATCAAAAGATATTATCAGCACAAAGAAAGCATCTGATCTAGCACCAAAACTTGTATTTATAGCAAAGATTTTTTTTCAACAAGAATAATAAAAAAAAAACAGAATTATTTGATAATTTGCATGGAATAAAAATGTAATAATATCTTAATGTTTAATTAACGAAAAAATCAACATAAAAAAAAAGGCGAGAGAATCAGCATGCAAAATTCTCATAATAAAAAAACGAAACTATACTTGAAAAACCTAGATCGGCACGATAGCATGCAATAGGATAAGGAAACAAAACCAGATCGATAAATTGTAATTGATTTAGCACGGATCTAGGTGAATAGCGAGTGAAATTGAGATTTAAAGAGAGATTTGAAAAAAAATTAAAATAAAAAACAAATACCAAGCGATCAAAGGAGGGAGGGACCTGATTGGCGAACTCGAACTCGTCTGACATGGCTGCGAACTCAACGGTGCTCTCCTCCCGAGCACAAATTTGGACCGAAGAAAGTCCCAGAAATTGGAGAAATTAAAAAAAAAAAAAAAAACACAGTTTCAGCCTCTCAGGCAACAGAGCTGATTGTACTTATAACAGAACTGTTTCGGATTTTTTTTTTCCATTTGGGTTTTTTTTGCCTCTTTGCATGAAGCTCAATTTTGTCAGTCCAATGGATCCAATTGAGGATTGGGCTTTAAGTCTAAGGACGCCAGTAAAGAAAGCCCATTTAATATTATAATAATTACCAGCATCTTATAAAAATAGTTGATTTTATTTATGAAAGTTTTGAAATTAATTTAATTTATAAAAATGAAAAAATTTTGGTTATCACTTACCCTTATGCAAATTATTTTCTTTTCACTAGACAAACTAAATGAATATATATGTACACTAAGGCAAGTGGATCTTTGATACAAATATTAACACATATATATATTTTATAAAGAATGTTGTAATTTAAGAGAAAGAAAATAAATAGAAAAATATTAAAATTCAAATGTCAGATATGCTGAATTTTTTTTTTAAATATGATTAGAAGAACCAATTGAATTAAGCATAATTTTTTAAACTTAAAAGTAGATTTTGATTTAGTTTTGATTTGTTAATACAATGAATCAAATGCATATTTATTTTCATTCAAAATATAAAAAAGGAGATTAAAAAATCGCTTCTTTACTTTGTACCTATAGAAGAATTTTCATAATTCTTAAATTGAGTGATTTATTGTTTTGTGTTTAAATAGATACAAAATATTTATTGGTAACATTTGATTTTATTTATAAGTTTGTGTCTACTTGAAGAAATTATTAAATATTATTATATTATGAGCTTGAGACTTAATTTATTTACTTCATTAAATTATTATAAAAAAATAACATCTAATAAATTTAAAATTTAAATTATAATATTTGTAATTTTTTTATTGGTTACATATTCTTTGTACTAAATATATTATTATGTTAGTAATGAATACAAAACATGCATATGAACGTTTAATTAATTATTAATGCATGATTTTTTTTTTTGTTAACAATAGATTCAATGGTTAGCATATGATTTTTTTTTTTCAAAAAAAAAAAGTTCATAATCTCCTTTTCAAATAAAGAAAATCAGGCTTGCTATTTGCAATTGGGCCAACTGTTGCCCAATGCCCATAGCCCAGAATTTTATCCCATGCCCATGATTTGGATTTCACAAGATGGCATAAATCTCCAGCATATGAAACATAGAAATCTGACGTTATGAGCAAAAAAAAAAAAAAAAAAAGGACAGAGAAATCTGATGTCATAATATTCCAATATATACAACATTGTGCACATCAATTACCAGAATTGTGGGGACATTGAAAAAGAGAAGATATATCTTAAAAAGTAATATTAGAAAGGGACAGGACCAAGAAAACACTAAATACAAAGAGAAGATATATATTAAGAAAGGCTTAATCCATGTGGTTGTGGTTGTGGGTTACTGGCGAAATCAAAATCCTGTAGGTGAAGTCTGACCCTTGTTATTATAAAGTAGAGAAACATCCAAAACCACCCCATTTTCTAACCAAGTATAAACTATAAATAAAGTCTAAATCAAATTCATGCAATGGATCATGTTCTTAATGTTCATCCCCTTTTATACCAAGCTTGTTATATAATTAATGATTGTGAAGGAATCTCTATATTTTTTTATAACAAAAAAATTATAATTTCAAGATAAAAATTCAAGAGATATAATTTGAATTTTATATTTATTAGGTTTTATCTTTTAAGAATCATTACACGAATGAATTAATTTAATATCTAAGTTTGAACTCTTATATTATATTTTTATATAATATTTATTTTCATATATATACCTAATAGGTATAACTCTATCTTCGTTTTCAAAAGTATTTAATAGATAAAAGTAATTTTTTATTTAGTAAGATATGAGATAGGTAAAATATTTTTTATCATCATCTTTGGATTTTTTTATATTATCTATTTTCGTAGGTATAACCCCATCCCATCTCTAAAAGTACTTAATAAATAAAGGTAATTTTGGTATCTATTTAAAAAATAATATATTACATTTTTTGTTTTTTATTTTTCACATTTATATAACTTTTTATAAATATATATTTTAAATAAAAATATATTAATTTTAATTAATTTAAAATAAGAATTTATATTATTTAATAAAAAATCTATTTATTAAATCCGACTACGAGCAAGGACTATATTATCAGGGTTGGTTGAGTTAATACTAACACCTTTTCTTGTGCACCTTAAGCTTATAACTTTTCTAGTATAAAAAAGCAGAGTTATAGAATCAAAAAAAAATTTCTTAGACTAAACCCATTGATAATAGGAATCCTACAATGTTGAATTCATTTACATAAAATTTAGCCCTTCCTTCGCCTCTTGTTTTAATACCTTATTTAATATAAAATTTAAATTTATACTCATTTTCATCTTCAAAATTTAATATCCAATCTCATTTTTATTTAAATAAAAAATAAGATCTTTTATTAAATATGAATAATATTAACATCTAGCTTATAGTAAAGCCTGAAACCAAAGCTAAGAACTGCTTGCATGGAAATGACTACTAAATTGAGGGAACTGGGTTGTTAACTTGTTATTCGATTCAAAATTCTGCAATTTCAGAACTAGAGACCTATAGGGGTTGGATAATGAAGCAAACAAGATTCTGAGTTAAAACCTATTGGAGGGTCGTACCAACTGTCGGAATCATGAGACATTTCACTATACATAAAATTTAGAGCTCGTCATGGCACTAAGAGGTTAGTGGTGGCTGTTTTTTTAGGATCAATGCACGTCGGCAAAATTCCTAGAGCCCGAATGAAAACAACTCAAAATGCAAGCATCTTCCCCCGAATGGTAAATGATTAAATGACAAAACGGTAAAATTCAGGGCACATGCACGAAAGTAGCAATAAAATCGTGAAAGGGGAAGTTTTGTTTGCAACTTCCTTTCATTTAAATGGAAGAAAGATGAAAGGTATACAGGAAAATCAGCCATTCATTTCCGGTACAAGCTGACAGGACTTGCTGGATCTGGGCCACAACGAGCACAAAATTTGGAGGCAGCAATTTCACTCTGGATTAATGCCAACGGTGGAATCTGCCGAGGAAAAGGTATTTGAGTCTCAATCTGTGAACAACAATAAGTTTTGATAAACAGTGAAAGAAATTGTCCTCAGTGTGTGATGTCTTTGTGATTAGAGTTTTTTCTTGTGAAAATTGTGTAAATTAGAGTTTTGGAACCCATTTTTTGCAAAATGAAATGTGTTTAACACGTGTTATGATTTCAATTGCTGCTGTCCTGATCTGAAGGAAAAAATATTATATGAAACTATATCAACTTATATCCCATTCCAATCGTTTAATGAATGAAATCTTTGATGTTAACCTTCAAAGGTGTGTGCTATGCTGAAAGAGAAAAGCCAGCTTAATCCCACTTTCTGAAGAAAAAAAAATTATGCTTTTGAAAAGATACAAAAGACAAGCGTCTGAATAAAGTTTTGGGAAAAGGTAATCAGAACTAGGATTAGATGAACTTTATTTCATACCTTTCTATCCAACAACCACCCCATGCAATTGCTTAATCATTTTTCTTATTACCAAAGCTGTTAGAAAATTAAACAAGTAAACCTTGTTATCTTTCTAATGTCCGAATTTGATGTAGACAAACATGTGTTAAATTACCGAACTCGCATAATCATTTCGCAGATGTGATTTTGATGGTAATTCAAAAGTAAAAATATATACACGAGCATGGAAAAGGGGAAAAACCCAAACATTGATGATATTTTGAAATTTTAGAGAATGGGAAAAGAATAATAATGATTCCTTCCTTGATTTCATTGATACAAGACCCTGACCAAACGCCATTGAAGGAAAGTCTCTTTGATTAAAAGTCAATAATAAATATGCACCCTTTTCATCACTATACTTTACCAAGCCTCTACTCAAACTCGTGTCTGCCTTTGACAATGGGGATTGCTTGTGAAAGCAACTAGCCAACCTTCCACAAAGGAAAATACCCATCCGTATAGGAGCAAGAGAATGATTCCCACCATTTTCCTTTGCCTCCAACTGCTGTGAGCCCCCCCGGTCCCTCCCCTTCCGCCCTTTTTCTATAATCATACCATGGATTACATTAACATTGATTAAAACACAAAATTTGCAATCCCCAAGTCACTAAACTTAGTGCTTACATTATATGTGATTGTGTCATACATACATAAATAAATGAATTAATAAAGAAAGATTGTGGAATCCCAGCCCTTAGAATTTTTTTTTTATTACACCAGGTCAGGACCAACGTAGCTATTCTCTGACGAGGAACTGGAGATTGTAATCATACCATTGCAGTCAGATACACTGTCCTGCAAGCTCAACAATAGATGAGAAGTGCTGAAACTCATTGAAGGTTTTGCTCTTGGAACAATTGGGACCTCAGCTTCACCCACCAGCATCTGGACCACAACTCTCATTGTGGGTCTAGCCAGTGGGTCAGGGTGTGAACAAGCTAACCCAACCAAAAGCACCCTCCTCATCTCAGCCTCATCAAAATGACCTTCAAGTCTGGCATCAGCTGCTGTTAACAATCTCCCTTCTTTATGCAAACTCCAAACCCATTCCACCAAATTGGCACTCACTCCAACTTTTGCTGCCGCATTAGCATCTCTCTCGATTGGTCTTCTTCCACTAGCCACTTCTAGAACCACAGCTCCATAGCTGAAAACATCAGTTTTCTCAGTTGCTCTTCCTGTTTGAAGATATTCAGGAGCCAAATACCCCATTGTACCAGCAGCCACCGTGGCATCTGGCGATTTATCATGCTCAACTTGCCTTGCTAAACCAAAATCCCCTAACTTTGCATTGAAGGCTTCGTCCAACATTATATTGCTGGTCTTAACATCTCTATGAATGACCTGGTGATCACACTCTTGATGCAAATAGGCCAAAGCAGAGGCAACTCCTAACAAAATTTTCTGCCTATGAGGCCATGGCAAGGGCGTTCTGGCTTCAAACAATGCTTTATCAAGACTCCCATTAGGCATTAAATCATATACTAACAAAATTTCTCCTTTCTCATGGCACCATCCTTGCAATCTTACAAGATTTCGATGCCTAAGAGTCCCAATTATTGACAACTCAGATAAAAACTCATTCTTCCCTTGACTACTATGACTACATCTCTTCACGGCCACAATGTCGCCATTATCCGGCAAAATACCCTTATAGACAGTCCCGAATGCACCGTGACCAATTATTTTATTAGCATTGAAGCATCTCGTAGCTGCTTTCAGCTCTTTATAACTGAACTCTTTCGGCGTTTTGATAATCTCCGATGCAAAAGACTCTGATTTCTTCACATGTTTAAACTTTTTAGAATAAACCCATATCAGAGCCCCAGCAAATAAGGCTAAAAAGAAAGCCCCAGCAGTTACCACCCCTGCAACAGCCCCCGGACCCTGTTTACAAAGCTGGTTATGACAAGAAGAAGACTTACTACTCTTCTGTTGAGTGCTGGAAATCGAATCAGAACCTGAAGGAGCCAATGAAGGTGGCGGTGATCTAACAGAATTAGCCGTTGGGTTCATTAAACTAGCCGTTGGAGGCGGCGGAGAAGAAGTTGACGCTGATCCCGAACCTGAATTTGACTCGAAAGAAGAGCTAAAACTCCACCATTCTATACTATGAACCTCAGTGCTTCCTTGGGTTGATCCTGAAAATCCTACGTACATGAAATCATTAACATATTGATCAAGATTTATACCGACTGAGAAGGTGGGCTCTTTAGGCTTCAAATTTGAGTAGGAAATGGAGATGTTAAAAACTCCAAATGAGGCATCATAGTCGATCCATGAATTAACGAGATTGCCACTCTTTAGATCAATATCTAAAGCTCCCAAGTCACCAACTTGGGAAGAAACCACGCTGTTGAGATCCAAACCAACGTGATTTCCATTAATGTCTTTGAATTCTACATCCATAAGTGTGTCGAATTCCACCGCAACGAACCCCAAACCCTGACCCTTATCATCGAGGAGTCCCAAAGAGCCGCCGCCGGCGCCGACGAAATCAGCATCTGGGGAAATGACAAAGGCTAAACCGCCGCCGATTGAAGAAGGATTGAGGTTGGTGATGGAGAAGGAGAAGAATGTGGAGAAGCTACAAGGAGAATGAGTTCCTGGTTGCCGGAATCTCACCGGTTTAGAATATAATGCTCTCCCGGCGCCGGAGTCAGGTACTTGGAGGTCGCGAGTGAGCCTCACGCTCCCATTGTATATGTGAGCATCACCAAGCAGTTTCAGGCTGCTGAGAGTTAACGTTCCGAAATCGAATTCCATCGTTGCAAAGATTCTGTTAAAGTTTAGGACAAAACAGAGGAATATAACACAAAAAATGGACGTAACCTTGTAAGAAAATGGCAACATTCTGATTCAGTTTCTGGTTATTACCGAAACCCCATCACAAAAAGGAAAAGAAAAACGAAAGATATTTATTTCTTGTTTGGATGGGAGGGATTTGTTGAAGAAGAGAGCTTGTAAAAATTCACGAGCTTTGAGAGGAAGAAAGAGGAAAGATGGGGGGAGAGCATATTTCTTTGGCTTAAAACAGAACAAAATTAAGGAAACAAACAAGGAATAGTGTGAAGACACACTCCAAGTGGGTGATGAAGTGAACAAGACAGGTGGATGGTGAGGCGACACGTGGCCATTGCAACGGTTATTTTCTTTGTCAGTGATTATAATTTGCAAACAATAAGAAAAAAAAAAAGTTGTGTTCACACTTCAACAGTTTCGTCGATCCTTCTTCGAGGAAAAATTCAGTTGCACATTATTAATCTCACTTTTAGTATTGTTTAATGCTTGCTCAACATTGGATAAAAAATAATGAGTCGTTATTCGAATGATTATTTACTTGATTCCAGAGAGTAGAATTAATTCTTTATTTGCTTGATGAAACGAAAAAAAAAAAATTACAATTATCAGAATTTAAATTTTAGATTTATTAAATATTTTTAATAATGATAATACGCAAGTTGAATTTTTTTTTTTTTTTTTTTTGCAGTTTGCTTACACATTTATGGGAAAATAATTTTGCTTTGAAAAGTAACATTATATTTCTTATAAAAAGAATTTACTTACTAATTAAGAAAGTACATTTAAAAAGGTTGGGTGCATTTCTCAATCTTGGACTTCACTTTATTGGATATAGTTAAAGTTGTTGCCACGTAAATCAACATTTCTTTTGCAACTATGAAATTTTCATCGTTCAGCCCTACCATTCAAACTTTAACATTACCATTTTTCTAGAAAAAAACAAGATCAGCTGCAGTTTTTTCTGGCCAAAACACGAAAAAGGCTCACTTTTAACCATTTGGGTTTCATAGTTATTCCCATTAATGATAATAAAAATAGAAAAAAAAATTTGGGTTCGTGTCAACACGCTCTTTAAGAGGAGCGTGGGCCATGCTTTCACCGAGTTCTAAGGTAGACAAAATGTAGGTAAGGGAAGAACTGAGTAACTTGAACAGCACAAACTGCACGTGAGTCGTGACTTCAGTCAAACAAAAATGCCTTTTACGGAATTACTACTGCCGACCGACTCCGTCTAATCTAAGGCCTCATTTGGATTCCTGGAATCCAAGCCAAAAATGGGTTTCAATTACAATGCACGATGCATTTAGATAGTATCTCACAATGTAATTGAAGCCACTGTCCTTTTAGTTTCTGAGAAAAGTTAAGCCGTTCATTGATTCTTAACACAATCGATTTTTTTATCTAAGACATTTGATTCTCTTCAAATAAAATTGAATTAAAAGAATTTTTAATTATGTCAATGGATTATTTTTTTATTAGACATTTGATTATTTTATATTTAAATATAATAATTAATTACTTTTAATCAAACAATCAATTATCATATTTAATTTCATACGTAATATTTACATTTAAATAAATATTTTTATTATTAAATTTAATATCATTATTATATTATTTAATTTTATTATCATCATTGTCTTTAATCTCAACAAAACATATCTTATTATCCATTCAAACAAATTTTAAGCAATTGTAATTCTATTACATTTAATTACAAATTTGCCCTATTAAAAAATTACTTTTTGCTATTTGTTTATTATTTCCAATTCAAATTTAATTCTTTGCTAAAAAGGTTAAAACGAGACCTTTGAGAAAAGATAATCAAAGCATCTTAAATATACACGTAAAAGGTGAAATTAACGAGTCCAATAAAAAACTGTATATATTGCATATGGTGGGTCCCATTTTCGGTACCCATATATCTGGGCCCTACGTTAGGTGGACATGCACGAGATCGACACACCCAATCATTGACGATTTGTCCCGGCGTTGCATCGGACGGTCCACGTGGAGCCATGAGAATGGAGAATTTTTCTAGCTTGCATGTCAATATCAAGCCTTTCGTTTTAGGATACCTCTCTCTCTCTCTCTCTGTCTCTCTTTGGATATAAATAAAAGCTTTTTGGTTGGTAAAATTTTTTTATTTTTTTAATGAAATTTTAATAAAACGTAAATTGAAAGACACAAAAAAGAAAATTCCTCCTTGAAACAGTTATTTGGGGCACCATTTTGATGTTACCTCTTCAATTTTGCTTTGTCTTTGTCGACAATTATTTATTGTCAGATTGTGAACAACAGTGTGAGAAATAAAATCATATATTGTTTCCTTAAAAAATGTTTTCACTTAAATTATATCTGTTTTCAACTGTTTTCTTTGTACTAATTTTTAAGCTTGTCATCAACAACAACGGCATTAAGTTTTTTAATACTAATTTTATAGTACAATAATGTGGTGGTTTGATGCTATCTTAATGATTAAGAAAAAGGCAAAAGTGTTTGGGATCTAGTGGCTAAAGAGTTAAATACTGTTATATATAGCCAATAGTTTTATCATTTCTCTTAAAAAATAATTATATTATTTAATATATTTTTTTGGTGTGTTTGTAAATAACGTTTTTTGGGTTGCCTTGAATCATGAATATCAAATACGCCACCCATATAATACATTTTTTATGTAAAAAATATTGATTTGTAAAAAAATAGTTATAATTTGATGATAAGAAAAAAAATAAGTAGTGATCAAATTAATGGATTTAAATAGAAATAAAATAAAACATTGATGATTCATAAAATTTATACGATATTGAACCCAAAATATGATGTAATTGATTTATATAATTATTTTTAAATTTATATTTAGTAGATTTAAAGTTTAAATTTTAACACTTATAATCTCTTTTCATATATTTAGATTATTACTTCCTTTGTATAAAAAAATTTAAACACTATTCAATTCTTATTTTTATTACTTACATTTTAGAATCAAAACTTTTAGAAAGTGAAAAATGTTAACTAAGGCTAAATTATACCCAAAAAATAAATAAATAAATTGGGTGCTCAAAGTTGCTCCCTAATTAAAACTTGGATTGAGATTAGGCCATTTGGGTAGTTTCCATCATGCCTAAACAACTACATAATTCCTAACCATTGACCCCTATCTTGGGCTTGAATGTGGAAACATGTAGGCCAGGGCTACTATAAAACAAAGGCCTAATAAAGTAATAAGAGGGCTATGCCTAGGCCCGTACTTAATTACAATTAGCAAAAAGTTCATTGAATTACAAATATTAACTTTGCAAAGCGTGCAAAAGAACTTTTACTTTCTTTTCAAGCATTCCATTGAAAATTTAAATTCCCAGTTTATTTGAACACTGTAGTATTAATCACTGTTTACATAGCGGCAATCCTTTCTAATCTCTCCTTGATCTGCTGTAAGCTGATTATTCTCTGATAACAACAGCACTGCTCGTGCAAATTGGTCATGGAAATATCCATTATCAGCAGCCATTTTGTCCACTAAAGGGGAGGTAGTTGGATCAGAAGTCAGTTGCTGATCTACCAAGAGCAATCCCTTGTGCTGCAACAAGTGCTTGTAGTACATATTGTCGAGAACCATTGGCGTTTCACGGTCATTTCTTGCGTACAACACTTTCTTAGGATCGGGGTCGGGGGTTGGGCACCTTCGTTTAAGGTACTCGGCATAGTCAGGGTCCAATGTCGGATCAACCGTCGGGTAAAGTCGGTGTACTAAATTTACACAGTGAACTCGGCCTACGGAGTGAGCTCCTATTACACAAGAATAACACATGATTTGATTATCTGTTGAATTTCACTATCGTACTACATACGAAATTTAATGAAGTTAGGAATCGAGTATTTTTTGTTTTTTGTCAAAGGAAATAAGGTGTCTTACCCCGTTACATAAATAGGAATTTGTATAAGTGGAGTCAATATTATATTATTTTTATTTTTATTATTTAATATAACATTGATTAAATTAAATATAGAATAAAATATCTCATAATATAATATAATGTAATTTTTATTTTATTTTTTTATACCAATTAAAATGTTAAAAGAATGTAAGTAAATAGATGATTAATAAATTCTTTTTTATTTTTTTATAATGAAATTGGATTTGTATTATTGAAAAACTAATTAAATATGAAATAATTATTATATTAAGTATAACAAATCAATCATTTATAAATTAATTGGATCATACTTATATATAATAAGTGCTATAGAAACAATTAAGGAGAAAAACTATACACAAAATGTGATGACAAGAATAATAAGTAACAAATCAAAATTAAAATAAGACTTAAAATGTGATTAAAAAACTTATAAAAATGTGATTAATAGAAAAACAATAAAAATGCATGTTAAACGAATTTCAAATTCGAGAGTTAAACTTATGTTTGTAGTGAAAGAAAATTAATATTAGAAATTTCTAATTAAAATGAAGGCAAAAGTGAAAATGAAAGTTACTTGTAACCTTTTCTTTTTTTTTCTTTTTTTTTTTTTTTAACAATTTTTAGTGATGCTACGTAGAAAAAACACTATTTTTTTTATACTAATTACATATATATATATATATTATTTGTTTTAAAAGTTGAATGATGTCCTCACTCCCTTTTAAGTGGTTACATAACTGATTTTAAGAATAGATTACATGATTGTTGGCGGAATCAGGCCAGTTTGAAAGGGTTAGATGGTTGTACGTTAAAGCATAATCGTTTTTTTTTTTGGCATCCAAGAGTAAAAAGCGAGAGGAAGGAGGAGATAATTTCATATACCTAATAAAGCTACCGTTCCTTCGGTGCCAATGCCAATGGATTGAAAGCGAGAAAGCACAAGTTCCATCGTATCATTGTGGTTGGGGATGGAATTTTCTACCTCTGACAGGTAACCTTCCTTGCTATCTTTACGACCGGTTTTCATTTCTATGCGTGGACCTCCAAGCTGTAAACGTTTTATAACTTTTGTTTACTTCACAAGTACTGATGATTTTTGGTAAAAATGAGGAGAAAGATTTGAGAACATATAAATACCCACCAAGACAATGCCATCTCTTGCCGAAAGAGACACGATATCAGCACAGGAAACTGTCATTGGACATTCATTCTCAAGAGCTTCTTTGATTGTCTTAACGTACTTGAAATTTCTCATCCCAAAACTCCTCTCCGATTTTTGTTCTGATTCAACTCCATTCCTTGTCTCTAGCAGCAGCGATGCATCGCATGACTACATCGACAAAGTTAAACATGTATATCATGAATAAGCCTAGCTAAATATAATTTAATTTGATAAATAAAACAATATATACATACCTTAACCATGCAGTCATGGAAGAGATTTCTAACCCAAGAAACAGCTGTATTTCCATGTTTGTCGTACAGCTTGATGACTTGTTGTTTGATGATCTCTTCAGCATTTGGGCAACTTTCAGCATAGTAGTTCAATTGGAGATCACCTTTGCCTGCATCAACAACCAAGATAAATTTTGTTTACATCAATTTTTCTTCTAATTTTTGTGATCATCTGATCATAATTGGTTTTCATCTATGAGCTAATTGTACTTTCTCCAATTTTTAAAAAATTCTCTATTTTCTTTAGCTTGACCGTCTTCTAAATCCGTGATGCAGAAATTGAGAAATACCAGCAGTAACTCCTCAATTTGACAATATGATCTAAATTTTCAATTTACGATAACCACCTTTTTGTATGTAATTTAAAGTGATTTATCTTCATAAAAGGAACTCACGAAGGCCAAGACATTGAGTTTGTAACTAACAACTCAATTTTTTTGGCACTACAATTGGAATTTAAGATTTCTATCTAAATCCAATCTTAATTTTGCCACGCTTTGAGAAAAATCCACGCAATGAGATATGCAACCAGCAAAGCCAAGTCTTCATAATCCATATACTACAAAGTCGCTAGGCTATACTCATTTCAGACAATGAGAATGAGGGGATTCAAATCCATTCAATTGAAAGAATGGTGAGCTAATCATTGAACTAAATACTCGCATATTAAACCATATACTTTTCATTACAAGAATATAAGAGTGTGAATTTGAATAAGTAAATATATATATATATATATATATATATATAATAAAACAATAAAATAAATTGACAGTCGAAAACATGTATCAAAATAAAACTGTGAAAATGAAGAGAACCTGCACAGTGGGATGAATGATGCAATAATTATTAAACTAAATGCTCGTCTTTTAAACCATACTCTTGATTACATGAATATAAGGAGTGTGAATTTGACTATTTATGTAAAACATGATATCGTAGACCATAAAAATAAAATGATAGACAAAACAAGAACTACCGGAATAAAACTGTAGGAGTAGTAACTGTAATAACAGAAAGATAAAGCTTGGGCAAAAATGGTCGCCCCTGTTGCTGGCCATCTTCTTTATGATGGCTTTAAGCTTCTATTTTATTGCTTTAATCTTCGTGTGATCGAACTCAAAGGTTGTCCAAAACCTTATATAGTAACGTTTCAGATGAGCAAGTGTATTAACAAGAATAAATGCCTAGCTCTCGGTGGCTCCACTAGGCCGCTTTCTTTGACCTTTCGCCCACTTCTCTCCTCACGCGGCCGTCCGCACTACGAGCAATAAGCAAGTTTTTCTTCAGTATTTGTTGGATCAAAATCATTGTTTCATCGTTCACATCTTTAAGCTTTCTAAGTTGAATTCAGCCATTGAATTTATGGAATATTTTGAATAAGAAGAGAAAATAAATTTGTTGTCTTCCTCTTTCAGAGTTCCTTGTAAAAAGGGTAGCAATAAACTTGTTTAATATTATCGTCTGATTTGTTGAATAATTAGACTCTTAATTTAAGAAATTAAAATTTAATTTTTAATAATTTTAAATATAAAAATTAAAAAAAATAATTGCATATTAATTATAATTTTTTTTGATAAAAAAATTCGAGGGTAGATAAGTAGTTCAATCCCTCGAGTCAGGATAAGATGTGTCGTATCTGACAACTTAAAATAGATAGTTGCAGGTCGTGCATTTGAGATGACCCCAACAAGTGACAATCGATAAAACTTGAATCCGAAATTTTTTTGTCAAAGAGAACGAACCTAATCAATTGAACCAACTACTTATTGATTATATTATAATTATAATTAAATTCTTTATTTTGTTCTTGAAGTTAAAAATTTTTTAACTAATAAATGCTCGAACTTTGCTTTCACAATTTGTATATTTCAAATTAATATTGTTAATCAAATAAATTTTGTATTCAACAACTAATAAAATTGTGACATGTAAGATTTTTAAGACATGTGGCATACTTTTATTGACGGATTTTTGAGGCTTGTTCATTTGTTAAATATGTTGATTTGATGTCCAAGTTGATGGATGGAAGCCAATTTTGAACACTTAATTGCAATATTTAAATTATATATATATTAAATAGAGAATTTAATTATAATCCCAGTATTAAATATGTAATTAATAAAAAGGAGTTTAAGTATGGTAGGTTTCTTCTAATTTCTGTCCACGAGGATGTATGATTTGTTGATAAAACTGAAATCTTTGAAATTCTGATCTGCCAAATTAATTATGGCGATGGCTCACCCAACCAGAAGTCTATAACTATTTATTATATGAAATATTACACATATATAATTGTTTAAATCGGTGAATGCTTACTAAATTAGTTCACATGCAGCCATTAATGGTCTCTATGACCAAAAGAAATTAAGTACAAAATTATATAACAAAATTACCGATTCCACTTGCTGCATTGATGCTTTCCTTTTAGGTACAATGTTTTAACTTAATTTAAGAGGTATAAATGCATGTATTTTTTAAAAATAGAGTTAGATTTGATGCTAAAATATAAAAACTTTGACTAATTTGAAATGTTGAAACTTTCGGAGTCTAATTTAATTAGTTCATATAATTATTTCTTAAGAAGTAATATCTAATAAATTTGATATTTAAATCTTTGTAATTTATTTTATATAAAGAATTGAAACTCAACCTTTAATGGAGGAAAAAATGACAATTTTTAGGAAAAAAATTTAGGGTTTAATTTGATAAATGTTTTTATTTATTACTTTTTTGCTTTATTTTCAAAAAATGAATTGAGAAAAAATATAAAAAAAAACAAAGTATTTACTAAACGAATTTTAATGTGAACATAGATAGATGTTTTAGTGACTGATCAATGGTGAAGTAGCCAATAGTTACCCATCGCCATCATAACTAGGTAGCACAATGCTGATAGTGCTACTTTGTTTTTCTTTTTCAATTATTATGTTATAACAAGATGATGGGAAGAATGGAATGTTACTATATACATAAAGAGTCCTTTGAGAAAATATTAACCTCTGAATTTGGAGTGCAATGTCACCCCTCATTCACTAAATCTCAGTGGAATTGTGTTAGTATAGGATAGAAAGTAGAACCCCACTAGTTCTTCTAGACAGAAAAAAAAAAAAAAAAAGAAGAAGAAGAAAAACATTGGCTTTAACTTGGTAGGGATAAAATCATTGGTTTCAAAGTCATTAGTGGGAGAACCAAACATAAATTAATTAAAGGAGTGGTACATATTAAGAGAGAGATTATGTGATTTTCCTCCATATATTTTTAGCTTAAATTTCACCTAAATGTGACATAATTTGTTCATGAGCCGAATCTAGTGGTGTTTGACTTGGTTGATTTTTTTAAAGGTTTGCTTAAATTTTGATTTGGTCTCATCTAAAATTTTAAAAATTTTAAAATTTTAAAAAAATTTATTAAAATTTTAAAAAAATGTTAAACATATTAATATTTTTATATTTATTGCAAAATTCAGATTAAATAAAAATTAATTTTTATTATTTAAATAATATTTTAATTCAAACTTAATTTGGATTCCAAAATTGATATCTAGAACCCGACCTTTAGACATATCTAGCCATAAGCTATTATTAATTAATTAACTAATAATTATATGTTGATGTGATTGAAGGTTTGTCAACTATAGATATCGTTATACCATTTTTAAAATCTTTTAATTCAGGTTACTGGCGATAATAATTTTTGATGTTGATTTTATATACTAATATTTTCTTCCTATTCTTTTCTCCTTTGACTATATAAAAGAGAATGGAAAGTATTGACCTTAGGTGCAAGTAAGGCTAATTTTTTATTTGATCAAACAAGTCATCCCTCAGTTCTTTTAATTTTGCCCCTGGATTTTTGGGCCTATAGCACTTAAACCCAATGACAATGTGGTTCCATTTCATGGGCTGGCCGCGGCCTTTTTTTTTTTTTTATTGAGTTCTTAATTTAGCTACGACTATATCTATATTCTGCAATTTTGTTTAGGTTGCCTAATTGCTCCCTTCCATTGGACTCTTCCTCAATTCAACCACTTCACTATTGGTTGAAATATGTCAACGTTGCTTATTATGGGGTTTTCATCAATTAACCACATTTTCTATCTTCAAACATGATCAGAGAAAACAAAATGAGGCCTTTCACTACTCGGCTTGGGCCTTGGTGGCACTGGCACCAAGTCGATTGTGAGGCATGTAGAATTGAGTTGAAAATTAGATTGTGAAATATTATTACTAGTTCTGTCATTATTTTTGTTACATTTTATTGTAAAATATATATTTGTTATTAATTTTTATTATATTTTTTATCACAATTATATTATATTGTGTTAATATGAAAAAAATTTTACATCAATATATTAAAAATTTATCACAGATTTATCAATATAAAATATAAATATGCCACTATCTAATTTTAATAAAGTAGTTATTTTTTATTAATTTATTAAATGAATTAAAATTATAATTACATCTCTTAAGGGTAAAATTATCCATCAAATAGTATATCTATTACTTTAAATTAAACCTTACTTAAATGATTTTTTATAATCAAATCTAGGTTTAAAATTTTAAATACATTAAAATAATTTACTAAACTTAATGTGTATTGGTTTTAAAATTAATTTTATTATTTAATTTAATATAATTATTTAGATAAATTTTTTAAAAAATCTAAAAGAATTGAAAGTTTTTGTTATGATACACAATACTGATATTTAAGTTTATCAAATAAATCATTTTTTTCTTTCATTTTTTTATGATTCAATGTTCGTCTCTCAAATAGATAGAAGCTCATTCCTTGTAAAAATTTAGGTTTCAATTTTTTATTTTGTTTGGTTGGATAAAATGGTCATTTCATTTATAATCTATTTTGGATTCATTACAAATGTAACTCTATTCAATAATTTGGTTTGTTATAAATTTTGTTATATGAAATATTTAAACTAATTAAAATAATATTAACTTTGATTTATTAATTTAAATTATTAATATTATAATTGATTAATATAAATGATAATAATATTATTAACAGGATATTATTAATAATTAATTATATGTAACAAAAACTAATATATTTCAAAAAAAATATTTTATATTTGAAGAACTAAAATATTTTTAAAATTTAATATTTTTTAAAAATAAAAAATAAAAAAATAAAATATTTATATTAGAGAGATTAAATTTTAAATTTTGTATGAGTACTAAAACTAAAATTTAATTTTATATGAGTATAGGAACTATTTATATAATTTAATAACTGATTTTATATATTTAAATTATCACATCAATAAATTAATGTCACTTCAATAAAATCAACATTTATTTTATAAAATCAACGGTTATATCAATATTTTTAATAATAAAAATTAATAAAATTAATGAATGTACTAAAATTATTAAATTAAAATAATATAAAAATTAAGCTTATACAAATTATATATGAACTAAATTTTAAATTAAAAAAAGGACAAAATCCACGGGCATAATTTGACGATGAGGTATTTAACTCACAAATTGCAGCCTAAGTCCATAAATGCCAGTTGTCCCGTCCGAGAGCGGTTTGCAGACCAAACTAAACCCCAAAAATAAAAAATAAAAAATTCCCATGGGTGCAATCTGCAGCCTATAGAGTACTCGATTGTGTTCTTAGGTAGCATGGGACAACATGTTTGAAGCTGCCGCAGCAAAGTGAAAAATGATTGGGAACATGGCAAAGTAAGAATGTAGGACAAATAATAATGAAAGGAATTCTGTCAGAAAAGCTACCCATTTTCCCCCTGATTTGATAGTTTAAAACATGTGATTTTGGACCTGATTAAACTTATGAAAACCAGGACCTCATAGGAAAAACCATGATCATAAATGTATGGGCATGGAGGACATGATATTGACATGTCAGTTGAAAACAAACACAGAAACAACACATAAATAATGGAACTCTCAAAATCAAATGAAGACAAAACTGAGGATGGAACAGTGTAAATGGGGCTCCTGGTTGCTGTTAGAAGCCATCTTTTTGTTATTCTGTCTCAACCCGCAACATGGTGGGACCGTCCTGATCATCTTCCTTTTTGTTTGCCTTATCTCTTCAGCAAATTCGGATGACTTAATATAACAAATGAAAAAGATGTTCCAATATTTCATTTACCTTAAACACAAGTAGTTGAAAAGGTAACAAAAAGTGCATTTGGCTCATCTTTATTTATAGTATACTATTTATTACAAACCTTTTTTTACAGTTGCGGCTAGATTTGACAGGCTCCTTTCTCTGGAAAATTTGACAATATTTTACTTAATTTTAGCGTTCCTACTGAACTACAGATGCAACAGTTCGAGCCCAAAACTTGAGATGTTTCTTCATATCAGCAGTAGCAGAGACCCTTGGTACTCTTAGATTCACCAATGGAGAATCAGGTCTTTTAATCAGCCAAGCCTCTGATAAATATGGTCTAATAACACATCTCTCCTCTTCTTGTTCAATATCATCATCTTTAGGTAGTTCATTAGCAGCAAGATTCAGTTCATCAGTTTTCTGTTTAGTTCTGAAAAATCCAAGTCTGAGCAAGCCAGGAACAACACTAATCATTCTAGCGTTTAAGTGTTCTTTCTTGAATATAAAACCAAGACCCATGAACCCTTTTACTTCTTCTAGTTCCAAATCTTTCAAGCTCCTACAACTCATGGGTTTTTGCAGTTTACCCCCAAGTGAACATGAAGTTGAGTGTCCGTGATTCCTCTGACGTTTTTGAGAAGATGGTGATGAAGAATGTGAACGACTTCTACTTGAGCTGAGACTCACTCTTTTTGGTCTGCTCTTCACTTCTTCCTCATTTTTTGAATCACCCTAGAATTTGCCACCATGAAAACAATAGAAAATGAACAAAAAGAAAGGAGAAAAGTTGGTAAAAGCCAGAACTTGGAGAAATATAGGGTTTTTTCTTGTTACCAGTGGAGTTAATGGAGATGAACTTGATAAGTTTTCTTCGTCAGGTAGAGGACAAACAGCCGTTGAGATATCTTCTGCAAGAGATGATAGGCTTGATGATGGGCTTGTAGTAGTAGATTCTGAGTAGGGGTGCAGTGGTTTAAGGGTTATAGGGAAATACAGTGAAAGGGATTCTGGGAACAGAATAATTTGGTGAAACCAAAGAAGATCCATGGCTCCAATGAGACAAAAGGAGAAATTGTCGGCCATTGCTAGAGAGATTGGGGGGGGGGGGGGGGAGAGATAGAGAGGGAGAGAGGTTATTTAAAAGGAAAAATCTGTGTAGTTATTAGCATCACTGTGAGGAGGCTATGTGGTGGTGAAAGAATAAGGAAAAGCAGCAGAAAGTTAAGTGGTGGAACATTGGACAATGACGGATGTGGTCATGAACCTGAATTCCTCCCACTCCACATCTTTCACAAGCTCAATGAGACCTTTGGCCCATACTTGATGTGGATACTATTTGTTGCATTCATTTTAACTCTAGTTCAAGGTCATATCCAACCATAGTGTGTAATTGTAATACCACAACCCAATTGATAATTGGGCTAGATTATTATCAAAATCCATTAGTTTATTAAAAGATTAGTTACTAAAGAAAAGTGACAAGCATTTTTGGAGAGAAAACCTAATTCTCGTAAAATAAAAAAGAAAAGCAAAGCTCTTTTTCTTCATCTTACTTAAGGTTAAGGAGTATGAAACATCAAGTTGGAGATTCAAAATCAGAGGTTACAATTGGATTAATTCTTTAAAGAGGAGGATATGCCTTTTTTTATTTAAAAAAATATTATGTTGATTGCTATTATTTAGAGTTGAAGTTATGAAAGAAAAATAAAAAAAAATTATATAATCTTTCATTGATTTTCATGATCTATTTGGATAAATTATTGGAATTTGTTTACTTCATGTTGTTAAGATTAATGATGATTATTGAGTGGATTTTAAAGGCTAAAAGTAGAGATTTCGATTTTTAAAGATTGAAGGAGAAATTCTGTTTTTGGATGAGATGTTATTATCTATAACAGTGAATTAAAATAGAATTCTGTATTAATGAATAGATTATTGCTATAAGTATTATATACTGTTGAAAAACTCATTGAATCTACTTTCAAAAGAAATTAACTAAGTCAATTCTAAATTTTTTATGAAAAGTTATCTAATTTTCACTTAAAAATATACGGGCTACATAATAACAGCATCAATGATGAATTACGAAAATTGTCTTAAATTTTATATAAGGAATTACAAATTGAGGCTTATATGTTTGGAAATCTTATTGAGTTTATTTTTCAATAAAAAAATATAAATGAATTCTGAGTCTCTTATGAATAAATATATAATTTTTATTATAGGATATACATACTATGTAGCAGCAGCATATAACATGGATTGCAAAAATTATTACAAATAATCTATAATGAACTATATGGTGGGTCATATATTAAAAAGCTTATCGAGTCTAGTTTCTAATGCACTATAAAGGTTTTAATTCCGAGTTGGATATCTTGAGATATGACAATTTTAGTAAAAATAGTTTAGGTTGTCAGTAGTAATTAGTTGAGTTAACTTTTGTGTAACTTTGTTATTTTTAGTATTAATGGACTCAAAATGGAATGATTAATTTTTATTATGTTGAAATGATCTTGAATAAGCTATTAATTATTTTGAAAAAAAATTAAGTGGTAGAATGGAAAGGAAGTAAATAAAATTTCACACACTTTGAGTTTTTTTGAACTTATGTATATATGCATATTTCTAAATAAATGAAAGTTTATTTTTTTATTTTTGATATATGAAAATAAGATCAAGCATATGATTATTTTGCATTTTGCTCTATGAATGATGGATTATACTTCTGAATAAAATGAGAAATTGATTTATGTTTAAAGAATAGTTTTATGATGGCTACGTATTTATATCCTTCAAAAGTGAGATTATCGATGCCAAAATTAGTTTTATGGTCTTAACTAACGAGTTATAGTGTTTAGCATAAGCCTTGGCTAACGGGTTATAATAGTTAACAATGATCAGGATGATGAAATTATCGATACGGCTAATGTCACGAGTTATAGTAGTGACCATAACTAACGATAAACTAATGATGAACTAATGATTTATATGATGATTTGTGATGATTTTAAAGAATGATTCATAATTTGGTTTGATTACAATATTTGAATGACAACATACTTTGAAATGATTTATAAATTGATATGTTTGATATTGATTCATGAATTTATAAAATGTTTAACAGAACGATGATTTTTGAAATGTTTTGATATTATGATTTGATGAATGTTTTAAATTATCTATATGATATGTATGAAAATGATATTTGATCTGGTAAGGTGTGTGAGCTTATACTTGTTGAGCTGTAGTTTGCTCATTTTTTTTAATTTTTTTTTACAGATAAGTAAATAATAAGTTTGTTTAATTTTGTCAGAAGTTAGAAGATTGAATTGGAAAGATTACTTGAGCATTGAAGACATTGTTGGCTAGTGAAATCTTATGAAATAATTTTGTATATTTATTAGTTTATATTTGGATATATGGAGATTTATCATTAGCTGAATTAAGGTTATGGATTTTACTTGAACAGATTATTGTATTGAAGAATTTTAAAATAATTAAGAAAAAAGTTTTGTATTATTTTGAGATCTTACTTCAAGGTAATATGACTGTATTGCGTCTTAATCTCAGGGTGTAATAGTAATTGACCCTCTAATGGAGTCAAAAAGCAATCCGGAACTAGCAGGTAGTATAAACTCTCATAATCCTTGTTTATAGTGGAGAGAACATTTATGGTGCTATTGTCTAAATCATACATGAAATATGGTTTTTCATTTATTCCTTATTCAAAAAACTCCAATGCAATGTGTTTGTTATATTGCAATTTTTTTGGCTCTTATCTTAAGATGTTTCAACCTAGAAGTAAGACAAATATGCAGATTCATACTTCTATAGTTAGTATTGTCCATTTTGATTTGACGATCTCATAATTTTATCTTACAAAAGACGCCTAACAAGTTTAAGTTTAAGTTTCAACTTATATATCCTAATAGATAACAAGTTTAAGTTTAAGTTTCAACTTATATATCCTAATAGATCTTTAGAACATTTTGATATGGGATTGAGATATCACAAACTTCTCTCGTTAAAACTTGATTTTTCATTAAGCCCAATACAAAACACATATAGAATCACAGAACCGCAAAATTAAGATCACATCAGATATTAAAATTTTAGAGGTGGCTCCTACTTTATAGCACTTAGCTCCCATGGTATAATACTTAGTTTTTGTCTGATTAGTGACTGCCTGATACCACTTGTGGAGATCCGCACCTGACCTGTAAAATATTGTTTGCTTTGATTCAAAAGTCTCACAATTTTATCTCATAAATTTGGATTTAAATCTCAACTTATATATCATAATAAATTCTCAGAACATATCGATATAAAATTGAGATATCATAGCAAACTACTGATTTATTATGATTCAGGTAGAAGGGGGCTCATTGCAAAAATCAATCACAACTCACATCATGGACGGTGAACTACAAACAAGCAAATGGTAAATGACAGATGTGGCTATCTATAATTGACATGAATTAGGGTATCAGGAAAATTTTAGATAAAATTGATCTCCTTCTTGCCAGCGGCATGGCTTCATATGCTTTCCAATCTACTCTTTCCTCAGTATTGGCCTCTCTAGTCTGATTGGCTAAGATGGACCATCAGAGGAACTTGCTTCTACCTCCACTATTTTGTCTTGTTCTTCCATGATTTCCCCTCTGTTGGATAACTGAATGCTTTCACTCAATGTGAGGCTAGGTAGTGGGAAAGAAGGGAATATTTCAGCTGGACTATCCGTCCTTGAGCTCAATTCTGTTGACAAAGAAGCAGCAGGAGATTGTAGAAGTTCTTGTTTCTTCCTTCTCTCCCTTACACCAGCATGCCATTGCCTCATGATTTGGGTTATTTGATCTTCTAGTACAGGACTCTTCAATTCTGAACCCATCTGCATACAAATAATGATTAAAAATAACCGTGTGTTAGCCTTATAATCCCTTGGCCATATAATGGTGAGCCTCAAACTAAAACATTAGTTTCAATAGATTCACCTGTGTAACAAGAGCATATAAAGGAAGAGTAATATAGCTGCAAAGGACTTGAACTGTGATCCTAAGGAATACAAAGGAAATTAAGATCATTGAACCTATTCAATTGCGGAGTATTAGATACTCAAATAGTTAGAAACAAAGTCTTAATTCTTACGGCAATATAATCCTCGTGATCACGATTGTAGTGCGCTCATGATAGCAAGAATCTAATCCAAATTGGATATAAGGATGAAGAAAAAGATATGGAGAGTTGACAACATAAGTATAAGTTTGCATAATTTGCAACATTAAGGAAAGTAGTGTGCATGATGAGGAAAAAGAGAGCAAGGAATTGGATACACTAACCGTTACTCAAATGAAGAAGGCAAGCTCAAATGCATTCTGAAAAACAAGCATCACTTAATTCAAATTTGACTAATATCAGATCAACAGGTTCACTTGTTTCTTTTTCCTTTTACCTATTACATTCTATCAAGAAAAGTTGTTACCGTGAATAACGTGAAATGTAGAGGAGTCGGAACAAATTGCGGCCGTCTAAACCAGAAGAGTTCATCATTTGGTTGAACCAGAGGGGTTCCCCTAATCACAGTGTTTTGATTGTTGATTTGAACAGCCATTCTTGCAACAATGACCTCAAGTTTGGTTCCCAGAGTTAACACTATCTATAAATCAAGAAGAATCTGTTAAGTTTAGAAGTGATTAGAAACTTGGAACGCAAGAAAATTGCTGAGCTACAATTTTTTACACTTACCAGGAGGGGAACAAAGGATACCCAAAGAAACACATGCCAACCTAATTGATTTAAAAAACCCATCAACTCATAACAGTACATGTAACCGAAAGATCTAGAAGAACTACATAAAGGAAACAAAGAAACAAAACACTTGCCGTGCACGTCGACAAGCATGAAAATAACAACTATAAACCATATCAGTGGACTGCAGACAGATAGAGTTTCATGTATATTAGCTGAAGCACGAAATTAAACAAATTTTCGGGGAGAGTATTTACATATGTATATTAGCCGAACCACATTAGTTGGCTCATCAGGATTCAAGAAGATTAGATTTATAGATTCAAGAACCTGATGCTGACCACAGTCTTGAAATCTTCATCTAAGGATCGCTCTATGTACTTGTGGAAATTGAAATTACCATACCTCCCTGAGAAATGAGCCTGAAAGGTTCATGGAAAGCATTTCTCATGTCTTATTTACCATAATATAATCTCAATATTTGGGAATAGAGCTTGTTTAAAGAGTACCATTACCGAGATAGAGACAAAGAAAAAGCCCAAAATTTTTAGTCTCTTTCACTGAAAAGAAAAAAAAAAAGGGTTAGAACTGTGCATTGTGCATTTGCAATAATTTTTCTCGGAAGTATTAGATTTTATTAGCAACCCTTTTAAGACAAGAATTTCTACAGGGTCTTCTACTGTATTTTTTTTTCTAAAGCTGTCTACATCTGCTTGATAAATTGTTTTAATGTTGCTTTATAAAACCAATGCAATCTGATTGAATCATTGGTCTGAAGTCTTAGATTCGATATTGTTGGTACTAAATTAGGCTTGACAATGAAGAAAAAGGCCTTGATTTGATTATATATATTTAGTAGGGTTGTAAACAAATCGAATATGAACGAATGAACGTATATCTATAGTTTGTTCGTTTATTTTTAGAGGTGTTCGGGTTCAGTTTCGTGTTCGGTAAAAAAATTATTTTATTCATTCAAGTTTGGTTCGTTTAAATGATAAGATATTCATGTTTGGTTTATATTTGTTCAGTTAAGTTAAATGAATATTTGTGAACATTAAACAAATATTTGTGAATATTAAATGAATATGTACATGAACATATATAAACGAACGTATTCATAAATAATAAATAAATCATAATCAAATAAATTTAAATAAACAAACTCAAAATGAACATAAATAAATCTAAATGAATATAAACAAACTTTAAAATATAATTAGGATAAAGGGTAAAAATGTAATTTTGTTAATATTATTATAAACGAAAAGCAAACGAATAATAAACGAATAAATTTTAAACAAACTTATTCACGGACATGAATGAATCGAACAGAACTCTGTTCATGTTTGGTTCATTTAATAAATGAACATAAGAATGCTGTTTAAGATCGTTTGTTAAGTTTAAGATCGTTTGTTATGTTCACAAATAATTTGTTAAAAACTTTTTTCATTTATGCTTGATGAGAGCATTTAGTAGTCAAAAGGATATAATGGTCTGTTTTCTTGTTAGAAGACTTCAGCAGACTACTAAGAATAATTTCGATATTTGTACCAATTTGACATGTTAGGTTGATTTAATATATCTAGTGCTATATTAGCTTGACACTATCTTTATTGTTCTCTAATAATTCTCCATTACTTATCTATAAATATGAGAATCTAGATACCATTAAAGCAAATTTATACTTCTTTTATTTTTTTATATTACTCTTTTTTCGACCTCACTCATTCTCGTGCGTTAGAATATAAACATAAAAAAACATTTTCTTTGTCTCTAACTATTTTTCTCTTCTATATTTTCAAAATCACCATAAAACCCCAACTCTACACAATCAATGCCTCTAATATATGACAAAATTGGCTAGAGGACTTTCAGCATTTTTCATTAGTGGAGTTGCATGCAAGGCAAAATGATTACTGGAACTCAAATCAGTTAGGCTCCCAAATTGTTGGTTAATTTTTGTTTTTTTAGTAAAAAAGAAGTCAAAGCGTACGGGAGAAGGATGCAAGTTTTGGGAGCAATAGAATTTTATCCAAATTGTTAGCCACCAATCAATTAAATATCCAAGTTAATAGAAGTAAAACTAAGTAATTAATTAATTATGTAAAAAATCACAATTTAGCATAGTTAAGTTTAATTGGCTTACAGAAAAAAATCTATTAATTGTAAAAATTTATAAACAAATATTATATCAAATACTCATAATTAATATTCATAAATTTTTTTATTTTTCTTTAATTGTATAGAATATTTTTAACTCAAATAAATTTATATCTATGTACATTCATATACCATATCTATGTGAATTTTTTATTTTCCTTTAATTCACTTAAATATATGCGTCCATAAGAATCTTTCTCAATATCTTCTAGTCTTATAAAATATCTATCTTATAAAATTGTATAACTCTTTTATATATTTTTTTCATACCTAATTTTATAAAGATTTCAGTATTTATAAGCAAATTAATTTATCTATCAAAAATCACTTTCTTCTTAAAATTTTTTTTTATAAGTTTTTTAATCCATTAAATAATATCTAATTAATTTCAAATAAATCTCTTATAAAATTTAAGTCACTATTATCAATAATTATCTTATGTTTTAATTAATTATTTGATTTTATTTTCACTTTTGGATGGCTTTAGCCGTAACAAAAGAAACATGAATGAATCATATTAGCTAAACTTCAAATTCCAAAAATACGTGTAAGAATAATAGGTTTTTTTTTTTTTTTTTTTTTTTTTTTTTTTTTTTTTCAAGGATAATAGTTGCCAACCTTGTTCACTTGACAGAGAAACTGCCCTACACAAGAATAATAATAAAAAACTCATGTGGATTTCACATGTTCACTCATGAAACATGTTTTGCTATAAAAAAAAAAAAGGCAGAAATCAATAAAGCTAATGGACAGAGTCAATCAAAATAAAAAGTAAGACTTTAGAGGTTTCAAGCAGACAATAAATAACTTAAAAATAGGCATTTCAGTGTTATTAAGTATTGATTTGTGAAGAACATTGCATAAAAAAAAAAAAAAAAACTGTCTAAAAAATTATTAGTCATATAACTTAAGATTTAAGAATCCTATTGCCATACTATGAGCGACTTGGTACTCTGATGTTTGAGTTTCTTTTTCCCATGCTTTCCACCGCCTCATCTGCATTTGTAATGAAAATCAAGAGTGAAAAAAATGAAAAATAAAAAAAAAAAACTATTTATTTTGTTCTTTGATAGTTGAGATCCACTGCCTGATCTACATTTATCATGAAAATCAAGAGTGAAAAATATGAAGCATCCTGTTCTTTTTTTTCTTTTTTTTTCCTTTTGATAGTTGAGAGAGGACGTTTCAAATTTTGAGATTTAATTTATTTCTACAGTAAGTTTGATTATGTTTAAAATGCATTAATCATTTATGATTTTTTTGCAATATTTCATTTTAGTCCACAACTTTTAAAATTCAATTTTTGGATTTACACCACTGTTAAAAATTCAATGAAAATGTCACATGGATGTTCAAGTAACATAAATTCCATTCCGTAAATCAAATGGATTGAGGTGACAAATTCATATTTTGATGATGATGAATGAAAGTATATGAACTTAAATATATATTTTTAAATCATGAATTCAAAAATTGAATTTTAAAAATTGTAGATCTATAGGCCTTAAACATGGATTTGCCGTGAAATTTACTTGTGTGATTACCATTAAAACTAAATCTTAAACATCGGACTTAAGCTTAACAAAATAATTATTGAATAAATGTAAAATTTCGGGTAAGTTGCAATGAACAAACTAAACTAATTTGTACCATAATGTCTAAAAAGATTTATCTTATTATCATCAGTTGTTTTACCTTGGCCCTACCCAAAGCCATGGTCAGAAAACTATATACAATCTGCATAACTGCTAGAACAAAAATGAATTGTTCTAACTGCTGCATGCCCTTATTTGTCATGAAGGAAACTTTTCCCTATCAAAAAACCCAGACATCAACAATTAAATAGATGAAGTAGCATTTGAAAACAAATAAAAAAAAGTAGTATTCAAATTACATACTTTAGAACTGCAAGTATCAGAAAATGTAGCCTCATCTTCATTGGTCAGTCGCCTATGTATTTTCCATAGAATATCATCATAGAGACCAAAATTCCCAGTACTTTTACTCTCAAAAAGCTGATCATAGGCTTGAACCTTGGTGATCTTGGATTGACCTTTCTTTCTACATGGAAGCAAGGTATATGCTATGTTGGCTGGTATACATATATCAGAAATTGGAGATTGAGATCCAGCAAATAGAAATGAGATGAATCCCAGAACCATTAATTCTACAAAACAAGAAAACAGATGAACCAAATGTCAACTTATAGTTTTATTGATTTGTAAGTTATGGGAAAAAGATATAAACTAATTGATATATTTGCACCTGATTTCAGCTTCTCCACAGCATCACTTAAGGCATGTTTTCGACACCTCTTTAACCACTGCAATGGTTCAATTTTGTTAGCATGAAGATTAAATCTCAAAAAAAGAAGAAAGTTTGAACTCACGTGCGTTGGAAAGGATAAAGATGGAGTGCTCCATGGCAATGGAAATGGAGATAATAACAAAGCAAACGATGGCAAGAGCCCATGTTGGCGTATGTTCAAGAGACCGAACAGATGTATTTTCAGCTGCTATGATCGATCGATATTTCCTGATACTTTCAGTTATTTAATTTAGTAGTTCAATTCAATATTAATAGGTTCAATGTTATGACTGAAGAAGCCGGCCAAGACTTTGATGGGAACTGCAAGTAAACAGTATTGGTTTCAATTTTTCTTCCTTTACTTATTGTTCACACCAAAATATGATGGAAAGGACTGATTGAGCAAAGCCTAATATCATAACGAATAGATTTGTAAATTTATAATTAAAAACAACTTAAGGATTAACCATTAATATTTTATTTAAGTGTGATTAGTCACCTAATGAATCTATTCTTTTAAGGAGCTCTTAAGTTTGATTAAGAGTTCTTAAAAAATAGGTTCTGATTTACTAATCAGAATAAGATTTGAGAGTTTGATTATATATGAAAAAGATTATAGCACCCCACATGCCCATCCTAAGAGACAATACCATTTAATTTTAAATTATCTTAGAGGTTTATTATTCTAATAGTTTTAAATTTAATATTAAAAATAATTTTTAAGATTCTCCATCAATCTGGTATAATCTTTAAAAATATTTTTTTCACTTTAAGAGTATTCAAAAATTTCATTTGTTTTATTGAAAAGGTTCCATCATCGGAAATTGACTTAATCATTTATTTTTTGTTAAATTTTTGTTTTATTGAAAATATATATGATTTTTTCATCATTTGGACCAAAATTAGAAATATTTTCTCACCTATAAATCTCTTAGATAATCATCCAATTTGTAATTATTAATAATTTCATCATCAAAATTTATTTTATTTTTACAAATTTCATTTTTAAATTTTTTACCATTTGGGCTTAATTTAGAAATATCTTTCCTAAAATTTAGTCTCCATTTGTTCATCATTTATCCTTTGAAAAAAAATAATATGAAAATTATTTTTTTGAAGTTTTTTCTAAATCCTTCCACCATTTTGGTTGAATTTAGAAAAAAAAAAAACTTTTTACCTAGAAATCTTATGAAAATTCAACAATTTGTGATTTTTCTTAAGATTTCATATGTGGACAATCATCATATATTTTCATACCCAAATTTTTATAAAGTCATATTTTTAATTTTTAATTTAAAAAGAAATAACATTACTTTTATTAAAATTTCATCTAAATTATTCCACAATTTGGGTTAAATTTAGAAAAATTTCTCACATACAGATTTCTTATAAAATTTACTATTTGAAATTTTTAGGAATCCCATCATTGGAATAATTGTTAATTCATTTCCAAGAATTTTATTAAATTTATTTATATTTTTTATTTAAATTTGAAAATAAATGTTAATTTTTGTTATTAAAATTTTATCTAAAATTTTTATCAATTTGGGTCAAATTTTTAAAAAAATTTCTCATCTTGAAATTTTTCAAAAATTAATTATTTATAATTTCTAAAAATTTATCATTGGATAATTATTATTTATTCTTAAAATCTTATTTTATATTTATTATAATTTAAAATTAGCTTCCCTAACAATTTTCCTAAAATAAAAAAATATCAAATGAAATATATCACAAATAAATAATTAATAATTAAATAAACATAACTCATAAAAAATAAATAAATAAAATGGAGAAAAAGAAAAAAAATAATACCAAAACACTAAGACTCGACTTGGCGGCTAGAGTAGAGCTTAATTGCAAGCACAAAACTAGCTGGAAAGGCTTGGGAAGCGGCTCAACTCGGCTTGGGTGTAAGTTGCTGGATTCTGGGATTGGCCGACAAAATTTGGGTAATTATGTCAAAATTTTGCGCCCAATTGTTGTCAAACTCTTACTCATTTTTTCCTTTATTTTTCTTCTCAATTGCTTTTTGATTGTTGTGCCTTTTTGTTCTGTGATTTAAATGTCTATTTATAGGGCACAATAAGGAGAATTTCATATTGATTCCAACTCCAAAAATTAAGATTATCATGAAAAAATAAAATTTATCTTTAAAAAGTTTAACTTTAAATTTAATCATGATAAAACTGCATTATCACCTATCACTCCTTTTTATTTTATGGCCATTCATTCTTTTTTCAATTATCCTTTTTTTTTGAAATAATCAAATAAATTTTAAAAAATTAGATAAATATAAAGAAAACAATTAAAGATAAACAACAAAGAAGTAAGTTAAAATAAGTAATAAAATAAAATAAAAAGGATAAATAAAAAAATATAGGTGAACAAAGTAAAAACACAAATTTGATAATTAGGCTTGGATCAAATCTGAGCCCAATTGATTCAGGCCTTTGGCCTTAAAATTAAATTGGACTCAATTAATTTAGAGCCCAAACTAAATTGAATGTCTACAACTGCCCTTATTTGTGCATTTTTAATACAATAGGAATTGTACAAAGACATAAATGACCTATTATGTCCAAGTTCAGATTATTCATCCCTCTTTTATTATATCTTTTTTTGTTTTTATTATTATATTTTTTTACGACAAGCTCTTCGAAAATAGAGGCACATAACTTTAAAAATAAAGACAACATTTGAATATTTTAATGATCATACCCGAAAGTCTTATAGATCGTGTTTGAAAAACTAGGAGATTAGGCCCATAGGTCTTACAAACCATTCTTAATATTGAAAAATGCTTATTTGAACAAAGGCTCCACAACTTTAGAAAATGTACTCGAAAGTTTTAAAAGATCATGCTCAAAGATCTTATAAATTTTAATTCTAAAACAGATTTAGCTCGAAAAACTTATGAATCTTACCCAAATGACCTGGTGATTATGCCTGGAGGTCTTATAACAGATTCAGATTCAACTCGAAAGACTTACGAATTTTGTCCGAATAACTTAGTGATTATGTCCGGATGTCTTATAACAAATTTAGCTCAGAAAACTTACGAATCTTGTAACAAATTCAACTAAGAAAACTTATGAATCTTGCCTAGGGAACTTGATGATTATGCATGGAGAACTTGAAAATTATATTCAGAGGTCTTTGAGAAGAGTATTTGAAAGCTTATAGGCTGTACCAAGAGATTTTAAGAAGTTTTATTTGAAAGTTTTTAAAATCGATACTCAAAATTTTTAACAAATACCCAAGATAAATTCTTATTCGATCTCCATATCAAAGTTTTCTTTTCATCAGATTTTAAGTATAAACTTTTTTCACTTATTAGCTGAAGAATATGCAATGAATTCAACACTTAAAATTAATGTGATGCATATAATGCATGAAATGCATGCAATGGATACAATGCATGAAATCTATACCATATGTTCTGAATTGTGATAATATGATTCTAGAAACCCTTTTTTCTTTCTCTTTTTCCATGATATAGCCTTTGTACTGGCTAGCAGATTTTTTCATGAACTGAAGCAAACATTCTTAAAATTTTCTAAACTTAAAGTCTATCTTTCTCACTAGCAGTCCCTTACTTTTAAAATTCACCTTGCCCTATAAACATCTCTTTCATCATGGTATTTATCTATTTTCCACAATTAGCATTGAGATTTAAATGAATTTTTTGAACATTTCCTAAAATTTTAACTAATAACAATGGACATTGCCCCACACTAATATCAATTTTTCACATGTGACCAAATCTTTTAAAAACTGATGATTACTATTTAGAATGAATGTGATGAATCACAACTTGATTTTCCAAAATAATGCAATGGTTTGGCATATTATGATCTTAGTTATCAAAGAGAACTTGACCATTGAATAAGAAAAGGAATATCAATGTCTTTTGATTTAGGCTCACAAATGAATATGATTTTTTAAAGTACAATATATTTTGGCACTCTTTTCAATTCTTGATATATAATAATTTAATGAATGCCAAAACTAGTCATACAAGGCTCCAAGTTTTGGGAAATAAAGAAAAGGTTCAAATTTGGTTGATCAAAATCTTTAATGCATCGAGGTTCATTCGAAAATGCTTCTTGCATCAATTAGTTTTATGAGTTGCTTTCAAAATTTCACAATTGCTCTAGACTACCTTTTCGGGTTTTCACTTTAAAGCTTTATTTTTCTTTTTTTATCATTCTTTATGATTACTCCACCATGCATTTAAGCACTCAAAATTCATCTAAAACCAAATTGATGATTTTTCTAAGGAACAAACTTTTCAACTTAGGTATCCATATATAATCAAAATGGACTTTTTAAATGGTGTAACATGGGCTGAGGTTTAACATTTTGAAAGAAAGGAAAAACAAGCCTAAAATATGTGTTTAAGGGTAATTAAACTAAGTATCATTTCTTTTTCTTTGGACATTTTTCTTTCCTTAAAATATGCATTTTCTTTTTTTTTCCTCATTTTTTTTCTTTTTTTTTTTTGCATAAGTTCAAAAACTTTGGAACTCAGCTTATTTCAAACTTGCCTTCTTAATACAAAGTATTATTTCCTAGCCCCTCAACAAGATTTGAATGCCCTCTTAATGATATCCCCCTTTTTTAAACTTGCCCTTAAATTTAGATGATGATTCTTGGTTTGGGTTTAGAAAGAAAAATCAATAGGCTCAAAACGGATAACAAAAGGATATTTTCTTTTTTCGTGAAAAAAATTTGAAAGATGGCCATTTCTCATTTCAAGTATGGATACTTTCATTGAAAAATAATTTTCAAAAGATGACTTTTTTTTTCTAATTGATTTTAGCTTTATTTAAATGTCTCACATGCATAATATCATAATCATATTTTTTTTTTGCTCTCTTTTTTTTGTAACTCATACTCATGATGTATTTTCTCAATTTTTTATTAGGTGATGCTTAACAATCTTCCTTTTCACAATCCGTTTGGATGTTCATCAATCAAAACATTAAAAAAAAAGTTATTTAGGACATCAAGTAAGTTTAGCTTTTTCAGTAGATTTATCCCGACATGAGGTTAAAGGATCACTTGATGAAAGGCTAAAAAGGAGAAGAATGTTGCATAAATCAACATACTG